TTGTTAATAACATAATTTTGGCCCTTGTTATTTCCCCCTTACACTCTCTTATTTGTACTCTATAGTGAACAACCTTCTTAAACATACTTAGCTGCTTAAAATTATTATCATTGGCTTACATTTTTATTCTTTATTCTATTCCTTCTTTGTACATCTACTGGGTCCGACTATATTATCACTATGATTATTAAAAATTGTCCCGTCATTAACCATCATGTAACATTAGTTTTGTGGTTGTTCTTTGTTCGGCACTATTTAACTGACAATCTTGTTTGTTATTGCCACTATCACCATCTTAAAAAATTTTGTATTATGCATGATTCCTCACACTACCACTACAAACAACCGCATTAGTGCTGACAATAAAAAAACACAACCTGAAATGTTTATCTTATGATTGCTTAGTGTTGTTCAATCAAATTAACTGATCATCTTGGCTATAAACATTTTTAAGAACATCTCATAATTTCCCGTATGATTATAGCTGTTACTGTTCACCACGCATACACATATCGTAGCTTCCACTAACCAATACTGAAATATTTTTTCATTATTTGTGTTTATCTTCCTTTTTACTTGGTATTTTTATTTGCATTTTTTTGTTATTTCTGTGTTTCTTTTTTTGGTTTTTTGTTGTTTTTTTTAAATATTTTATTTTTTCTATAATACTCCTTTTAAATGTACGATGAAATTAGATGCAATATTGTAGATATGTGCTGAAAATTCCACACTGTACCACAAGTACTGTTTCTGGAATAAAGCGAAATTGTTATTGTTATTATATTTTCAACGCCTTCTTTGCCTTGTATATCTCTTTTCTCTTTTTATCTCTCTCACCCGCACCTTTTGCGTCTGCCTACCCGTTATTTGTGACCTTGGCCTGTACACAATCTGACCTGTATTGTATTTGTTCATGCTTCCTTGCCTTCTGTAAAAACTGTGCATGACATGTACGTATGTGATCAGAATGTCCGAAATGTGTTGCGCCAATACATTACACGTTTCAGATAGACTACGTCTTCTTATTTTGTTGTCGAAATGAAGAGTTTGGACACTTAGTTTCTTCTTGAGTTGCGAGTCTTGTGAGATATACAGATCCTACATTCACAAGGTTTATAATGGCTGATAGAAGAAATAATGGATGCAGAACAATAAGTTTGACATATATTACTGTGATCTCGTCTACTGAGTCTTCACTTCATGCTGAATCCAAAATTGGTAGGAAAAATAATTTTAGTTTTAAGGCTAAGTCTTCTTGTTCTCAGTAATGAAAGCTGCACATTAGGGGAGAGAACGTGAATATCTAGGAACCCAGTCACTTAGGCTGCTTAAATGGCTCCGACCTCGTTTCCAAATGGCTTCAACCAGAAGCAACTCTCTCGATGGTTGTATATCACCTGTCCTGCTAGACCACAGCTTTGGCCACACTACCTACTTACTCATTATCCTGGCCTACATAGCCTGGCAGGCAGGTTGTTCTTAACACCTTTTCAAATAGAGAAGTGGCAGTATAATTCTTGCTGCCGTTGAATTATGTGTTTATTGGCGATGATCTGAAGAGACTACAGCTATATACAATCACACCATGACGCGTGACCTCGTCCTTGTCCGTTGAAAAACCAATTGTCCTTAATCTGATCCATTCGTTGCGTAAGGAGGAATTTACCGTTGAAAGCGAAATGGCTGAGAATCAAGTAAAGAGACGAACTTCTTTCATCCCATATAGACAGTGTCTAAATGAAATAATGGGTCGACTGAAAAGTTGTTTACACTTACCTTCTGCAACAGAGTTCACCAATACTTAAAATCACTAAGCAATAACTAGGGAATCTGAAGGTCGCAATCTCGTTATCGTAAATATTTGGTGTTTCGGAGACCTCTGGCGTTTCATTACGTCAGGTGAAGTTTGGTCTCGATAGGACTTTCGTAGGCGCGCTTTCAAAGTAAGTGACGGTCGCAGCGTTATCTGGGCTGTTGGAGTAGACAGAAATAACTTAATGTTCGCTGAAATGATGTTTTTTTGCAAGGAGAATGCAGAAGTGTTGTTTGACATTTCTAAGTGGTAATTTATGGCGAATATTTGACTGTGCTATATATTAATGGTGCTTATAAAATACATGTTGCCAGTGTAACAGTGCTGTGATGCGTTAAACCCAAATTTGAAACAAAACGTCTCTTACACTTACTCCTAAGAGTAAACATGGCGACATTTATCTTCATTTGTTTGTTCAAGATGTACGATGGGCTATAAGTATCTAAGAAAACAAAGTAGCCTACGTTCCTGGTTAAAAAAACTAATATAGTCTGATGACGCTAAACTCCGCTGCTGTTATCGACTTAATTGAGAGCAATCTTTTATCTATGTGACATCTAAGTGTGTAAGATCCACTCTGTTTCCCTCCTAATCATGATAATCAAGAACAGTTTGCTGAAGGTGTGTACAGGTGTGCGAGTTTTCGTTCTGTTTTCTCACCTGTATTAAATGACTGGTTCTGTATATATTTTTTCAAAAGACAACAGAAAGAAAGCCTTAGTGTAATAGGACTAAATGAAATTGTACCATACACTGCTCTGTCGTAATCTGAATACATCAATTGTTTGGTTGCAATCCGTATTACTATGTACTAGGAACTACGGAGGGTAAATGCGTAATTGACGCATTCACGGGCTAATCCTTGGAAGTTCTCTACATGTTTTACGAAGTCTGTAAATTACATCAGTAGTCTTCCTTTCAAGACTGGTGACAGGTTAATGTGCGAATTGTGGTCTCTTTTTTTAAAGATGGGTAGAATAGTGGTCTCATTACTGATTAGTACGACACTAGATTTCCCACGCCTTTCCAGGAGACCTGGTCTTGCTACCATCTTCAAAAGAAACGAGGTACGGTAAGTTGTTCCAGTCCGTTGCCTTATGGCTGCTGCGCACATGTAGCTCTTTGTGAAACTGCTCCTCGTTAGGTGGGACATTGTAAACAAAATATAGCAGTAGTCCTGGGTTTCGTGTTCGATACCTTCCAGACAGATTCTGAAGTTACCTATCAATAGGGAACTCTCTCACCAGTCTTGGTCAATAGGATACTTTTGCTATTGCTTATCATCCTCTTGTTCTCCAATCGTCTCATTTCCCTTTTCTCTGTATTCTTATTCGACTATATTTTGTGGCATATTAACCAGTGCTCCTACCATGCTGAGTTTGTTTTTAAACGAATAGCCTTAGTTAACGTCTGCTTAGATTTTCTGAAAAATGACTTTCATTTCTTGATTCAAGCCTTGTTGTAGGAGGGACATATCGACTTTCTCCCTTGACAAGTATGTTTGACGGATTTACTACGAATGATAAGATAAGAATGGGTATTGTTAAAGTTCATAAAGTGCCCGTTCGTTTGGTGCTATTTGACTTCTCCAAAACATTTAGTAGTGTTTAGCTCACAAGGAAATTTACAGGTTTGTGTTAAACGTAATACACACGATTAGTTGAAAGATTAATAACGTGACAGAAAACAAAGAGTAAATGTAGGTAAAATAATCTCTGGGTTACGACTTGGCACTAGAAGAGTCCTTTACGATAGTGTACTAGGACCTATTTTATCCTAATTGGCTATTAACGAATCGTTGAGAGCGATCACATCATCATCCTTCTTATTTACAAGGGATTTGAAAACTTAAAAGATTATATATGATTACAACTGCCTCGGTGGCACAGCAGTTAAGACGCTCGCCAACCATGCACATGGTCCGGGGTTTGATCCCCAGCCACAGACGCAATCCTTCACCTCGCTAAACCAGTAATAAGACTGGTAAAGAGGAAAGGTTGGGCATGAGACTAGCAACCCCATTCTGTAAAATAAACACAGAAACTTCAAGCCACTAGCTTGAGGCCCTATGTTCACTGGGAACGTGAAGGAAATAAAAAAACAAAGATGGGTTGACATTTCAGGTTATCTTAGATGACTTGGCTTGTGGGTCACTGATTCAGACCTTAAATTACAGAATTTTGAGTAGTTATGAAGTAGCATACGTGGTACAGTAGATGTACAAAGACGTATAAGTATGAATTCAGTCACCGTTAATCTCATGGCAGAATCTATTTACTACTAATTTTGTGAATTTTTCTCCTTTGAATAGGTGAGGCCTAAATAATCATATGTCTAATGGGATATCGAAACGTAATGGGTGTAATGAGGCGGAAAAACTATAAAGTTTATTATCTAGAACTAACCCCCCTATGCAAATCCCTCTGGAATTGTGCCTCAATAATCTACATGCTCTATTTCTAACCACTAAGACATGAGTTGGAATTTCTCTCCATCTACTGAGGTTTAGGTATTCAAGTTGAAAAAGTGTTCAGGGTAGTCGAACCAAAACCTGAAATCAGTCTGTGAAGTCCGACAGTTGGGGGGAACCATGTACGTAGGTGTAAGTTGCGAGGTTCGGGTTTTTGAGATACTAAGAGCCAATGGCTGAAGACTGTTGGTGATATGGCTTAAAATTGTTCTTAGTGGTAGTAGATACATTCACCCCTTGTGGTCTCCTATCCATTAAACTCTATTGTTCTTCTACATTACTATTCTTTCTTCCTCAATTTTCTGTTTATTTTCGTTCTTTTGAATCTTTGTGTACTACATGGAGTGTAGCAACTTGAACTTCTGTGCAGAATTCACTGTTGAAATTCATTCTTTCAGTCGTTGTCATTAGCTCTAGCACAAAATGAGTGTGTGTGTGTGGCTCATAACCGACTCCATGGGAGTACAGCAAGATAATATTTCCTTACCCAAACCCATTTAATGTTTTTTTTCTTAATTTAAAACTCTGACATACTATTATATTTATTCCTGTGCATATTTTTCCTTCAATTAATTTTAGAATTCCATCTGTTCATTGTGGAAGCAATGGCAAATTTCTGACCAAAATACCTATTTGTGTTCTGTGTGTGTATTTCTGCTTACACACACACACACACACACACACACAAACATCAAAGCATAGACAGACAGACGGAAAATGTCAGACAGTCGGTGTATTTTTACTGGCAATCAAAAGGCGAAGGTTGTTCGAATAATACTCTAACGTTTTTGTATTTTTTTAGTGTTGCAATGTCTCATCATGGATAAGAAGTAAAATTAAAGATGAAGGTGTACAAGCACGAAATATAATCAAATATAGTGTACCTGTTGATAATCCTAGTCCTTGTGAGTGTTTTATCATGATATTTTGCATATGTTCAGTTTTACCTTCATAAGCCTTAATCAATTGTCATCTGTTTGTTTTCTTGGCTAGTTACCGAATTTCGACTGTCCTATGAAATGTTACTTTGCAATTATTTATTTTTTTTTGTATTAATATGGCGACAAAATACACAGTCCTCTGAATCCCTTAGGCAGAAATCTTCGTATGTTTGGTATTTTATTCACCCTTGTCAAATATGGAGTTATGAAGCAGTACTCGTCTGTATTGACTCCTAGTGTAAAGACAAAGAGTGAACTGATTGGTTGAACAAATTAACCAATTCACACTTATTAGGTAAGTTGCACTAACCGTGATGGATTGATTACTGACGAAATCTCAGCATGGATACAATAGGCTTGTGTGACATTTACCACCTTACGTCATCTCTAGTGTAGACATTATATCTGGCTATCCGTCGAAAGACGTGTATACTGCTCATCAGTTCACTTTGTCCTCTATGGTTGTGAGATATGGTCATTGGAAATGGATGATCTACAGAAGCTGGCTGTCTTTGAGTACAGATGTTAGAGTTGTGTCTTCTCTGTCAAGGGGTGTAACACGATGTATTCTTACTTAGGGAGGATATGTCGACCTATAGGGTTGTGAGGCGAAATCAGTTGAGATGACTGGAAGATGTATTACACATGTCGAATCACCACCTTTCTTGTTGAGCAATATTGGCTGATGTAAGATTATGTTAGAAAAGAGTGAGGGGGGAGGTCAAATCAAAAATTCATATCAATTCATAAAGTCTTCAACTGTTGAACTGAGCCAGCCACGTCTGTCTCTGTCTGTCTGTTTTCGACATAGAACTTTGCACAAATGTGCGGAAGTTCAAGTCGCCACACTCCGTGTAGCACGCGAAACAAGAGAAGAAAGTACAAGAAAAGCAGAGGTGTGAGACAAAGGAGGAGTAATAACGAAGAACAAAACAGTTTCATTGGAGATCATAAGTAACAAGGAGTGGATGCATCTGCGCCACTGAGAACGACTTTGAGCCATGTCACCAATTGTTTCCAACCATAGATTTTTACCGTCACGAGGACCCCAGCCTGGAAGTCTGCACCTTCCTACGTGGCTTAGACCAACTGTTGTGGATTTCATTGACTGGTGCCAAGTTTTGGTTTGACCGCCGCTAGCTTTTTTCCAGCCTGACCCTATGTTCGCTAACATTGCTCGTCGAGGAAGGCGATGGCTAGGCATACGTAACACATGTCCTAACCATCTTAGTCTTTGTAACTTCACAACTTCGTCGATTGATTTCCCCAGTTTACCTAGAACTCGACGCCTAACCTCAATGTTGCTCACCTTATTATGCCACTTTGCACGGGAAATAGAACGCAGGCACCTATGATCAAAGACAGCTAGCTAGCCTTCCCATGTCTTCCACTCTCAGTGGCCAGGTCTCACAGCCATAAAGGGGGACGGAGTGGACTGATGAACAGTACATCCGCCCTTTGGTCGATAGTCGAACATCTCGTCTACGCCAGAGTCGGCGTAAACTGGCAAATGCGAAACGAGCCCCCTGTATTCGTGCTGAGATTTCGTCAGAGATCAACCCGTTGGCGTTGGCTGATTGTACTTCCCAAATAAGTGAAGCGGTCAACGTGCTCTACCACTTCACTTCCTATTTCTAGCCAGCCACGTGGGGAGTTGAGGACTGTTTGGCTAGGATGTTGTTATCTTTATTGTTTCCTTTAGTTCCTAGAGAAACGTAGGGCTTCAGCTGCACGCCTCCATTGCGTTCGGTTCCCTGCTAATGCTTCCACCTGGCTCCAGGTATACCCACGTGCTTTCATCTCTTCACCTCCTCCAAGTCACTTTCACATTGACGACCAACTCGCCGCTTCCCTTGCGCGTTCCAGTTGAGCGATCGCCTGTCGTGTGATGTCACTTGATGGTTTTCTCAGACTATGTCCAATCAACCTGCATTTCTTCCTGCTTATTTGTTACACAATTGGTTCCTGGTTGGTTCGCTCATTGCCAGAGCTCCCTGTGGGTGATCTTTTCTGTCCGACCATCTGATTTTGAGTAGTAATGATCGAAGACAGTTGTTGATGAAAGTCTGTGGTTTGTTCAAAGTGCTGTTTGTGACGCGGTGCCAAGTCGATGATCCAGAAACTATCACTGACTTTACATAGCAGTTGAAAATCCGGATGTTATTTTTCATGCTGAGTAGTGCTGTTGATCACCACACAGACTTGAGAGTGATGAAAGCTTGCCTTGCTTCCCCTATTCTCGCGCTTATATCCTCATCAGTTCCGTATGCCTGTAGTTGAAACAATGCTTCCCAGGTAGCTAGGTAGGTGAAGGAGGTTGCTTCTTTCAGATTTCTCCCATTTATGCTGATTGTTGTCTGCTGTTGTTGCTGTTGCTGTTGCTGTTGTCCAGGAATCTTCACCACCTACCTCTGTTTTCTCTATGTTCACCGGAGACTCTGTAAAACAGCTAAAAATCAATATTATCGCATAGGCATTCAAAATAGTCAGTAGTGTTAACATTTAGGTGACATCTTTCTTATCTTATCCTCTTTTATTTTATTTCTTTTTTTTTGTTAACTGTGTGCTATTCTGTCTGTTTTCGACGTAGAACTTTGCACATATGTGTGCTATTACAAAAGTGTAACTATTTGGAGTATTGAACATTCAGAGGAGGTTTTCCACGTTGATTTACCTATTTGTCTATTTTCATTCCATTCATTATTATACTTTATTATGAATAAAATTTTATTTTAATAAAATCAAAGTGTTATACAGTAATATTTAGTGATGATCACGTTTCGTGCACAGTTTATTATTACTGCTGCTCATAATCATATCAAGGTATTCACATAACTTTCTCGCTTCATTGATATACATGAGTAAAAATTGATTAGCCATATATAAGGAGGAGATATCAGATACCCTACGTAGGATTCTTAACAAAGCAGGAATTAGGGTGGTAATTCAAACCTACGAACCCTGCCTTAAAAGACTTCGATTAATGAACACGTATACAGGAGGTTCGCTTGGCATATGCCAACTCACGCTGTCTGTGGCGTAGATGTGATACTTGGCTGTCGACTAGAGGGCTTGTGTAATGCTCAGCAGTCACTTCACTCTGTCCTTCTTTATGGCTGTGAGTGAGACACAGCCATCGGAGGTAGAAGGTACGAACTGTCTTTGACCGTAGGTGTCTGCTTTTTATCTCCCGTGTTAGGTGGTATAATAAAGTGAGCAATATTTTGGTTAGGCATAGGTCGAGTGCTAGGTAGGTGAGTGGGAGGGGAAACCAGTCGACTAAGTTGTGAAGTTACACCGATCGCCAGAGATGGTTAGGACATGTGTTACGCATGCCTAGTCTAGACTAGCCATCGCTTTGCTCAATCAACGGGCAATGTTGACTGACAGGATGGATCAGGTTGGAAAAGAGTTGGCTAGTGATGGCCAAACCAAAACATGTCTTCATCAGTCAATAAAATAAACCCACAACAGTTAGTTTAAGCAAGCCAGCCGCCATGTAGCGAGGTGTAGACTTCCTGGCTGGCTGGTTTGGGTCCTTGGGGTTCTATCAACCAACCTATGAAGGCTAAAGACAATTGGTGATATGTCTTGAAATCGTTATTAATGACTGGCGCAGATGCATCCACTCACTCTTTGCGATTTGTCATATCCAATAAAACTCTATTGTTCTTCGATATTACTATTCTTTTTGCCTCATTCACACTTCTGTTTATTCTCCCTCTCTTTTAAACTTCTCTTTGCTCTTCATTATAATAAAGGTTTTTGTATTTCCCAATGAATGAAAAACAAAACGATATTGTTTTTACTGACGTTTCGCTATTTAATACCGCTAATAGCTTTACCAAAGTATTATTAAACCGGAATTTACAAAATCTCAGCCTGTATATAACGAAGAGTTAAGAGGTGAGCATATAGACTACTTAGGTCAAGTTAAAGCGACATATTGAAAGTCAAAATAACAATGAAGATCACTAAACTAAATAACAAAGGTAATAGTACATCTGTTATGATATCAAAACAAAGTTTACTTACTTGATCATTGTTCGTCTGTCTGGGGTCATTTTTCGTTGTCAAGTTAATCAGTTGGTAAAGATAACAAAATCAAGTGTAGATTGTTGGATTTGATCAGTGTGTAAAACTATAAAAGTAGTGTGTGTTTACATAGTGAACTTGCTTATCACATTTGTGTTGATTTTGTCATTTTATGGGGGAGATGGGTGTGTGTTGTAACCAGGTCAAATTCTGTTTTAGTCCATCGTTCATTCCTATTCATCAGACAATTTGGATTCCTCTGTGGTATGATTTGCTTCCGACGATGTGAGATGTTCTTTGTGATTTCTGAAATGCTTTTCTGGATTATTTCAATATTGTCAAAATCAATTTTGTGGCCTGATTCTATAGTATGTAGACCTATGGCTGATGATTTTTCAAGTTTTTCTAGTTCAATTGAATTTCTTGGTGGTCGAAGAGATGGTCTACGGTGTTCATTTCTTCTGATTTTTATTTCTCGAGATGTTTGTCCGGTGTAGATCGCATCACATTCCAAGCACTTTATTTTATAGACACAATTAGATAGAAAATCTTTAGGGATTAGGTCTTTTATATGGACACGGTTGCTTTGAAGTGTGTCTGATGTTTTGAAGAAAACTCTAATCTCGAGCTGATTGAGTACTCTTCTGATATCGTCTGACGTCTCTGCTCTATATGGAATGAAGACTGTTGATGTCCATGTTTTCGGAATGCGTTTTCGGCCATACTTAATGTCTGTATTGATTTTGTTGATGAAGTTCTTTGGGTAGTTGTTTTGCTTGAGAGTTTCAGTAATGTTTGATATTTCTTCTTCTTTTTCTTTCTCACCCGTTGACATCAAAGATTGTGCTCGTCTAATTAGACTTGAAACAACTGAAATCTTCGCACTGATGGGGTGTGATGATTTGAAGTCTAAATATTTATTGGAGCGGGTTTTCTTCCTGAATATGGATATACTAAAATGTCCGTTTTCCCTCCTCTTAACTAGCCAGGTAGTCTAGAAATGGTAGTTCACCGATGTCTGATTCTGCCTGCTTTCGAAGTAAACTGGATTCTGGGAGTTACACAGTTTATTTTCTCCAGGAATGAATTGTGTAGATCTCGTTTTAGTACTACAAAAGTATCATCCACATATCTTAACCATATTTTAGGAGTGAGTATGGTTGAAAAGATGCTATTTTCGAATTTATTCATGTAAAGGTCGACGACTATTGGGGAGACTGGTGAACCCATAGCAACACCATTTGTCTGTCTATATAAACTCCCTTTAGATGTAGAATAATTATTTTCTACTAGACAGAATTCCAAGCTCTTTTCTTGCTTTGTGTGGTACATGGATAGGGTGTGGCAATTCGAATTGCTGCACGTCTGTGCAAATTCTTTTTTGTTAAAACCAGTCAGTCAGTCTTAGAAATGTGTTTCAATTGATTAGATGTTGTATATAAACATATTTTAAGTTGTTATTTACTAGATTAGCTGTTAATATAGGCAACATTTAATTATGTGAATCCCAAGTGTAAATATTAACTCACACAATAATAATGATAATTTGCTTTATTCCAGAAACAGTACTAGTGGTACAGTGTGGAATTTACAGCACTTATCTACAGGATTGCATCTAATTTTATCAAACAATTAAAAGGAGTATTTCAGAAAATAAATATAAAAAAACAACGACCAAAAAAAAACACAAAATAGCCAAAAAGATGCGAAAAAACACTTAGAAGTAGAATGGAAAATAAACAACAATAATAAATATCTCAGTATTGGGTAGTGGAACCTATGATATGTTTATGCGTGGTGAACAGTTAAACTATATCATACAGGAAGTTATGAAATGATATTAAGAATATTTATCGCCATGATGATCAGTTAATTTGATTGAACAACACTAAACAATCATAAACTAAACATTTTCAGGGTTTTTATTGTCAGGTGTAATGCGGTGTTTGTGGTGGTAGTGTGAGTAATCCTGCATAATACGGCGTTCACAACCAAGATTGTCAGTTAATATTGCTGAACAAAAACAATCACAAAACTAATATTACATGATGGTTAATGACAGGATAATTTTGTAATAATCATAGTCCTAATATAGTCGGAACCAGTAGATACACAAAAGAAGGAATAGAGTAAAGTACAAAAAAGTAAGCCAGTGTTAATAATTTAGGTAGCTAAGTATGTTTAAGAAGGTGTTCAGTATAGAATACAAATAAGAGAGAAATAAAAGATCCCAAAATTATGTTATTAACAACAAAGCAAGTCATAGGTTTCGCGCTTAACATTGTCTCTGTCACTTAGAACACGGGCCAAATATGGTATCGTTGGTTGTACGAGCATATATTATTTTTTAGTGATTTCTGGTTCTACTTGATGAGATACAAGGAGAGAGTTGGGAATAGAGGGGGTGTTGGGGGTCGGTGAGTATGGTGTTAGACCATTTTTCGCATGTATTCAGATGCCTTTCTACTAATGTCGTGAGGAGCTGACTGAATTTTACACCACTGGTCCTACAAACTACCTTCAACATCCCTCTCAGGATGGTATAGTCCTTTTTCAGTTGCCCAGGAAAGACACCATACTGTTGAGGTGTCATGCCTATATAGTATCCTACCTTTTCAATTATTACCGCCTTTCACACATAACGTATATTCTTTAAATTTTTGTTTACAATAATCCTTAACACCTTTTAGCTAAACGTCAAACAAGAAAATGTGATTACAATCTGTCTTCATCTGAAATCGCTCCAAAGGTAATGGATGATGATGATGATACAGTGAACGACAGAATGACCTCGACAAGTATTGTATCTGCTTCACATAAAGAAGGCGGAAGCCGTCGGTCATCATTTTCTTCCATTATCGACGTTCCAGATATCATAAACAAGAGAAGTAGTCTGTATACGAACAAATTTCATTCAGAACATTCAAAATCTGATACACATTCTGGCAGTTTAATATCAAACACCAACTCGAAAAGTGTTTGTCCACAATCTCGTCATTGTCGGCGGCTTACTTCAGCAACAACAACACCACCACCACCAACAACAACAGCCCTATTTAGGAAACCTCTTACTGAAAGTGAATATAAAGCACGTTATTGGGGTCAAATGTTAGATACCTTGAGGCGAACTATAGATGAGATTTATTCAGCGTGTGAAACTGACGAGAATGAAGTGGAATGCAAGGTGAGCAGTTTTACTGACATATGTCTTTATACTATGATATATCTTGTCTGATAAGCGGCTATTCTATGACTATTCTCACCCTAAATTATAACCTTTTTTTTCTTTCCTTCACGTTCCCAGTTGAACATAGGGCTTCAAGCTAGTGGCTTGAAGTTTCTGTAGCAGTGTTTAATTTTTACAGGATAGGGTTGCTAGCCACCTCATGCCAAACCTTCCCTCTTTACCAGCATTATTTCTGCCTTAGCGAAGTAAAGGAGTGCGTTGGCGGCCGGGGATCGAACCCCGGACCATGTGTATGATCGGCGTGCGCCTTAACCGCTGTGCTACCGACGCACGAAATTATAACTTACTCACATGAATTTCTGTTGTTTTGTATTTTGTTTTCAGGAAGTTATCATGATCCTGGAACACAGTAAACAAGACTTTTTCTCATTAATTGAAAAGATGAATTTACTACGGGATTATGAACAAGCTGATGAACAAAATAAGTAAGTCTGTCTATTTTATGATTTATTAAAACACAAAGGGGATACATTGTGGGCTCTGAGTGGTGCGCTACACAAAATCTCATAGTTTGTTCGAGGGCTAGGATACTTACTACCCGGATGTTCAGACCGAAGCAGGTATTGGTGGTTGTTTTCTTAAGGGGCCAGCTCCCTGTGAACCTTTCACATGAATTCTGATCTACAAGTTAGTGGAAATACGCTCCAATGATTTCTGGTGACCAAACTAAACAAGTTGATACGATATTCGATCCGGTCGGATTCTGTATGTAGTCTGTGTACACAATAGACCCAGAGACTGCGGCAGATGTGCTCACGCCATTCTTGCAAAAGGATTGGAAGGAAGAGAGGAAAAGTACCTACTGGCTTGGAGAAAGGTTACCTTATCAAGCTACCAAAGAAGGGCGACTTACGTCTAACTCTACAAGAATTGGCGTGGAATAATGCTCTCGTCCACGCCAAGTAAAATACTAAAAAAAAATAAAATCAGTTTCTCTACAAATATATCAACTAAGTTTCAATCCTGTGGTGATTACTGAATGTCTTCTAGATAGATTTCTAAACTTCTGATCGGAACATGCCAATTATTAGGTCTATTAAGCCTCAGGTGTGAGAACACTTATACTCCAGCAATGCTGCTGGATTTCGGCTGTGCTGTTACGCAAATCACCAGGAGTTGGAAATGATCATGTGATTAGATTCCAACTGGTGTTCACATGTTTACAGATTCTCATCGATCCTTCGAAAAATCATGGTTTCTCTGTGCTAAATGAGTTCTAAGCTGTGCACTGTGATCCATTTTTATTGATTATCAATGGTGTTTTCGCCCCCCTTCCCTCCAACCGGGTTCATTGTAAAGTTCTTTTTACGAGCTGATCACGGATTGTTATCAGTTAGAGAACCATTGGAAACCTGCTACAGGGAGTACTGGACAGCTAGCTGTTTCATTAGTCTAGTTTGGGAATCATTGGGAGTACTCACCCACCGCCAGATTTCGGACCCAGCACGCTCCGGTTACAAGGCTAACGAACTCGTATACCATTCAGTCACTGGGACCCAACTCTTCAATGGTCAGCCCATGAATTCCAACTTCTACCAATTCATGATTTTAGTGTGACTGGCACCAACCAATATCATCTGTGGGAAATTGTTATGTACTCGTCGGTGAATTATTGTTATGGACTGGTCGAGAAACTAATAGTCCTGACGCGAGAAGGCGGAAATCAGAAGACCACTAGGTTTGCGATGATACTTCTATTGTCCAAACACAAGGAGACGAAAATAAATGGTCTCACACCAAAGTGGTAAGTAAGTAAAGTAGTTGTAAAGTAGTTCACACAAATTGTGAATGCGAATATATATAAATGTTCCAGACAAAGCGTGGGAAAAATCATTAGACAGTCTTAACATGAATGGCTAATTATAATGGAGTGTCGATCCAAATATACATAGCGAATATAGCAGACATGCCAACAACCATATATGGATATATGTCACCAAGCAACGGACTGTCAACAAACACTCATATTATATATAATATAATATAAGGAGAATATACATTATTAAAGGAGACAAGTTCATACAAGTGAAGTGGTCACAGACTAACCGAGCAAACAGAAAGAGAGACCAACATACACACACACATAAATATATATATGTGGATACATATCACCTCCCCTTTTGAGAAGATGATGATTAGTAGGATGTTTACCTGGGGGTTTATCTGGGACCTTTGGGCTTGTTGTTGACGCCTGTCGTTTCGTCTGATTGTTGGGTTTGCGGCTTCGGCTCCGTCCGGAATTGTCTGACATTTTATGCTTCTTGACTGCATTGCATACGAATTTAGTGGGACATCAGCCAGATGCAAACGATCGAACCAATCAAGTCCCAAAACATTTAAATCACTCTGGGTGACGTAACAAATTCCTGTGAATTTGGTATTGCGGAAGGAAACAGAACATTTGAGTTCACCAATTAGTTTGAGCCGCCCACCACAGGCGCTGACAAGAGACTGGGAAGTATTGGTGATAGGTGGTCTGCCAATATAATTCCAAAGTTTCTCTGATATAACAGTAATATCAGAGGCGGTATCTAGCTGCAGACGTGCATCATGACCATTCATCTGAAGGTCAATATATTTCCGCATACTTGGTGTTGTGACTTGACAGGTTGCGTGTAGACTCAATGATCTTTTTGGAGATTTAGGACCAACATTTTGTCGAGCTTTTGCTGGATTTTGACATCTGGGTTTGCGTGGCTGACAAAAACCATTTTTATGACCGATGATTTTGCACTTGCTGCAACGATGATTTTTGTATGGGCAAGACTTTACAAAGTGCCACGCGCCACAATGCCAGCATGGTGATGGTGGGGTCTTCTTTGCAGTATTTTGTGAAGTTGGACGAGTATCTGTAGATTTCCGCGGGACATTAAGAGTAGGTGGGTCAGGAGTAGATGATGAGAGATTTTTGCTCTTTCGTAATGCACGAATATCAGAGCTTCTCGAAGGTGTTGATTCGACCAGGTGTGTGTCTTTCTGCAGATTAATCAGCCGTTGATATTCATCAGCTATGTCATGTAATGTTAACTTGGGATTTTGTTCTAGCTGATTGAGCAGTCGAGTTCGGATATCTGTGAAACGAGGAGATTGGAGACTGCATATGAGAATCAAGGCTTTGAACTGATCATCTGTTAAGGACCTGAGTCGAAATCTCTCACATTCTCGGTTGACTGTGCCAACGTGAGTAAGAAAATCATCATTTTCATTCATTGCCAGCTTGAGGCAACGATAACGTATACTGAATAATGAGGAGTGGTCTCCGAAATGTTCACGCAGCAGCTTTATTGTATCATCGAAACAATTGTCACGTGGTTTCTGGGGTAAAATTAGGTTGCAGTACCGTTCATATTCTGCCGGACCCAATTTACGTAGCAACACTCGCACCTTCCAGGCATCGTCTTGTGAGGCGAGATCAACAGTGAATAAATCCTCATAACGTTGATACCATGTGTCAAAAGTGACATTAGCCTCTGGGTCATAATTGAACTGTGAAATGCTGTTCACAATGCCGTCGACAGATGGTAGCATGGTATGATTGGGATTGCTTGAAGGTGAAGCTGGACCAGTCTGTTGGTTGACGAACATTTCCATTAATTTCATTTGTCGTTCAAACAATAATTCCAATTTAGAAGGATCCATAGTAAATTGTTATGTTGCTGCTGCTGAGTGGTTAATAGTAGTTTTCCCCGTCGCCAAATTGTTATGTACTAGTTTTCCCCGTCGCAAAATGGTTATGTTAATGGAGTGTCGATCCAAATATACATAGCGAATATAGCAGACATGTGAACAACCATATATGGATATATGTCACCAAGCAACGGACTGTCAACAAACACTCATATTATATATAATATAATATAAGGAGAATATACATTGATAAAGGAGACAAGTTCATACAAGTGAAATGGTCACAGACTAAGCGAGCAAATAGAAAGAGAGACCAACATACACACACACATAAATATATATATGTGGATACATATCAGAAATCTATCCTCACACTTGTCTGTTTGAACCTCACTGGTCAAGACTTCTCATTAGAACTCCAGGAGACTCCTGTCTGTCTGGATTCAACATAGAACTTGGCACCGAAGTGCACCAGTTCGAGTTGCCACGTTCCAAATAGCACACAGAGGTAGACAAGAAGATGAGTGAAGAGAATCAATAGAGTTTGACCGGTATAAGAGCGAAACAGAATGGGTAATGGTAGAAAGGAATATGAAAGATTACAGAGACTGAATACATCTGCGCTGGTCATTGAAAACGATTTTGAGCCATGTCACCTATTGTTTGCAGCCATTGATTCCTAGAGTCAGTCCCGAGGGCTTCAACCCGGAAGTCTGCATCTCCCTACCTGACTCAGTTTAACTGTCAAGGATTTCATGGATTGACGCGATGTTTTCGTTTGGCCACCACCTACTCTTTTCCAACCTGGACCTATATCAGCTAATAATGCCCGTCGGGGGACCATGAAACTCCATCCTTTAGCAAGTCACTGGCAAGCATCAGATTAATTTTCAAGAGTGGATGCGTACTGCCGATGATTCACAAACTAGACTGATCAAACAGCTAGCTGTCCAGTACTCCCTGTGGGGCTGGTTTTCAATGCTTCTCTAACTGATATCAATCAATCCCGGAGTCAAATTCGAAAAGCAAACCAAATCCTTACAAATTAATTATAGAGAAAGTTCATTTTAATGATTAAAAAAAGAATTTATTTGTCCCTACAATTTCTTCTTTTTCTCCAATCAATAATGTCATATTTCTTGTTATTTTCTGTTTTTCAGACCAAATTCTCTTGCATGGGATGAACGTACTACTCTACCAGGAAAACCAATAATGTGTCAAGTTCTTGCCTCTACTGCAGCATTTGCTTCAGTCAAAAAACAATCTTATCTATCCATTCCGCTAGTATTCAGTAATAATAATAGTAATAATAAATCAGATAGTAGTGTCATAGAGATTGTAGATAGTGATTCAAATTCTGAATTCGATGCGAATAGATCTGGTAGCAATTCGTGTATATCAGATAGACGATCTAAAGTGTTTAACGCAAAAAAGAATCATAATACTACTAATAGTAATAATAGTAACAAGAATAATAGCCCTAATGAAGAAGAAGACGAAGAGGAAGAACCTAGTAGTCTTTCTCAACCTTCACTTATACCTTCTCTTTCAAACGCATATGAATCATGTAAACGAATAGGCTCAAAACGAATTCATTGTAATCCTGAGTGCCAGAATACTACTACCTCCTATAATAGTAGTAGAGATAAATTTAAATTATGTCCTACAAGTCTAGACAATGAACCACCACGATGTCAAGATGGTGATGGTGATGGTGATGAAGACGAGGTTGACGCGTCGTATACTGGCTTGTCTATGTGTAGAACTACTGAAGATGATGCTATCGACATAGAACATGATCACCACCAGGGTGAAGATATGACTAGATACGCATATTTAGTGGATGATGACGATGATGAAGAGGATAATGAATACGCTGATCAAGAGGATAATACACTGTCACGTGATTTGGAAAAGCTGGACAAGGTAAGAATTTATTAAAATTATTATTATTGTTCCCCTGGGTTCCTAGTAGGAACATAAGGCTTCAACTGCACGTCTCCACTTGCTTCTGTCTTGTTTCTGCTGTACTTTTCACCTGCATCCATCTTAGTCCATATATACTGTTTCAACTCCTCTTCACACGATCTCATACATGTCACCCTTGCACTGACGTACCCCCACTCACCGCTTCCCATTTTGTCTGGTTCCACTCGAGCGATGGGCTGATGCGCGCGCGATGGCCTCCTCAGCCTTGAGTGTCCAATCCATCTCCACTTTCTCCTGCATATTTGTTGGTTCTTGTTTTGTGTGTTCCTTCACATAGTTTCTTGTTGGTGATTGTTTCCGACCCGGACATCTGATTGATCCTCAGTATAGAGCGATAGTTGACAGTTGTTGGTTGATAAAGGTCTGGTACAGGCTGTTGGTTGGAAATATTCTTTGTGACCCGCCCGCCAAGTTTCTGATCCGTATAGAGGAGCTGACTGACCTGACGTTGTTTGTATTGAAAATCCGACCGAATTTTGTTGTTGATGCTGGCTGAGTGACGAAGATTTCGAGATTAGATTGGTTTCAGGTTGATGAGTGAATGTGTTTCTCGCCTAGATTTGACATCGTCGTCCGTTCCGACTTCCTGTAGTTGAGACAATGCTTCCTAGACGCAGATATTTACTTTGTCTGCAAGCTTTCATCAAAACTTGCTGCAAAGATCTTATCCGACGGCATAATAACATTCTAAAACATACAATCAACCGGTTAGGAATCAAATGTTCCGACAGAGAAACGATTCACAACCTTTATTTTTAGAAAAGAGTGTGAAGAATGATCAGACCGAAATGTGACATCAATTCATGAAGTCTTTGACTTTGTAGGGAAGTGTAAACTGTCTTGATGGGCTCTTCGAAGTGCATTTAAAAAAATCTCTGTCCGTCAGTTAATCAATCTATTATAGAAAAGAAAAAACACCCAATACGAAATTCACTAAATCTGTTATCCCTTTTAGAGAGAGGTGTACCTGAGAAATTTGTTAACATCTTGGAAGCCCTATACAGAAACACCTCAGGTAGAGTGAGAGCATACAACCAACTATCATCACTGTTCCCAACCAACAGTGGAGTTAGACAGGATTGCCCAATCTCTCCATTTCTTTTTAACTTTGCCATCGATGACATTCTGGAGTCAGCTCTGAAGGATGTGCGTGAAGGTGGGGTAGATCTGCTACCTGGAGATAGAATCTTCGACCTCGAGTATGCAGACGATATCGTCTTACTGTGCGATAGCATGCAAGCTGCCCAAATCGCACTTAATCAGTTGGCGATCAGTGTCTGTAAATATGGTATGTACTTTGCGCCGTCTAAGTGCAAAGTACTGTTACAAGATTGGCGTGAGCCTGTACCTGCACTCACTTTTGCGGGTGAACCGTTTGAAGTTGTTGATAAGTTCGTGTATCTGAATAGTTGTGTGGGTGCTGTCAGAGCTGTGTCGGTCGAGATTACCAACCGTATCATGAAAGCTATGATGATATACGTCAACTCGAGCCACCACCTCTGGAGCCGTCTTGACGTTAGTCTGGCTGTAAGAGGTCGGGTATGCAGTGCTTCTGTGAACGCTATTTTGCTCTACGCCTACGAAACCTGGCCCCTCCGGGTGGGCTGAGGATTTGCGGCGACTCTGCGTATTCGATTATCGCTGTCTCCGCAGGATTGCTTGCGTTCGATGGCATCATCGCATGACTAATTTTAAAGTCTGGCGGCGTGTGTTTCGAAACAGTGGAGATCACCATTCATTGAGTGTCGTCATCTGGAAACACCGGCTCCGGTGGCTTGTACATGTGCTGGGAATGTCATCCCAGAGGCTTCCGTACAGGTCTCTGTTCGCTAGTCAGCCCTGGGACGGGATAGAAAAGACGGAGGGGTGGTCAGTGCATGACGTGGCGTCGTGGGATGAAGGATGTTTCTGCTAGATTAGCATTGGTTGGTGCATCACGACTCCCTGGTTGGGGTCCAAGAGATAGCTTGAAACGTTATCAGATATGGCCAAGAATCGTAATCAATGGCTAACGTGTTGCAATTTTCTTCTTACTTCCTTTCACGATGATAGTTAACGAATACTGTTTGAACTTGTTAAGTATGACTGTTTTCCTTCCAGATGAAGTTCTTTATCCTTTCTTTACTTATATCTTTTTTACTTTTAATCTATGTTGTTTTATTGTTATTGTGTGGCGCATCCTTTTTGGTGCTATATTGTACCAAGTTTTTTCTGTGTTTAAATAAATAAATAAATAATTCTATTTTTCTCTTCTGTTGTATTTCTTCTAAAGGCCATTGAACATGTCACTACTGCTGAACGTGTTCTGTCACATCAGTTAGACAGAGCTCAGTTAGCCGAAGCTGCTCTTCGTAGACGACTAATTGAAGAAGAAGAGGAGAAGGCGGCATTTGTTGTCCAATCAACTGGTTATAATCAATCTTGGTATCTCCATAGACATCGGCTTAAAAATGGTGGTAATAATAATAACAATAGCAATAACAATAATAATAACAGTTTCATCAAACTTACACATAATAAAAATCATCTCAAGTCAGGGGATATTCATCGTCCAAGTGATAATACTACAGATGAATTTGGCATTGATACAGACGCGGATGTAGTTGATATCGACAGCGTTACACTGGATGATGATGATGAGGAGGAGGATGTTGACGAGTCAGAAAAACTGATTGTTAATAATACTAACACAAAGGATAAACAGATTAAGGAGAAAGCACCTACAAGTGTTACAAATCAACCCTTGAATTCTACTACTACTACTACTACTACTATTACTACTGACGATGATCCTATTCAACCTGGATCAAATATTGATCTGATTAAGAAGACGACTGATATCAATGCTGATACTGAGAAGAAACAGCATTCCTGTTGTAATTGCCAATGTCATAATCATAATAACCGTGATATTTCCAACAATGCGACTAGTGAAAATAAGACTGTTGAACAAGTGCAAAAAAAATCCACCTCTGAAAATTGTTACATTTCCAAGCCTAATTCACAATCACAGTATTTCACGAACAACAATGCAATAAGCACCGCTCATAAGTCAGATATCTCTTCAACTGAAAAAGAGTTAAATCAATCGGAAATCAATGGTGATGAGTATGCTTACCAAAAGATTTATCAAAGTGAAGGATACAGCAGCGGTAAGTGTTTTACATCAGTAAAATCAGGTGAGAATGCTTTCATCTGTAGAGGTTTGTATACATTGGTCTCTAATGTTGTCTTCAGTATTGTTACAAAAAAAGTAAAGTATAAGTACTCTTCAGGAGAATTTCGTGGATAGGTTGATCGATTTTCTGACGGAAATCCAGACTTTGAAATAATAAAGAAGATTTGTAGCTCAGGTGAATGATTTGTAACTAATAGTGTTCTCTGAGCTGGTTAGTTGGTTTAGTTGCGGAGCTTTCGTCGTCCCCCCACTGCTGGACAACATCCCCCTTCAGCGCAATATTTAGCCTAAAGTAAAATGACTTAATTTGTTCATGAGTGATATAATTGCCTCTCCCGGTAACCATCTTTACATATGTATTGATCATTTTCTATTGTCTTGGATTTTAAACTTTCTGGTCACCTGATTTAGTTTATATTACTTGGTCTATATTAACGTGTTAGTTAACTGCTGGCTGATCCGTTTGAGTACCAGGCTTGGCTTCTAGGAATTCCCTGACTGCACTTTTGGTGGTGTTTTCTCTGTCTAAGATTTCGACGTTATCCCAGTTATCAAACTGATGTCCATAATTGTCCATATGCATTGATATGAAACAGGAATATATATCGTGTCTTTTCACGGCTGATTTGTGTTCCTGGATTCTAATTCGAAGGGGACGCCCACTTTGGCCGATCACAAATCAGCCGTGAAAAGACACGATATATATTCCTGTTTCATATCAATGCATATGGACAATTATGGACATCAGTTTGATAACTGGGATAACGTCGAAATCTTAGACAGAGAAAACACCACCAAAAGTGCAGTCAGGGAATTCCTAGAAGCCAAGCCTGGTACTCAAACGGATCAGCCAGCAGTTAACTAACACGTTAATATAGACCAAGTAATATAAACTAAATCAGGTGACCAGAAAGTTTAAAATCCAAGACAATAGAAAATGATCAATACATATGTAAAGATGGTTACCGGGAGAGGCAATTATATCACTCATGAACAAATTAAGTCATTTTACTTTAGGCTAAATATTGCGCTGAAGGGGGATGTTGTCCAGCAGTGGGGGGACGACGAAAGCTCCGCAACTAAACCAACTAACCAGCTCAGAGAACACTATTGATTGGAAATCCAGACTGAACGCTGCTCAGTTTTACTTGTATTCCCATTAACTTTATAATTCGAAGATTTTTTGCCACTGATCGGGTTATTATCTTTTAGGCCTAAGGTGACACCTAAGAAGTGTGCGACAATGCACCAGTGACTTTGGGAAGATAGATCCATGGCTTTGAAAGATAAATTCAGTCACTTAACACACAACCCCACCAACCCTAATCTACGCCTATTTATAACTGTTATTATTATTATTCCCTTGGGTTCCGAGTGGAAAATAGCGCTTCAGCAGTACATGTCCGTTTCATCCTGTTCTCTGAAGTCCTCTCTAACCTGGCTCAATTGTTCCCCTCACATGATCTCCTCCACCTCAAACTCGGACACCCCACTAGTTGATTCTTATTCGACTTGTATTCGACGGCCTCTAGTACGTAATCGTCGAGTACAAGCCGAATAAGAATCAACTAGTGGGTTTCCGAGGTTGAGGTGGAGGAAATCATGTGGGGGGACGGCCTCTAGCACGTACGTAATGTCAGGAGGAACAAACGAGGGAAAATCAAACAGGCTTTAGACCAGCTAGAGGGTGCATAGATCATATCTTCACTCTTCGACAGATTCTAGAACATAGACACACTTTTCGGCGTCCAACAATTGTCATATTTCTTGACTTGAAGGCGGCCTTTGACTCCGTGGATCGAAAGGTACTATGGCAATGTCTGACTGTGAAGGGAGTGCCAAGAAAATACATTGCACTAATCAAGGCACTCTATTCATACTCACGTAGTCGTGTAAGGGCTTATAGGGAATTGTCATCTGAATTGGTAACAACCAGTGGTGTCCGACAGGGATGTCCACTTTCCTCATTTCTGTTTAACTTCATCATAGACATGCTAATGGAAGTATCCTTAACTGAACTTAACGACATAGGAATCGACTTGTTACCAGGGAATAATCTAATGGACTTAAAATGTGCAGATGATATAGTCCTGTTAGGGGAGGATGCTTACAAAATGCAGAGTCTTCTGAACACCTTGAGCAGCAATCTTCGTATGTTTGGTCAGAAAAATGTGATGTATGTTTGGCATGCGATTCGCCCCTGCAAAATGTAAGATGCTGCTACAGGACTGGACTACGTCAGCTCCTAGCTTAGTGATAGGGAGTGAAGTGATAGAACATGTTGACCATTTCTCACCTATTTGGGAAGTTGTATCACCACCAACGGACTGATTGGCGACGAAATCTCAGCAAGGATCCAGAAAGCTCGAGCTGCTTTCGCCAGCTTACACCATCTCTGGCGTAGGCGTGACATCCGGCTATCAACCAAGGGACGTGTGTACTGCTCAGCAGTTCGCTCCGTCCTTCTCTATGGCTCTGAAACATGGCCAATACGAGTTGAAGACATGAAAAGGTTGACTGTTTTTGATCATAGATGTCTCCGATCTCTTTCTCACGTTAGGTGGTATAATAAGGTAAGTAATGTTGACGTTAGGCGTAGAGTGTTGGGCAAAGAAGGAAAATCAATTGACGAGGCCATAAAGTTACATAGATTGAGATGGCTAGGTCACGTGGTGCGCATGCCTAACCACCGCCTCCCCCGACGGACATTACTAGCTGATATAGGTACAGGTTGGAAACGAGTAAGTGGTGGCCAAACGAAAACATCGCGTCAATCCATGAAATCCTTGACAGTTAAACTGAGTCGGTCAGGTAGGGAGATGCAGACTTCCGGGTTGGGGCCCTTGGGACTGACTCTAGGAATCAATGGCTGGAGACAATAGGTGACATGGCTCAAAATCGTTTTCAATGGCCAGCGCAGATGTATTCAGTCTCTGTAATCTTTCATATTCCTTTCTACCATTACCCATTCTGTTTCGCTCTTATACCGGTCAAACTCTATTGATTCTCTTCACTCATCTTCTTGTCTACCTCTGTGTGCTATTTGGAACGTGGCAACTCGAACTGGTGCATTTCGGTGCCAAGTCCTCTGTTGAATCCAGACAGACAGACTTAATGTCAGCCAATGGTGGTCTCCTCAGTGTGTATGTCTACTCCATCTCCATTTTCTCCTACATATATATGTTGAATGATATGCTCGTGATTGGTTCGTTGCCAGAGTTTCATGCTACTAATTCTTTCTGACTGGCCATCCGATCTTCACTATGGAGGCAGTGAAAACAGCAATTGATAAAAGTCTGAGGCGCCTGGTGGAAATGTTGTTAAAAATCCGAATTTCGTTCTTTATGCTGAGATCTTCAGGAGATCTCCACACTGATTTCAGAAGGTTGAAGGTCTGTCTTGCTTTTCCGATCCTGGTTTTGACCTCTTCATCCTTTCTGATCCTGGCTGTTGTTATTGGTTTGCTAGTTCACTAGTTTTCTAGTGTACTAAGGCTCGTAAAATTGTGTGTGTGTGGGGGGGGGTTGAGCACGAGGCTAGCGGGGCTCTACCTCGGAAAATCAATCTAATGGTTACAGAAACTTCAAAGCATGACATAAATCTATAAACAAATCCACGTCTAACCTATCCCCCATCTTAATCTTCCTATAATTTAACCTAAAATCAACTGGATTTCCTGTTGCGTATTATTGACGCTTCACTCAGCACTGTGCCTGCTTTGATTGCCTTGATCTAACCACGGGTTCCAAGAGCATTATTGGTGCGTTCGTATCTGTTGGATGTTTAAAGTTTAATTTCACTTTTTTTTAGGTTGGAGTTTGAATTGAGTCCTGTTAATTTTGATCCTTCATATTCATATATTGATCTGTTTATCTTGCTTTTTCGAATACTTTGATGAGTTCTTATTTGCCAAGTACTTATCAGAGCTGTTTTGATCTGTGTGCCTGTAGGAACATTTGCTGTTATTGTCTTTGAATAATAATTCAGAATACGATGATATTTCTGTTATATGTCAAATCATCAGGTCTTGTTCGTTTGCCAATTTTTTTCGATTAGAGAGACCTTTTTCAAACTCGGTTACTGCCTATTCAGTCTAGGGTTGGATGATGATGGTCAACTCTGGTGGATTTGTAAGCCAGTTTAACTGATTCTTCAAGTGCTATGCCCAACTTTCTAGTTGTCTCACTTGAAGAGTTTTATCCTTTTCTTTGGTAGTTTGATGTATCATGACTTCTTTGGTAGCCATCTTCTTAGAAATCCTGAATAATTGATGGGCGCCTGTTTCATTTCCTTCGATTTTTGTCACCTATCATTATTTGTAGTCAGTCCGTACGAAAACTCTTAGTTAGCTTACCCCTGTATGTAAGGTAGGTCCCCTATCGGTTTGTCTGATGTGTTTGGGTTTTTGGTGTATCATTGAGACTAGATAGCATTTATTACTTATGTTCTTGTTAGGTGTGTGATAAAATCATGTAGAATTGAAAGGAGGTCATGTTGACTCACACCCCTAAGAAGGAAAACTTTACAGTGGACTGTCAAAAGAACAGAGATATTTGAGAAAAATGGAACTTAATACAGAAAAAAAAGATTAAGGAGAAGTGTGCATTACCGTAACAAGATAGAAATACAACATAATGATAAGCGAGGGTTAAATGCTTGTTCACTACCTCCTAGTTCCTATCAGTTCGGATATTTGGCTGGTTGGGGTAGCACCCGACTTTCAGCCACTGGGCACCTTGAGTAGTAGTAGTGGTTACCTGCTATGACAAGGGACACACTTCACCGCCTCAGTTTCCCACAGGGTCTTCAAGAGCTGAATTTGAAATCTCATCTGTTACGTACATCAGTGCAGTCTGTATCCAAGGCGCTAGCGATAGTCAAAAGATTTAAAGGTGCGGATCCATATTCTTTCTCAATGTACTAATTTGATGCGCTTCTCGTTGGAGTCTACAAATCCATGGATCACTTGTTGGCGCTAGTCGACAACACACTGATGACGATACAGCACCTAGCAGATGATAATACCATCGTTCCAAACATTCTTCAAACCATATCTTCCCGTGGGAAGGTGTCCTTATTGTGAGAAGTTTGGTCACAGAGCCTAGAGATGTGTGGACACAACAAAGTAGTCAGCGTTTAAAATAAAGAAGTTTAGATGTTAGACTAGGAGGCTACACCAGTACGCCGCGCTGTGTGTGATGAATGTCAACAAGTGCGAAACCTAGTTCCCCACGGCTTTCTGTCAATCGCCTACGACAGTCTAATATAGCTAGCTACCTTTTGAATCACTGATGCATTGTGTCTCCCTTCTTTTTTTGATGTTCTCTTATTGTCCTTTTTAACAGAACAATCAAATTTTGTTGATTCACTACCAGAAATGAAGCGTCAACACGACGTTTCTGATGCAAATATACAACCAGAAAATGATACCTTTATAAAATGCCTATTGGAGTTAAGAGAGTCAGGGAAATCTGTCGACCGGAGATCTCCACATATTCGTGGTTCAAATGATGAATCAGTCTCTGTGTCAGCATCATCAGCTCATTATGCATTACCAACTGTTGCTTCAGATGGTAGCATTTGTCAACAAGGTGTACTTTTGATTCCAAAAACGGAGGTAAAGTCACGTACACCTGGTCATGGCGTTCATATGCATGAAAAACTTTCTGCTCGTTCAAAAAAGCGGTAATTTTCATTTCTATATTTTGTGTTAAATTTTTTGCTTTTTACGTGAAAGATTTCATGATTTCTAACATTCATCATGGTGTGTTACATAATGTGTGTGTGTTATATATTATTACTGGATTCTGAAGACTAATTGTCAAATAAGCAGTTTTAAGATATTTCATGTAATTTCTCCGGACATTTTAAATGTCGATTTCGTCAGGAACACTGACACCAGTTTTAGGTGACAAAGGGTTAGGCTGGAAAAGAGCTAGCCGCGGTCAAACCAAAACATGGCTTCATCAGTCAATGAAATCTACAACAGTTAGTTTAAGCCTGCCACGTAGAAAGATGTAGACTTCCTGGTTGTGGGGTCCCTGGGACGGTAAAAACCAAAGTCTGGAAACAATCGGTGATATGGCTCAAAATCGTTCTCAGTGATGGCTGGTGAAGATACATCCACTCCTTGTTACTTATGATTTCAAATGAAACTATATTGTTCTTCATTATTACTATTCCTTTTGTCTCATATCCCTGTTTACTGTCTCTATTATGCATTTCTTCTACTTTCTTGTCTTGCTTTGTGTGCTACATGGAGGGAGTGCGGCGACTTGAACTGCCACACATCGGTGCAATTATATATATATATGTATATATATATAATTCTTTTGCGTTCTGAGTGGAACATAAGGCTTCAAGCTTGTGTTTTGGAGTTTTAGCCGCAGCGATGTTTTTTGTTTACCAGACAGGGTTGTTAGCGTCACGCTTAGCCTTCCCTCTCTTTTTGTCGGGCTTACAAGCAAACAACGACTAGCAGAGGTAAAGATGTGCGCCGACCCGAACCGAACCCCACATACATGGTTGACGGACATTCTACCGCGGAACCATCGACGTACAAGACTGTAACCTAAAACTCATTGTTTTCTTTGTACTTACAAGACAGACATATTAGCTTGTTTATTAGATGTATCACACAGTGAAACAGTATTATTTACTGGATGACGTTTCGATTTTTTAACAAGGCAGGAATAAAAGTGGCTGGCATTCAAACCCCCACAAACTCAACTAGAAACAAGCTTTGTCGGTTAAAGGATCCTGACAGTGGAACCTTTAAAACAAAAAAAAAATTAGTTTATCTAATACCCTGCCTGCAATGATTGTCAGGTCAAACTAGTATAACAGGAGTAGTCAGACAAGTTGAACATAAAAACCTAGCAAAATCTAGATCGGTTGACTCAAATAAGATAAGAAATCTAGAGAATAGTTCAGCTATACCACTCACTACATACAGTTACATACAACAATACAACAGGATGGGATAGGATGACAGTTTTAAAATCTAGTGTCACAGGGTGGAGGGAGAGATTGATAACAGAAACTTTGTTTATCGAATCATTTGCAGATACTGTCTGTCTGTTTTCGACATAGAACTTTGCACAAATGTGCGACAGTTCAAGTCGCCACACTCCGTGTAGCACGCGAAGCAAGAGACGAAAGTACAAGAAAAGCATAATAGAAACAGTGAGCAGAGGTGTGAGACAAAGGAGGAGTAATAACGAAGAACAAAACAGTTTCATTGGAGATCATAAGTCACAAGGAGTGGACGCATCTGCACCAGCCATTGAGAACGACTTTGAGCCATGTCACCAATTGTTTCCAACTATAGATTTTTACCGTCCCGAGGACTCCAACCAGTCAGTCAGGAAGTCTACACCTTCCTACGTGGCTTAGACTAACTGTTGTGGATTTCATTGACTGGTGAAGCCGTGGTTTTGTTTGACCGCCGCTAGCTTTTTTTCAGCCTGACCATATATCCGCTAACATTGCTCGTCGAGGGAGGCGATGGCTTGGCATACGTAACACATGTCCTAACCATCTCAGTCTTTGTAACTTCACAACTTCGTCGATTGATTTCCCCTGTTTACCTAGAACTCTACGCCTAACCTCAATGTTGCTCACCTTATTATGCCACTTCACACGGGAAATAGAGCGCAGGCACCTATGATCAAAGACGGCTAGTCTTTTCATGTCTTCCGCTCTCAGTGGCCAGGTCTCACAACCATAAAGGAGGACGGATCGGACTGGTGAGAAGTATACTCTCCCTTTGGTCGATAGTCGAACATCTCGTCTACGCCAGAGTCGGCGTAAACTAACAAATGCGAAACGAGCCCCTTGTATTCGTGCTGAGATTTCGTCAGAGATCAACCCGTTGGCACTGGTTGATGGTACTTCCCAAATAAGTGAAGCGGTCAACGTGCTCTACCACTTCACTTCCTATTTTTAAACTAGGCGTCGATGTAGTCCAGTCCTGTAACATCATCTTGCATTTGGCGGGAGCGAATCGCATGCCAAACATTCGTAGATTGCGGCTCAAGGTGTTTAGAAGACTCTGCATTTTGTCAGCGTCCTCGCTCAGAAGGACTATATCGTCTGCATATTCTAAGTCAACGAGATTATTCCCTGGTAGCAAGTCAATGCCTGAGTCGCTTCAGATACATGTAATAGGAATGATTGAACACCTATCCATCCAAACATCTTGAAAATTCTACTACCGCAGTGACGACAAATAGGAGAAGACAAAGAAAACTATAAAACTCAAGTTTGGAAGTTGTGTGATTATAATTGATCGGTATGATTATGAACAATAAATTTTGTTCGAAACTGTGTCATCCAGTAAATCACAATACTGTTTCATCACTGTATGATACATCTAGTAAAGAAACTAATATGGAATTACTTACTACCACAGTGCCCAAGTTTTACACATTTATTACAAGACAGACCTACTCTAACTTTTGATTAATTAATCGTTGAGTGTTGTCTTTTCATTTTTGTTGCCATATAGTTAGTTGATGTATAGACATCGGTTATGTAATCACATGGATCAGTTGTTTTCTTCATTGTTTCTATTCTGCCTTATTTCTCTGGTTATAATAATAATAGTAATAATAACAATAGCAATAATAATAATAACAATAATAATAGAACTTTCATTTTCACCCTGATTTTATTGATTTCTGCTGAGTTGATATTATTATTTTTGTTTAACAGCTTATTTATCAACCATATCATAGCTATTGTATTTTACAAAGGTTTATGTCTCTCTGTCACAATATTTTTTCAATTTTTACTTTACTGCTAATCGATAGTGGAGTTGATGCACAATGACGGTGTAATTTATCTTTGATACTTGAGAACTATTGTTCCATAATTACTGTTTGACGAGAAATCACTGATATGGTCTGCCCACTACACTAACGTGTTATACACACCCTTTTTTGATGATGACTACATTCCCAGTTGTCGCGTGACCGAGAACTGCGTTGCGTTCTGAGTGGTAAATCTCAATCGAATCCGGTTGTCTTGCCATCACTTCCAACTTCCACCTGTGCGCTTCCATTACCCCTTCATATGATCTTCTATGTGTATCACCCTCGGATAATGTTTCTTCACTCTAGGGTTTGATGTGTAGTGTGACTGAACGGACTTCCCAGCGTTATGTTCAATCCGTCTCCCGGTTTCTTCTTCTGTATATTTATATTGAGTGATAGATTGTTTGCTGGTTCTGTGCCTACCAGAATTCCTTGTTGCTTATTCTCTCTAACTGGCTATCTGATCCTGGGTATCGATCGAAGACAATACGAATAGAAAAGTTGAATTCACACAATAGAGAGGAAGATATATACTCACTGGTGGTGCTCAATAGTGGCTAACTATAAGATGAAGTTGCTTTAAGTTCTAATGGGAAGTTTTGACCAGCGTGTGGGGTTCACCAAAACAGTTGGTGTGAGGAAAAAATACTCGCCGATGACACACCGCCTCGAAATCTCGCCAAAAAATCGTAAAATCGACAGAAGTTAGAATTCATGTACCATCGCACACTCTGTCCCAGTGGCTTAGTGGTATTCGAGTTTGCTTTCATAACTTGAAAGTCCTGCGTTCGACCCCTTGTAGAGTGGTGGGTCATGGGTGCGTACTACTGTGAAGAGTTTCAAACACTATGACGAAACAGCTGTCCTGTACTCCAGGCTGGTTTTCATTGGCTCTCTCACTAACTTGATTCGTGATTCGTCTTGAATTAATAATAGCAGGTAGCGATAGTCACAATTAGTAGGCATTATGTAAAAATAGGGTGTGCGTCGGTGGCACAGCGGTAGAATGCTCGCTAACCGACCACGCAGGTGGATCGGGATTCGATCCCCGGCCTCTGACGCACTCCTTTACCTCTCTAAGCTAGTAATAAGCCCGGTAAAGAGGGAGTAAGGTTGGGCATGAGGCTGGCTAGCAACCCTACCCCGTAAAAATAAACACCACTGCTACCGAAACTTCAAGCCTCTAGCTTTGAAGCCTTATATGTTCCACTGGGAATGTAAAAATAGACAGACTAGATATCGATCGCCATATCGCATAGCTCGCTACTTCCTCACATCTCACGTCCTTATTCATGCAACTGCCCGCTAATATAGTTTATATACTTTTAAAAATGTCTTACCCCTCTTTTTTGTTTGTATTCATTATAGGACTGCGAATTCTATAGAGGAGATTGAGGAAAAACAAGATCGCGCTAGAGTATTACGTCAGCGACATCTTCTTGAAAGAACAGAACGTGTACACGAGCTAAGCAAAAAGGTATGTATGTGTGTACAAATATTTATGCTTCATAACTTTGTGAACATACTTGTGTATAATCTGTAAGAAGACGACATCAGTTCCTTTGAGCAGGTTGCATACACACACCTTGTTGATGGGCACCAGTAAATACGGAAACTAGACTGAGAGCTTTCCTCCGATTGGGGAAACAGAATGAATGGTATTTTGATTTGACACTAGTAAGTAGTTTAATGTGTCTAGTCCTCTCTTTGGTGCAGACTGAATTCCATCAGTCAGGTTGTAATGTGGCCACCATTCTAGGTAGGTCGCCATCACGGTGCATATTGATTTGATGATATTAGATAGTTGGAGGTAATCGTCAGGAAGCCTTGCCAGGACCTAGGTTTAGTGCTAGATGGCACTCACCAGTCAGCAAGGCGTATCTACAACCTTCAAGGAACTCATGTCCCTTCTGAGATTCGAACCTGCGTCACCCAGTGCTGCAGACAGAGACGTGACCACTGAGCTATTCGGGCTCAGATGGTTGGAGGTAATCATCAGTAAACCGTGAACACCTGGATTTCGTGCTTGTTGGCATTAGTGTCAGCAAGGTGTATTTGCAACTCATTTCTTCTGAGATTCTAACCCTCGTCACATAAAGTGCCTACAGCCAGGAGAGGAAGAAATAAAAGAGCCATATATCTTGCTAGTGACATAGGCAGTTATAAATTCCACGACTGACATTGTCTCTACCGTAGAGAACACGAAACAAATGAGAGTATCGTTGAGTTTTTGTACTTCGTTGTTCGACAACGTAATCTTTCATAATAACTTCTAGTCCTATCTGATAAGATGCAAGGGGGAGGGTTTTGAATAAAGAGAGTGCTTAGAGTTGGACAATATAGCCTATTTAGCCCATTTCTCACATGCATAAGTTCTGATGTCTGTCGACTAAATTAGTGACAAGGTGAATTGGAGGCACACTACCTGCCCTGATGACGAGCTTTCATATCTTTAACAATATAAGTGTATTGCATAACTGCTGGGAGTCTTTTCAGTCAGCCATTTCTTTTTGAAGTCAATCATATTTCACTTAGTTAAATTTTGTACGTCCCTCACCAACCCATATATACTAATGTATGTGAATTTTATGACTGACCTCATAATCATTGTAAGGTATTTGTACATTAGGTTATTCTCTCAAATTGGGTAGGTGGTACAGAAATTGTCCCTAAGTTTATACGTGTCTGAATGCCACCACTGTAATTTCTGCCTCTATTAAGAATTCTGTATCGAGTTTATGGATTTCGCATCATTATTATGGTAACACTGTGAATTCCTTTTTAAAAATAGCTTAAAAGTCCCCATTAAGTCATGTGGAAGAGAGAAGACGTTCAGTGAAGAGACTCTTTTCGACGGCGAATTCATTCACATAGCTGTGGCAATTCTCTTGCTAAGTCCTGAACTCTGCATACAGAAGACGTTCATTCAAGCTAGTGGCGGTCAAACAAAAACATGGCTTCACCAGTCAGTGAAATCCACAACAGTTGGTCTAAGCCACGTAGGAAGGTGTAGACTTCCTGAGTGACTGGTTGGGGTCCTCGTGACGGTAAAAATCTATGGTTGGAAACAATTGGTGATATGGCTCAAAGTGAACGTTTTCAATGACTGGCCCATATGCATCCACACCTTGTGACTTATGATTTCCAATGAAACTATATTGTTCTTCGTTATTACTATTCCTTTGTCTCACACCTCTGTTTACTGTTTCTATTATGCATTTCTTCTACTTTCTTCTGTTGCTTTGTGTGGTACATGGAGGGAGTGTGGCGACTCGAACTGTCGCACATTTGTGCAAAGTTCTATGTCGAAAACAGACAGACAGACAGACAACCACTACATTTGCAATGGACGTAATTTGTCTTAGTACCTGACAGGTAAATTCTACTTCTTTCTTTCTGTCCCTTCGTTGGTATTATTTTGTCTTTTCAAATGTAATATTTTACATTTTCAAACTTCCTGTTCTCTACCACCCCCTCCCTCCCGATTTAATTTCTATCCCTGATTACCACTGTTACTGACTTGACAAATGCTCAATTTCTAGTCATTTATGTATGCTACGTCATCCAACTTATTTGCTTAATTTCAGTTGTAATTTAAATGGCATTATTCTCTACTTCACTTCTACTTAGTCTCTACCTGTAATTACCTCTGTTGCTGCCCTGACCAAAGCTGAAACATTAAAGTCAATTATATTACGTCATCTAACTTTCTAACTAATTCAATCTTACTTTTAGTTCCTGTCTAATTAATCTTTTTCTAAATTAGATCATTCTTGTATTACCTGGTTAATCATCAAAACTTGACAAACCTCATGTAGACACACACACACACACACAAATAATTATATATAAATGAGATTGTACAGTGCTATGTGAATGAATTCGCCGTCGAAAAGAGTTTCTTCACTGAACGTTTCCTCTTTTTCATATAATTCCTTTTTATTTATGTTATGATAAATAGTTTTGCCACACTATTTCTCCTCTTTTTTATTGTGAGTTTTTCACGAACTTCCTCTTCTAGCTCTACAATGATATATATGCTTTTATATACATAGAATATTCTAGATTAGTAGTCAATTACAATATCCACTCCAGTCCTACAGGAGGTCAATCGCGAGCTCGAATAGCTCAGTGGTCACGTCTCTGTCTGCAGCACTGGGTGACGCGGATTCGAATCTCAAAAGGGATATGAGTTCCTTGAAGGCTGTAGATACGCCTTGCTGACTGGTGAGTGCCATCTAGCACTAAACCTAGATCCTGGCAAGGCTTCCTGACGATTACCTCCAACCATCTAATATCATCAAGTCAATATGCACCGTGATGGCGACCTACCTAGAATGGTGGCCACATTACAACCTGACTGATAGAATTCAGTCTGCACCAAAGAGAGGACTAGACACATTAAACTACTTACTAGTATCCAATCAAAATATTGGTGTTTTTTTTAAATAATATCGATGTTTTAAGTCAGATCAGTGGAATTACAGTTCAAGGAAGACGCTTAAGTTATAATAAGCATAAAAGTGCAATAGAAAATAGAATCAAACAAATTTCCACAAGAAATTGAGGATCTATAAAATCTTGATGGCCAGCGGAATAAGGATATTGTCTGAACCAACCAACTTCTTTTGAATACCTAAGTTAGGTTGCTTAAGGTGGATCTCAACGGCCTCAACAATATCATAGTAGATCAACTCTTAAGGTGAAGTTAAGATTAGTTGGTAGGTATATGGTAGATGGCTTTGAAAGCCACACTGTTAGCATCAATCTTGTGCTCTGTATCCACAAGATGAGATAGAATAGAGCCGGCTATGAATGGATTTCGTTTGTCTTTTACCTAACCACTTTACAGGAGGAGGGTGTTCGGAAATCCGGCGATACACATGCCTAATTTCATAGCCTATTTAACTGGCACCACAGGAGCTGTCAATTTGGTAGATACATATAGAATAGGTGGAATCAGGTAGTTCATCTTTAACTGCTGAAAGCAAACTAGCAGTGGTTTTTAAGTGACAGCATACTTCACTTCAGTGACATTGAATGCACTTCATTTTACCGCATTCCTTAGGCGTTGTGTTATAATATCTCACTAATGTTACTATCATCGAGGAATCTTTTTTTCTTTTACTTCATTATTTTCTTTCTGCTAGGTGGATGAAGTTCATTTACAAAAACGACTCCTATTACATCAACGTCGTTCTTGCCTAGAAAGACGTTTACACGCTGCTGAACGGAAACGTCAAGCTGAATTAACCCGTCGGGTACTTAAAGCGCATGATGAACAGACAAAATTGAAAGAGATTGCATTTATACAAGTAAATCTATTATTATCATATACTATTATTATTTATTTTTGTATAACTTTTATTTATTTTTGCTTAATGTTCTGTCAAGTAATATAGTATATACTACTGATATTACTATGAGTAGGTGAAAAGTGGTTATTATTTATTTATTTAAACGAAGAAAAAAAACTTGGTACAATAATGAATCAAGAAAGATAGGCCATAAAAATTTCATTTGTTGTGTGAGGGCTGAGATACTGCCCGGGCGCCCAGTCCGATGCAGGTGGTTTTATTAAGGGACCATCCCGAGCCTTTGACTTGGAGTCTAATCCCCAAGGCAGCGGAACAGCGTCAGGAGCTGGTTTAGTAGTTAGTCATGGTTTCCGGTGACCCATATGAGTTCATACGCCATTTGATCCCATTGGATTCTGGAGCCCATGTACCCCATGGTAACTGCTTTTAGTCTAACCGCTATCCAAACAACCTTCCTGACATGGTAGGACCTGCAGGTACATGAGTCCCAGCCAGTTTCGCTTGTTGGGTCACTGCGGTATACAAGCCCGACCACCACGGCAAGGTAGCAGTTTTCGGCCGGGTTACTTAAAGCAATAGTGTTTGCTAATCAAATTGAAGTAGTCTAAAGACAATATTACGTAATAATAATAATAATGATTTACTTTATTCCAAAAACAGTACTTGTGATACAGAATGGAATTTTCAGCATTAATCACAATATTGCATCTAATTTCCTCAAATTATAAATAAAATTAATCACACAGAAAATTTTTCACATTTACAATAGAGGTAGTGTTAAAAATATGCAGCATATAAAGTGGAAATAGCAATAATAATGATAACAGCTAGGGTAATAATAATAAGAATACAAGTGAAAATTGCCGTTGGCTTGTGCCACACAGTATTGTCAATGTGGTATAGAAATCCTAACATGTTTAAAAATATTGAATATAATGTTCTTTCTACATGATATGGTGAAGGAAAAAACATAGGTTACAGCCGTCATGGAGATAAGTTGGTGTTTGCAATTATGAGAGTGGGTGATTTGCAATTAGTTGTGTTCTCTGAGCTGACTGGTTGGTTGATTTAATTGCAGTAGCACTCCAGTACTCCTGGAGAAAAAATAATTGTCCTCTGGTGGATCCTTGCCTTTTGGTGAACTCTTCCCACTTTTGAAAGTTCGAAAGTGGCACTCCAGTGTTTGTTGAAGAGAATGGAGGAAAAATATCTACTAACTGTCTTCAAAAAGAATGGATATCTGTTATGTACTCGTCGCTAAATTATTCCTATGTACTGGTCGAGAATTTAATAGTCCTGACGCAAGAAGGCGGAAATCAGAAGACCACTAGGTTTGCGATGATACTTCTATTTTCCAAACACAAGGAGACGCAATAAGTGGTATCACACCAAAGTAAGTGTCACAAGATTGTGAGAGCGAAATATATATGACCGTCCAGACAAGTGTGTGAACAAATCAATAGACAGTCTTAACATGAATGGCTAATTATAATGGAGTATCGATCCATATATACATAGCAAAATATAGCAGACATGACACCAACCACACATAATATGGATATATGTCACCAAGCAACGGACTGTCAACAAACACTCATATTATATTATATGTAATATAAGGGGAATATACATTGTTAAAAGAGACAGGTTCATCAAAGTGAAATGGTCACAGACTAAGCGAGCAAACAGAAAGAGAGACCAACATACACACATATATATATATATATATATATATACATATATATATGGATACATATGAATATCCTCACAAAAGTTTCATCATAAAGTGTTTCAAATATCGTCAGAACATCAGCAAGAAACCATCATCAAAGACTACAAGAAAATTCATACTACCATATATACACAAAAATATCTCCAAAATAACAGCCAGAATATTAAATACCGTTTGAAATAGATATGGTACATAATCCAGTTAGCCGGCCAGGACAATCACTTCATTCGATATTGTGCATGCTGAAACACCCATCCAACAGAAAAAGAAGATAAAATCATAATACCATTTACAAAATAAGCTGCACGTATGAACTACAATAAACATTACATCGGTCAACAAAGTTGGCGTCCTCTTCAAATCAGAAGCCAAGAACACAAATTAGCTGTTAAAAGACATGATATATATTCCTGTTTCGTATCAATGCATGTTGATAATTATGAACATCAAATTGATGATTGAGATAATGTCGAAATTTTAAACAGAGGAAACACCAAAAATACCGCCAGAGAATTCCTAGAAGCCTGGTTGGTACTCAAGTGAATCAGCCAGCGATTAACAAACATCTTAAACATAGACCAACTCTACTAACTAATAGAAAGTAAATCACTTGGTAAAAAAGTTCAAAATCCAAGTCAATAAAAAATATGATCAATACGAATGCAAGTCAACTGCCAGTTACGAGGATGGTTACTGCCAGGAGACGCGATTCTATCATTCACGGAGAATCAGCTCATTTTATGCTAAAACTTGCTCTGTGAAAGAGGATGTTGTCCAGCAGGGGACGATGAAAGCTCCGCAATTAAACCAACCAGCTAAGAGAACAGAAATAATTACAATATAACGTGTTTTTGAATTAGTTAGTTAGTTTCGTCCAAAGTGGATGGCGAGAGGGTCATCGAGCTAGGTTGCGTAACCTGAAGGTCCCGAATTGGTTCCCTGATGTTGTCGCGTGTATGCATTACTGAAGAGTCCAAAACTGAGACAAAACAGCTGTTCACCACTGCCTGATTTTAGATGATCGCTAACTAGTGCTGATTCGTGACGAAATATGCTTTCAAAGAAAATAATATGGTTTCAGCTTGTGTGCTATTTCAGTCACAGCAATGGGAATATTTAATTGTATATTGTTATGCACTGTTGCTGAGTGAGTTATTAGACTTTTCCCCGTCGCCAATTATGTTATGTACTCGTCGAGTAGTTAATAGTCCTGACGCAGAAAGAGGGAAATCAGAAGACCACTAGGTTTACGATGACACTTGTATTCTCCAGACAAGGAAAATAAATGTCACACAAGTGTGCGAGTGAAATGGTACGTAGTGTACGAAAACGTGGGAACAAGTATACAGTACAAAAGTATATATGAAAATGACTTATACACATGAACCAATGAATAGACAGTCTTAACATGATTGGTTTTAATGTCATGTGACAACAAGGTCATACATGTTTATTTAGTTAGTGGACAGACAAAAGCATATTGTTAGTTACAATGAAATATCGATTCATATACACGTAGCAAAATATAATAGACTGTCAAAAACAAAACACATACATATCATATATATACTAATTCTTGATTATATTATCTGTTTTAGACTCTTGAAGCAGAACAGAAACAGTATAGCATTTTAACTAAACATGAAGAAAGTCGTGCACGCTTAAATGAATTGGCAATTGAACGTCAAAAACGTACTGAAGAAAAACAGGGTAGAGAAGAAGCTGCTAAGGTGAATTTAACAAATAAGGGAAAAAAATAAATTCCCCCTTTTTTGTATTCTCTTTGTATTCATTGTACTCTAACTTCTTCTATGTGTGTAGTTAATGTGAGGGTGAGTGCTGACTCACACCTAAGCTTTCATCCAGCCAGTAGTAAGCCCAGGATAGGAGTTGGGGGGGGGCGGTGGCTCAAAGTGAGGTTCGCAACCCCCATCTCGTTAAAACAACACTAACGCTACTAAAAGTTGAAAACCTGTAGCACTGTGTTCCATCCAAAACACCTGAAATGAAATATATATATATATATATATATATATATTGTGTAACTGTAGCTCACTGGTGAATAATACGCTTGACTTACGACGATTAAATCGAGTCATAGCTTCAAACCATTCTTTATTTACCGGGGTTTGACGAGCCCCATGATTAACATTGGGGCGTGTTCTACTGATAAGAATTTTCAGTAGTATATAAAGACGCGTTCATCGTCATAAAAACTTCAAATATCAGGGAGAGAGATTGGATGTCAGAGAAAGGAAATGATACAGTGTTGCGGTGTGGAGATAGATACATGGGAGACGTGAAAAGAACACAAAGAAACACACATACACACACAATATGAAGGAAGGCGAGAAGTATCATGCACAACATACAGAAATTCATTCCTCCTGTTTGTAATGTAGTTCGGTAATATCACCAATAGGGGTGGAAGATTTCTCAAGATCTTCAGATAGCTTTATTTATTTCATTCTGTTCGTAGGTAGGTGTGTAGGTAGGTAGGTAAGTAGAGTTATGTGTGGAATCAATCTGTCAGGAATATTGAAGTCCTACTCAGATTAGCCGAGAAACAGCCTAACTTCTGCCTATTGTGACTGCGATTTGTGAGGCTTATACTGTTTGACTAATGGTATTATGGGGGATAAACGACGCAATGTAGCAATAATTCATAAAGTGTTTGACTATATTTTTAAGCAGGTACCTACTTTCTTCACAGACTCCTTTCAAAGCCGGAGATCTATCTTTTTTTTTTTTGTTTTTTGATTTACAGCTTGATTCCACACTGTATTTTTGGTACAAGTATGGAATTTTCAGCATGGATATCGGTAGCCCAAATTATGCAGGCCGACCATAGATATCAGGTGTGCGCCGGCGTGGGCTCGAACCCCGGACCATGTGCATGGTCGGCGAGAATCCTAACCACTGTGCCACCGACGCACAGTGGTGGCTATATATCTACCAATCAAAACTTTATATTCTGTCTTCATTTAAAGGGCAGTGTCATATTTGTTTACTGGGTCTACGAGCTGGCCTTGTAACCCGAAGGTCCTGGGTTCTAACCCCTGTAGGTGGGTACTGATGAAGAGTCCCGAGCTAGGCTGACGAAACAGCTGTCCAGTCTCCCAGTATTGGTTTCCCAATGGTTCTCTAACTGATGTCAGCTCATGATTTCCATTGCTGTAACATGAGCTCTAACATTTCCCCGTCAAGTATCAATAATACGCTAAATGACAGCAGACCACCAGCTTGTGCGTCGGTGGCACAGTGGTTAGGATTCTCGCCGACCATGCACATGGTCCGGGGTTCGAGCCCACGCCGGCGCACACCTGATATCTATGGTTGGCCTACAAAATTTGGGCTACCGATATCCATGCTGAAAATTCCATACTTGTACCAAAAATACAGTGTGGAATCAAGCTGTAAATAAAAAATAAAAAAAAATAAATGAAATCCTCCAATCAATTAAACAAAATTCCCTACAAAACCAATGCTTGAAAGTTACTCATTTATTTTACTATGAAAACATCTTTTTTTTTCCTATCTGATTGTATTTTATTGATAACACTAATATTATTATTTCCGAATGTACTTTCTCATCTGATATTATTGATTTTATTCAAATGTCTAATGATCAATTTTTACTCATGTATATAAGTGAAACAAGAAGGTTGTGTGAGAGTACCTTGATATGATTGTGAGCAGTAGTAATAAATTATGCTCAAAACGTCATCACTACATGTTACCTTATAATTTAATAATTCCCATTGTAGCATTAAGAACACAATATTCAACGAAGAGACTCACTTTAACAACAAATTTATTACCAAGCTGTACAATCGTATATTTATGTTTTTACAAAAAATTATAACCGGTGTGGATAGTGGATCAATGATGTGAATAGTTGAAATAATAGTAGTGTGAAATGCAATTAAAATATTTGTGACTATAATCATAGTTTAATGTCAAGTGGCAAAACAATCAATGTCATATATAGAATAATACATAAGGTGTATGGATTTAGGGAAGAGGTGCATAATTATGGGATTAGTAGATAAATATAAAATGTTGCATAACATGGTGTGAAATTTGATAAGATAGAATTCAATATTGTAAAAATAAAAAATATAAAAATTAATAATTTTGGGTTTAAAATGTCAAGTGGAAAAGATTCAGAGTGAGAATAGTAGTAATAATAATAAAAATAATCGAAGTAATCAGGGAAAAGTACATAGAATAACTAAATAAACAAAATAAAATAAATAAATGTTTATCCCTCTATGGCCAAGGCAGAATTAGGGATTGTACACACCTCTTTTGCACACGAAGATCTGGCTTAAAGTTTTGACTTGCCAAGGCCTCAGCTGTCTTCAGAAGTCTGTAACGAAGAAAACGCGGGAAGTTAGCATGGATTCTGTATATGATCTTGAAATCATAGTCAGGGTTGACCGAGTGACAGAAGTCGATCAGGTGTTCTAGAATAGAGCTTCGCACACATTTCCTTTCTCCCTTGTTAAACCAAGCTGGAATATTTTCTCGTATCCATGTGGATATCGTCCTCTGACTACGGCCAATGTACAGCTTGATAATAAATTCTTTGAAAAGAGTCTCTTCGCTGAATATTGTGGTTTCTTTATAACACTGTGTGAATTTATGAAAACAAATTTTATGCACAGTGGAGAAAATCATGAAACACTGGACCAGTTATTTTATTTTCGTTCGGGAATTCTCATCAGTTTGTTCTCTGATAGACTGAGTTTAAGATGACTAGTCTTCATGGCAAGAATATCACTATATTCGACCAGTGGACCAGAATACAATAATCCTTGATTTGAAATATCTTTTTATTATTCAAATAAACTATGATTGCAATCCGATAAAATCAGAGATTATGTGTCGTCAGTTTAGGTATCCTCTGCGCTCTTCACCTTCTTGTAAAGTGAACTGATGCCGAAAGCTTTATATGAAAAAATTTCCACTTATGGCAGCAAGCTAATGTCTAGAACAAATAACAGTATTATTCAATGTTGTGTTTATTTTCTTTGATGTGATTAAATCACCTGATTGTCAACCAATTTGCTCAACGATGAAATCCCTTCTCAAATATCTTGATTTAAGCACTAAAAAACCGTCACACAAAGTGCTCCCTAACAACTTAGTATACGTAATAAAAAAATAAGAGGCAACTGGTTGGCATGATTTCAAGATGTTGCATGTTATTGCATTTTTTAATATTTAATTTTCACCAATTCTATCCTATCCTGCCTTCTAGGTTCGTCGAAGAGCTTTAGAAGCATCACGTCGAGCTAGAATGGATGCTCTGCAAGCTAGATGGGAAACTCGAGCTCAACAGTTAGCTTCACGTGCTGAATTAATGGAACATTCGCGTAGAGCTGCTGCTCGGGCTAAAGAACAGTATCGTGAAATAAGAATGGCTAATTTAGAAGAACAACAACGTGTTCACATTGAACAGTTACGTTCAAAAATACAACGTAAAGTGAGTTAGTTGTTCACATTGGATCGGTTTTTACTTTGACTCTATTAGTCTGATTCACATCTTGGATCGTATATATATATACCTTGTCAGTCAGGTAATTCGGCATATACGAAAAAAAGGATTTAGAACAAGAGATTTAAGCGAACAATATTGTGGTTTCAATTAGATCTCATCAGGTTTAACTCTAATATGTATAAGTTTACAAATAAAAATTGAAATATAAACCAATCATGGTGTTTTGTCTATAGGATAATAAGATGGTGAATATAAATTGTGCAGTTAGTCATAATAATAATGGTTTTATCAATAATAAGGATGAAAAAGTGAGGCAATCTGTGATAACACGAATAATGAAAAAACAGCATGATTAAGCAAACAGGTGTGTTCAGGTGGAAGTAGTCGATAAAGGCTAGTAAAAACAAATGAACCGATTAAGGAATGTTAGATTGTAAGGGAAGGAAATGGAACACGTTTATAATGAAGATAAGACTAAGGGATGATAAGAAAGAGGTTGAAAATATAAACAAGGGGTGGTGGTGTAGAAGTTATTAGTTGGTTAGGTCTTAATAGGCCAAAAAGGAAGAGATAATGGCCGTGTGTACGAACTTCTTTTGAATGCATAGTTTAGGTTTAATAGTCGTTCGAATGCCTATCGCCTGCCTCAGCTGTGTGCGTGCAGTAGTAGACGAATACGAAGTCTATTGGAAAGATTCGGTGGGATACGATGAATTACTTTGAAGGCTCTCGTTTTCTCCACACTACATGACCACTATCAGCTAAATGTGACAAAATTGAGCTACAGATTGTTTTTCTCCGTCCTTTGCTAAACCACCACGATGGGAGATGTTCACTAGCGTGATGGCTAAGCTGTCTAGAATTTGATGTATTCGGCTGTCTAAAATAGTTTTAAAATGATTTGCATGAAAATGTATTCTGTCTGTTCGAATGTCACTGTGCTTCTTTTATCAGTTGTTATAAGTGGTCTAGTGATATTCATGTCACTGTGTAGCCTATATGGCTTATCACTTAAGATTTAGAATATTTTATTTTGATTACAGCTTGATTCCACACCGTAATTTTTGGTGTACATGTATGGAATTTTCAGCATGTGATATCGGTAGCCCAAATTTCGCAGGCCGACCAATTGATATCAGTTGTGCTTCGGTAGGGGATCGAACCCCGGACCATGTGCATGGTCGACGAGAATCCTAACTACTGTGCCGCCGACGCACAGATACACTGGCATGATTAATTTGCTTTACTACGGATACAGTTACACACCCATCTTAACTACCAGAACTACTGTTACAACACAACATGATTCTAGTTCTTTTGGGTAATTCCTGCAGCTGCTTATTAACGACTGAACCTTTGTCTTTTGGCGACTTCAAAGGCGATGTACTTAAACAATTTGTATCTATATACATACGTGAATGTACTGCATACGCATACTGGGTAAGAGTAAACAATAGACAACTAAGTCAAACGACCTTCAGTCAGATCGCTCAGCATTACAAATGAACGCTGTTCATAATAATCCATGGAAGTTTCACCTAGATTTTGTTTTTGACTTCTGTGTAGAAAAAATAGGTTGATAGGGAGGACTAAAAAATTGATATGTGCAGGGAAAATGACTTTGCAAAAACAGTGCCGGGCTGTAGATGGACATACAGTTATAACTGTAGGGAATTAAATGAGGACGTTGTCGCCTTGTTCTATCTGCGCCTGACTAATATGCCTATCTGCTTGTGGTACCTTCCGATTCAGTGAACCACGCAAATATCAAAAGACAAAGACTGGACTGTGACTGTTTATTGTAGTACAACAACAACGACAAAGAAAGTCATGGTATTTATACTTTTTACAACAATATAGACAGCTGACAGCATTTGAAATAATTGATCGTAACAGTCAATAACAAAATGTGTGGGATCCTATCACCTGTCCCCCTAAAAAGTGTAGGACTTGCTTTTTGGATCTATTTGAAAAGGTTTCGGAGCTCTTCTTTGTCGAGTTGACCTTCGCGTGGTACTGGATAGAGTGTGATCTGTGTCCCGGGCTTCCGGCTGCGGAAGATTAAATGTATCTACTAATACTTCTAACGTGAGGTCTCGTCTCCCATTGTCAGGTCTATCTGACGCATCTCGTATATGATTCGTGTGTCTGACACATAACTGTCCTTCTACATTCACTTTGTATAAAACCCTTCCTTTCTGCCCCACTATTTGTCCTCGAATCCATCTCGGAGGTGAATAGCGAAAATCTCGTACATAAACTTGCTGATACAATTTGAAAACTCGACGTTTAGCTCCGTGATGGCGATTGAATTGGTTTTCCATTTTTGTATTTCTGCAGCCCTGCTTTACTTGCCTAGGCTTAATTGAGTCGAGGGCAGTTCTGATCTTCCGGCCAAACATAATTTCCGCTGGGGATAACTGATTTGGGGCGGAAGGATTTGGCGTCGTACGATAATGCAGCAAGAATCTATCCAAAATTTCTTCTGTTGTCCCCTCCCCCTTCGCTTTTGCATAAGCACGCTTAAAGGTGTCGACGAAACGTTCAGCCTGTCCATTCGATTGGGGATGATACGGGGGGCTACGAATATGCTGGATGCCAAACAGTTTGCAGCAACCAAGTTTGTCCTGGAAGACAGAAGCGTGCTTTTGACGCAGGCGTTGCAAGAGAGATTGATCAGATACATGTCCGGGAACAACGTTGTGTGGTGAGGACGAAACATTAGAGCATACTGAATTTAATGGTACATTGAAGATATGGAGCTTGTCTAACCAGTCAAGACCAAGCAAATTCAAATCATGGTAGTTTGTGACGTAACATACACCATTGAACTGATGCTCACCAAACTGAACCTGGCAATTTATCTCACCCACGAGTTTCAGTATATCTCCAGAGACATTCTTGGCGACATGCTCGGTCGGCAGAATCTGTGGGCACCAAGTTTGCGCCACGTAGTTCGGGAAATTAAGGTGATATCTGATGCCGTATCCAACTGAAGACGAATATGTTTGCCGTTAATACCTAGTGTAATGTACTTACGTTTGCTGGCGAAATCGACTTTGGAAGTTGTGAAAATGGTCTGTACTCGAGGAGATTGTTTCAGCTTGAAACGACTACTTCTGTTCCTCACCGAAGATTTTTCTGCGGTGGACAGTAACCCTCCTTATGTCCAAAACGGTGACAATTACGGCATTTATGTTTCTTGAAAGGACAGAACTTGACAAAATGCCACGAACCACAGTGCCAGCACACTGAAGGAGGTTTAGCTGAATTCTGAGACTGACGTGCTGTGTGCTTAACGGTGATCGGAGGACTTTTCACTGTGTTAATTGAACCAAATTCAGACGACTGTCGTTTGCACTCCACCATAGCAGTATCGTGCTTCAAGTTGATTAAACGTAGGCATTCTGCTGTCACCATTTGTAAAGTCATTTTCGGGTCTTGTTCCACGAGTGACAGAAGTCGAGTTCTTATGTCAGTATCTTCTGGGTTCTTCAACCCACAAATAAAAATCAAACACTTGAACTGATCTGATGTCATTTCGTGTGGTTTGAACCTTTCACATTCCTTGTTCACTTTGCCAGCGTAAGTGACATAATCATCGGAAGGCATTTTTGTCAACTGAAAACATTGATACCGAATATTAAACATGGATGACTGTTCACCAAAGATTTGTGATAAAACGGTGACTGTCTCATCGAATGATAACTCACGTGGGTTCTTGGGCAGAATGAAGTTAACATATCTGTTGTGCTCAACAGTACCAAGTTTTCTTAGTAACAATCGGACTTTGGCAGCATCATCAAACATGTAGCATTCAATACGGAAGACGTCTTCGTAACGATTGAACCATGCATCAAATACGAGACCAGATATTGGGTCGTAGTTGAACTCACTGATGGAATTTGAGATGCTTTCATATTTGTCTGAATGAGATGTTGATGGAACTTGAATGGACAGCTTCTGAGTGAGAGCTTCGATTAATTTTAGTTGAGCTGCTTCATTCTGAACTTGCTGCTGCTGCAAGATAGATTTGAGATCGTCCAGAGAGATAGACATTGTAATTGGGTTGTAATTAACACAGTCAAAAATGTTCTATAGCTGCGCTGAACAGAATAAAACCCGTCGTCGCTTGCTTGTTATAGCTGCAATGAATTAAGGTAAAACCCCGTCGCCAATTTGTTATAACTGTAGGGAATTAAATGAGGACGTTGTCGCCTTGTTCTGTCTGCGCCTGACTAATATGCCTATCTGCTTGTGGTACCTTCCGATTCAGTGAAGCACGCAAATATCAAAAGACAAAGACTGGACTGTGACTGTGTATTGTAGTACAACAACAACGACAAAGAAAGTCATGGTATTTATACATTTTACAACAATATAGACAGCTAACAGCATTTGAAATAATTGATCGTAACAGTCAATAACAAAATGTGTGGGAATGATGATATACCATATATACGAGATTAACGGTCAATAACAAAATGTGTGGGAATGATAATGTACCATCTATGCGAGATTAACAGTCAATATCAAAATGTGTGGGATCCTATCACATACATTTAGGTACAACCACTGTTAAATGAGTAAGTCTGTAGGGGTTGGTTAGTCGTAAGTTATGACGTACTCATTTTACTTATCACCATTGTGACAAGTACATATCACTGCACTGATGTGTACTTGTTATAGACGTTTTACAGCTATACTTATTTGATTATGAGAGGAAGGTTCTGAGTGGCTTATACTTGGGTTGACTCCTACTGGTCCAGATTTCGGTATGACAATTTTTTCGTTTGTTAAACTAGTCTCTACATAAAAATCCAGTTTATGGAGTACAAACAGCTGTACGCAGTGAGAACAGCAGCAATGTATACAGTCGTGTGAAATTATACAAGCTTTAGACTTTGAATGTGACAAAATTTAACAGTACTACGGACTTGCAAACCTAACTTTCGAAATCAGCGGAAGTTACGAAACAAATATCACTTACTGGTCAACTTGAGTAGTATACAACCACTGAATTCCTCCTACTCATTGTCGCCATACACACAGAGTGTGACGCTGTTTCTCACAAAACTGAAAGAGCAAGTGCCCAACATCGGATGCTTACAGCCGGGTTAGACACACTGCTCTCTACCTGGAGGATCCGGTAAACTCTGATTCCGAACCTATGATGTACATGGGCTGTAGAATCTGAGTAGATCTGATGGCATATCAACTTGTTTTAGTCAGTGGAAACCATAGAAACAACGTAGTCTCTCATGCAGCTTCATTGAATCGTGGATTAGATTTCACGTGTAAGGGGTAGTCACGCCTTACGGTAATCACCTGCTTCGGTTTGGACATCCGGGTAGTATCCGAACCCTCGTAGAATTTATGAAATGTTGTGCGGCGCCTTATTTCTTGGTGCTTGTAGTATACCAAGTTTGAGATTTCAGTAGAATAAATCAATTAATCTATAAATCTAACTACTCATGTCAAGCCATAGACGTAGGTATCAGCTTTTTGTCTAATACACTAACCTTTTTAGTGTTGATAGATAAGATTAGACTAACTTTAGTTAATACTGTAGAAAAGATTGTCAAAATACTTGTTTTGTATTAGGATAATATGTGTGTATGTTATAAGCCTTTCACCGTTCGTCAGTGGTTCAATGATACAATTGTCACCGACCATACACTTGATCCGGGTTTGATCCTCGGAAGAAACACTCCTAAACCTATTGATATATGTGTGAAATTTGGGCACTATGGTAGTAAGTAATTCCATATTAGTTTGTTTATTAGATATATCACACAGTCAGTGAAACAGTATTATGATTTACTGGATGATGTTTCAAACAAAACCTATTGTCCATAATCATATCAATTGTAATCCCACGACTTCGAAACTTGAGTTTTATAGTTTTCTTTGTCTTCCCTTATTTGTCGTCGCTGCGGTAGTAGACAGGAGTTGAGTCATTCCTATTACACGTATTTGCAGTTGACTCGATAAATAAAGCTTCTGTTATCAATCTCTCCCTCCACCCTGTGATATTAGATTTTAAAACTGTCATCCTATCCTATCCAGTCTATTGTATGGTTGTGTGTAATTGCATATGGTGTAATGCTATAGCTGAACTATTCTCTAGATTTCTTATCATATTCGAGTCAACCGATCTAAATTTTGCTAGGTTTTTATGTTCGGCTAGTTTGAATCACTGCCCCTTTTCTACTACTTTGACCTATGTATTTGACCTGACAATCGTTGCAGGCAGGCTATTAGATAAACTAAACTGTTTTGTTTGAAAGGCTCCACTGTTAGGATCCTTAAACCAACAAAGCTTGTTTCTAATTGAGTTTATGGGGGGGGGGTTGCATGCCAGCCACTTTTATTCCTGCCTTGTTAAGCATTCTGCGTAAGGTGATTTCCGAGATTCCTTCCTTGTATGGGATTACTACTGGTGATTTAGATTCCTTATTGTTGGTGTTGTCATTATCTTGCGCATGTCTGACTTGCAATAAAATAATTAATAATAGTAGTGATAGTGGTTATAGTAATAATAATAATAATATTAATGACGACACTTACAATAAGGAATCTAAATCATCAGTAGTAATTTCATACAAGGAAGAAACCTCGGAAATCACCTTACGCAGAATGCTTAACAAAGCAGGAATAAAGGTGGCTGGCATTCAAACCCACAAAGTCGCTTAGAAAGGGGCTTTGTCGGTTAAAGAATCCTAACAGTGGAGCCTTAGTAACAAAATAACCATGCACTTGATTCGGCTTTGATCCTCAGAAGAAGCATTTCTAAACCTAGCCTAGCTGGTATTAAGTACGGTAGAGAGGAAAAGTTGGTTGTGAGATTAGCAACCCCCAGCCCCGTAAAAAATAAACACCGCTGTTACTGAAATTTCAAAGCTCAAAGGTGGAAGTAGGAACAAGGAGGAATGGAAAAAGCCTAGTTGCTTCAGGCCATTTGTAGCACAAAAGTACTTCCTTATTAAATTGACACAATTAATGTTGTAAGCCTTTGTTCATTTTTAGATTGTGAACTAACATCAGTTATAGAGAAGATTGGCAACCAGGAAGCAATCAACAGCCATTTTGTCCTGTTTTGAGGCACTTCAGAAATGCTCTCATGACCTTGTCAGGAATCGAACGAGGAACCCCTTCAGGTTACGTGACCATGGTGAAGGAGATGCTTATCGACGGCATTGGTGTGAGGGTAACGCGTATATCACGAGTTGACAGACAGAGTTAGAAACCATGGGTCAATGAACGCCCTGGGTTTGACCCCTGGTTGGATCGTAGGTGTGCACAGTTGAAGGATCTTCGAATAAAACGAAAGAGGTGTTCAGTGCTTTTTGGGCTTTCAATCATTTCTCTAACTGATGTTGTTTTTTTTGCTCATTTTTTCTTGTTCGTGTGATATTATTTTTGACTCACATAATATACGTATATTTATTATTGAATTGAATTTTTTGACTTTCCCGTCGATTGATTGGACCGAAGTGCTCGGTCTCAGATTGACATGTCGGTTTCTTGTGCAGATGCTTCGACGATGCCTGAGGATTTGATTTGTATACAATTGGTGGATGGTGGTTAGCAGTGGAATCCAGGATAAAGCGCATTTCGTCCTATTTGGGACTCGTCCTCCAGCTGGATGTACCTGCATTTCTCAGTGAGTGATGATGTTCCCACCGTGGCCCAAGTGGTCTAGTGGATAACGCTTTGGCGTTTGAAACTATGGGCACTGGGTTCGAGCCTCGGTGGGAACATCATCACTCACTGGAGAAATGCAGGTACATCCAGCTGGACGACGAGTCCCAAATAGGACGAAATGCGCTTTATCCTGGATTTCACTGCTAACCACCATCCACCAATTGTATACATACGTATATTTAATTCATTTCCGTTATTTTCGCTTCTTTGTATATAGCAAGCAGAATCTGAACGACGTCATCAAGAATCCCTACGGGAGATCAGTCGTAAAGCTTTTGAAATGTCAGTTCTTACGCATACTGGCGATGATTCACTCACTGTCCCAGGAATTGAACCATATCCCATACAAAAGTGGTGTAAAGCATGTCAAGTTATGGTAAGTTAGTATTTTTCTTCGTTTCTGTGGTTGCTACTGACAAAGTTTATAAGTAATATATAAATGCAGATGTAGATATGTATACCAGTGTGAAGAGTATTGAAAGCGGAGATATGGATTTTAATGAACGATGCTTGTGAAACACAACATGCAAGACGTGCAAGGGAGACAAAATGGTTAGACGATACCAAAGAAATGTGTAAATTATGATTCTAATATATCGTAGACATATTGTAACATGTCTAGTGATCCACAACGGAAAACTCAGAGAGGCGTTTGGAGTAAACTCAGGAGTCAGACAAGGCTGCTTATTATCACCCACGATGATATTCCAAATTGTGGTGGACTGGATTATGCGTCAAACAGTGAGTGGGAAACGAGAAGACAGGGATATCCTGGACCGACCTACGTGAAGAACCTAGAAGACCTGGATTTCGCGCGTGGATGATTTATGCTTCATGTCACACAAAATCGAAGACTTACAAGCGAAAACCGACCGACAAACTGGTCGAAGAAGCAGCCAGCGAAGACAGGACTCCAGGTGAACATAGACAAGACGGAGGTTATGAAAATAACCAACCACCAGCAACAACAACAGAAACATCCAGCGCCAATTACCAACAACGGGAGGGATTTGATGAAAGAGGTTACTTCATTCACTCACTTATCTAGGGAGCATTGTCTCAACTACAAGAAGTTGGAACGGACGACGATGTCAAATCTAGGCGAGAATCGGGAAGGCGAGAAACACATTCACTCATCAACATGAAACCAATCTAATCTCGAAATCTTCGTCACTCAGCCAGCATCAACAACAAAATTCGGTCGGATTTTCAATACAAACGTCAAGTCAGTCAACTCTTCTATACGGATCAGAAACTTGGCGGGAAGGTCACAAAGAATATTTCCAACCAACAGCCTGTTCCAGACCTTTATCAACCAACAACTGTCAACTATCGCTCTATACTGAAGATGAATCAGATGGCCAGGCCGGAAAGAATCACCAACGAGAAACTATGGGAAGGAACACACAAAACAAGAACGAATCAGTCGCCAACCAACAAATATGCAGGACAAAGTGGAGATGGATGGAAATTGTACACTCGCTGAGAAGGCCACCCGCTGGTTGACATCGCACGTGCGGCAGGCCATTTCTCGAGTGGAACCTGAAAGGGAATCGGTGAGTGGGACGTCGGTGTAAGGGTGACATGGAAATCGTGTGAAGAGGAGTTGAAAAAGTATGGACTAACTAACATGGATGCAGGTGAAAAGTATAGCAGAATCAAGTGGAGACGTACAGCTGAAGCCCTATGTTCCACTAGGAACCCAAGGGAACAATAATACTAATGATAATATCTGTATATCAAGTTGCCAAATGCTCTTGTCTTCTGCAATATAGTTACATTAGTACTCGTAATGCAAAGACTACAAGCTGAGTATTTCATCTTGTTCAGGACTCGTCAGATAGGTGTGTTCGAGTATCCCGGTGGATGAAAACCTTGCCACTCAGACTTAGATTGTACACTTATCTCTGAATTTATGAATTTATAGGTTCCACAACAGGCCAGACTGCGGCAAATAGGGGTTGGGCTTGTTTATTGTGTACACAAACTTTCGATTGTTTTTTTAAAGCGAATTACTATAGCTTCTGCTTTTTGAAGTGTATTTACAATCTAGACAGTTTGGGCAATTTATTCGCTACATGGTAGATGATAGAAAAAGGCTTTTCCAATGTTGGTTTTATGGACCGTTTGGGTTAAGTGGCCTAATATGCAATTAAAGTGTTGGTTTGCTGCAGAGATATGATTAATTTCAGGATTTCATCACGAACTGACATTAGTTAGAAGACCATTGGAAAACCAATTGGGAGTACTGGACAGCCAGTCGTTTCGTCCTAGTTAGTGGCTCTTCACCAGTACGCCTAATGGTCTACGAGCTCTCCTTGTAATCAAAAGGTTCCTGGGTTCGAACGTCAGTGGGTGCCTACTGATGAAGAGTCCCGAAATAGGGCGAAACAGATATCCAGTAATATCAGGTTTTTTAACCGATGTCAGTTCACGATGAAATCCTAATATGCAGTTGTTAATACGTTTTATTACACTTTTGTTTAGCCATTTTGATAAATGTTACCGACGATAGAACGTCTAGTATACCTGCTTCTAAAGAAGGAGTTGAACTGATGAATATAGGGAGAGGTGGTTAACCTAGATACTTCGTCTTTCAGTTGAAGAATTACAACCAAGTGTATGGGAAATATGAATTACAGGTTATTGGCATGTAAAAGTTCTTTGAGATAATTTTCTTAACCAGTCAGTTTTTACTGCACTTGGTACGTCACTTTCGAATTCAGTTCGCTTATAAACAGGCTTGTTGGTCAAAAATAACAAGCATTTCTTAATCACAACACGTGGATTGCGTAATGCATAATTTTTGAATGAAAATAAATAAGCGTGTGCTGAAGTTGATTACGTAACAGATTGGACAATGATAACTTATAACGAAAGATGAAGTATTCAGAAAAATAATAAAATAATTTGGAAAATTATAATTTTTAAAGGTTTAGGGGGAAGAGGGCGAAGTAGTCCGGTTTATACATTCATGTAACAATGGCCAAGGAAGGTGGCTGTACAAATTTCTTCTGAACACACTGGTTTGGCTTCTTGAGGTAGTGGATTCCTATTGCTTCAGCTGTTGTACGTAGAAGAGGAACTCGTAGAGCAAAGTTAAGGTTAGTAGGAATGCTATAGATGATTTTAAATGTAGTATTAACATCAACGTTATGCTCACTGTCTACAAGTTGTGCTAAAACAGATCTACGGATAGATCTTGCTTAACCATGCCGAATGATGTTCGGAAATACAATGATGAACCTGCCTAACTGTACACCCGATGTAGCTGGCTCCGCAGCTACAGTCAAACTGGTAGATACACATAGAGGAGGAGTCAAATTTAGGTAGTTTATCCTTATTTCTCGAACGTAGAATAGGGGTGGTTGTGAAGACACAACGTACTTCTACTACAGTGAAAGGTCTTCTAATTGCATTCTTCAGGCACTGTGTTACTGTTTCTCTGATGGTGTCACCGACGAACTGTAGTTTTATGAACGATGGTTTTTTTTGGGAGCTGTTACTATACTGTTTCTCCTTGATGCTAAATGAAATTATGATACAAAATAGGTACTTGTCGCTAAAGATTGTCAATATAGACGATGGGGGGCGGTGAGGGGAGGTGAAGTAATAATCTTATGATTTCTCATTTCCATTTTATTTATTTAGATTGTTTCTGAAGTGTCATTGAAAAGTCACTTGCACGGAAAACGTCATCAGAATGCTATCATGGAAGCTGCACAAAATCGTCCCGTTGGAAGATCCGAGTTGGTAGGTTATTTTCTTTCTCTGCATAGATGTTGTTTAGAGTTTGCTATCTTTCAGCTAAAAACCAGTGTCATTCCTTCCTTTCTCTCTCTCTTGAAATTTACCTCTCGTAAGATGTTTTTGAGTTTTGTCGTGGTGGCCTGACTCAGTGCTTTAGGCGCTCGACGTTTGGCTGGTAGATTCTGGGTTCGAGTCCGGCTCTGCTTACTTCAGACTGGACAACTTGTAGTATCATAAGCCCTCATGCAAATAAGTGTGGCTTATAATCTGAACATGAAAGACCTCTTCCGAGAATAGAGGCAATGATAACCATCTTTATGTGTTGGTTTGCAGGGGTTTGATTGGTTACAGGATTTCAGCATGAGCTGACATCGGTTAGAGAACCATTGGAAAGCATGGGACTACTGGACATTTGTTTCGTCAGCCCATTTTGGGACTCTTCATCTGTAGGTACCCGCTGGGGTTTGAACCCAGCGCCTATCCGTTACACGGCAAGCTCGTAGACCATCAAGCCACTGGAACCTGATCCAATGACCAGGGCGGAAATTCCATCTTCTGCCAATCCACGATATAGCCATTGGATCGCTGATCCTAGTGGGGCTTAACGATCTGCTAACTCGCCTTGTAACCAGAAGGTCCTAGATTCGATTCCCTGAGGATGGGTACTGATGAAAAATCCCAAACTATTACGAAACAACCTTCCAATACCCTTTTCTGGTGCTGGTTTCCAGTGATTTTTCCCACTGATGTGTCAGCTCATGATGAAATTGAATGACTACTTTGTTAGTAATTGTTCTCAATGAAGCATATTAAATCTAATTCATGTGAATTTGTTAAGAAATTCTCGTTGGTTGGTACAATTTGATACTGTATTTACAATCTAGGGTTGTGATAAGTCAAGCGAAGTAAGAATCTTTACTGGTTATCGCTACTTTTCTAACACTCATTGATGTTTACTTCCAGTGTTGATGAGATGTAATAAGGATGTTGATGTTTGACCCCTGTTTTTGGCTGCATAAATAAATAGTGAGTGTGCTAGTCATATGAATGATGATGATATCATTTGTTCACTAACAGCGTCATTTGTGTGTATCAGTGTGTGTGTGTGTGTGTGCAAGTGTGTGTAAAGAATAACTCGTGTATCCTGTGTGCATTCCTTCCTTCAGTGTATGTTTAACAATTACTGCAGGAGGTATCATTCATCATGTGTTGTTGTTCTCCAATAAATCTCGTAATAACAGTAAAATATCTTTTTCGTCAGTTCTGCAGTTTAATCACAACAAATTCTCACTGCAAGTTATCGACCTAACAATCATAGGGTGAATTTTCATAAATTCATCGTGTTAATTGGATCACTAACACCTGAACATTGTACACTTGTATTATATATGTATATCTAAAGCCCTAGACAACACTCGAGTTTCCGTTGTTGAGATCTCTTTTTTTCCCAGTTCCCATAAGTTCTGAACGTTTGAAACACTTCAGAGACTAGAGTCTAATCGTTCTCTAACCAACCTTTTTGTGTTGTATAGTGGAACATATGGGGTTTCAGGCTTTGAGCTGTGAAGTTTCAGTGTAGCAGTCGCGTAATATATATTTTTTTACGGAGGTTTAGGCGTTGCTAGTTTTATACCACCCCGCGCCGCCAGCCTTACCACCTATTTGCTGGGCTTACCACCGGCTTAGAGAGGTGTCTAGGTGTGTGTGTGTGTGTCTGCCAGGGGTCGATCCCCGGGCCATATGCACACATACACTCGTGTCTTTTCCAAGATTTGAACCCGGGGCATCATCATCTAGTGCTACTACAGTCAGAGAGACGTTGTCATCACTGAGCTGTTCGGCTTCAATCATTGGTTTTTCTGTTAAATTGCTGATAGCAGGGACCATCTTTAATTTGAAGTGCACAGTGTGTGTGTGTGATTAGACATGAGAAGAAGGCATATTCATCACTTGAAACCATTTTCCACATTTTCATACCCAATTTAATTGAATTTTAGATTTTCCCGTCGGTCGTTCTCAGGTTGACATGTCGGGCTTCTTGTGCAGATGCTTCGACGATGTGTGAGTATTTAATTAGAATTTAATTGGTGGATGGTGACTAGCAGTGGAATCCAGGATAAAGCGCATTTCGTCCTATTTGGGACTCGTCCTCCAGCTGGATGTACCTGCATTTCTCCAGTGAGTGATGACGTTCCCATCGAGGCTCGAACCCAGTGACCACAGTTTCAAACGCCAAAGCGTTATCCACTAGATCACTTAGGCCACAAGAGCCACTTCTTGTGCAACGAGTCATGTTAATTACTTGAGTTTTAGATTTTCCCGTCTATTGATTGGATCGAGCTTTGGTGGGAACATCATCACTCACTGGGAAATGCAGGTGCATCCAGATGACGAGTCTAAAATAGGACGAAATGCGCTTTATCCTGGATTCCACTGCTAGTCACCATCCACAAATTAAATTTTCATACCTAAGTTTGTATAAATAACATTCTCTAACATATAGGAGGCTTAGGTTCAATTTTTGACTAACGTAGTGCTAAACTTTCGCCTAGGCGCGCGATAGTAAGCCCCTACCCCTCAAAAAAGGGAAGGCTGGACTTGAGGAGTCATCTAGCAACTCCAATGCCACCAACCCTACTGAATATTCATAGCTCAAGACTTTAAGTTTTATGTGTTCCACTGTGAAAACTCAATGAATGAACACAACACGTTCTCTTTGAATAATTGGTGTTCTTTTAGTTTTTTTTTCTACCATTGATTCTGTTATTGATTTTGCTTTATTACCATCACCACCACCACTACCACCACCACTAGGAAGCGTTCAACTTATCTCATCTTGTTGATGCACCTACTGAAATGTCGCATCCTTACAATGATATACAACAAGAACGGTTAAAATTACGTAGAAAGCGTACTAGAAAATTGAGACAAAAAATGAATCAAAGGTTAGTTTTTTTAAACATTGTTTGTGATGATTTCAAATGCACATTATTGATTAATTCTCAAATGTAATGATTTGTATAACATTCTATTCTTAAATTTATTATTCTAAATCTAAATTGAACAAGTGAGACATCCATCAACCTGAATAGTTGTTGTTAGATGGTTGGAAGCCATAGTCCGGAATCCCTTCGCCAGCGCAACGTGTAACTGCGGTCTTGAGTGAACTCATGTGTCCCTGTCTGCGATTTGAACGCGTGTCATTCAGTGTTACATTCAGAGACGTTACCTACCACTGAGCTCTTTAGGCTCACGATAGACCTTTTGTAGAACTAGTTATTGCTTAGTAATGTCCAATCAAAGTTTATTCAATACACACCACTGTGTCGTGGTGTAGTGTGTTAGATAGATAAGAGGTTTCACTCAAGGTAATATCTCAGACTTTTAAAAAGCAATTTATGCTCACTGCAATTTGTGTAAATTAAGCAGTTGGACCGACCTATCACTAGTCACTTTGTCATCTATAATGATATATACGGGAGTTGTTAACATGTCGATTTGGAAATTCATATCTCGTAAGGCATATGAATGAACAAATGAAGTAGCCAGAACATTATGTACTCCTGTTTCATATGGGTTGTTGAAAACCACTCTTCTCAGATAATATTTAATCAGGGTTCATATTATTTCCACTGATTTGGTGGTTTGAACTGTGCATACACCGCTGATAAGCACAGCCAGGAAGTCCAAACACTTTATCTGAGTTATTATTATTACTATAATTGTTGTGGTCTCCTTTAATTCCTAGGGGAACAAAGGCCTTCAGCCTCACGTCTTTGTTGTGTCCGGTTTTCCGACACGTTTTCATCTGGCTCCATGTCTGTCCACTGCTTTCATCTCCTAATCGCATGACCTCCTCCACGTCACACAGCCAACTCGCGCTTCCCATTGGGGTTCCACTCGAGAGCCTGTCGTGTGATCTCGTTTGATGGTTTTCTCAGAGTACGGCCACCAATCCACCTCCATTTCTTCCTGCATATTCTTTGCACAATTGGTTCCTTTTGGGTTGGTTCGCTCATTGCCAGAGATCCCTGTGTCTGATCTTTTCTGGCCAGCCATCTGATCTTGAGTAGTGTTGAGCAAAGACAGCTGTTAATTAAGGTCTGTAGTTTGTTGGAGGTGCTCTTTATGACGCGCTAAGTCTCTGATCCGTCAAGTAAGTAGCACTGACTTCACATTGGAGTTGAAAATCCGGATGTTATTTCTCATATTGAGTAGTGCTGTTGACGTCCACACAAACTTGTGAGTAGTGAAAGCTTGCGTTGCTTTCCCTATCCTTGCGCCTTGATATCCTCATCGGTTCCGACTGCCTGTAATCAGTGAAGTTTATAACAGTTTGTTTAAGCCATGCAGGAAGGTGTAGACTTGTTGACTGGTTGGAGTCCTTGGGGAGTGTGTGACAAGTTAAATTGCTGCATATTTGTGCAAAGTGCTATGTTGAAACCAGTCAGTCAGTGAGGCAGGTGAAGTATATATATATATATATATATATATATATATGCTACTCAACTGTCCAAACCTTGGTCTTTGAAGTCTGTTTCAAACTCCCTGACCCAGTGGTTAAATGTTTGACGTTCAAACCAGTGACTAATAGCCTCATATAACTTGTTTCGTGACAAGTAGTGCTTTTAACTCATTATAATATCTCTCACAAACTAGAGAAATGCATGACTGAGCTCTCTGTCTCTCTTGAAACAGATGCATTGGGTAGAAAGAGCATGTCATTCGATGAAGTTCTGGAGTTGCATCGACTGAGATAACTAAGAGAAATATGTATTATACACACGAAGCCAATTATCCTCCTCGTCCATCAATGTTAGCTGACATAAGATTATTAGTTTGGATAAGAGTTAGGGGTAAGTGAGACCAGCGAACGTGTTATCACTCAATGAAGTCTTTGCATTTTGGTTAGAACTGTGTAGGGAGATGTATACTTTCTTGTAAACTCTAGTGACAAGTCGTGACCAGTAGGGTGCAGTAGGTCGGTGTGAGGACAAATACTCGCCAAAGACATTGGCTAGTGGTCGTACTATGTCGTGAATTGGCAGAAGTTAAAATTCATGTGACGTTGGATCGGGCCCCAGTGGCTGATAAATGGTCTATGAGCTCGCTAGTCTTGTAACCAGAAGGTCGCGAGTTCGAACCCCCGTGGGTGCGTACTTCTGAAGAGTCCCAAACTGGGCTGATGAAACAACTGTCCAGTACTTCCAGGTTTTCCAATGGTTCTTTAACAAATATCAGCTCATGATGAAATCCTGTAACCAATCAAATCCCTAAAAACCGACACTTGAATGTAAACTTTCTGTTTGGTTGGGATTCTTGAGTGATTGGTTGTGACATGGAACACAGTGGTGCTTAGTCACTCATATGCATTCACTTTGGTTATCTTCTGGAATTTAACAAACTCTCATTATTCTGCATTTCTATAGTTTGGGTTGTAAGGGTTAGTCATGTTTTTACGAGTTGATCACGGATTGATATCAGTTAGAGAACTATTGAAAACCACCATGGAGTACTGGATCACCGTTTTATCAGTCGAGTTTGGGAATCACCGGGAGTACGTACCCACTGGGATCCAAACCCAATACCTTCCGGTTACAAGACTAGCAAGCTCGAATACTATTCAGCCACTAGCATTGTTATGTACTGGTCGAGAATTTAATAGTCCTGACGCAAGAAAGACGGAAATCAGAAGACCACTAGGTTTGCGATGATACTTCTATTTTCCAAACACAAGGAGAATCAATGTTACACAAGTGTGTGAGAGCAAAATATAAATGTCCGAACAAGTGTGTGAGCGAATATTCAAAATGAACAAATCAATAGACAGTCTTAACATGATTGGCTAATTATAATGGAATATTGATCCATACATACATAGCAAAATATATTAGACTGTCAAACAAACACACATATTATATGAATATATATCAGACACCTGATTCAGTGGCCAGCCCATGAATTCTAACTTTCACCAATTCGTGATTTAGCGCGACCCCAATCAGTGTCGTCGGTGGGACATCTATCCAAACACGTGACATCTAATTGGACCTCACTGGTCACAACTTCTCACTACAACTCTAGGAAACTCCATCCTGTAGCAAGTCACTAGCGAGCATCAGACTAATTTACTATAGTTTGGTTTGTAAGGATTAGTTATGTTTTTTTACGAGTTGATCATTTCGTTTGAATTACCAGTTCACCTTTGTGTTGTTCTGTTCGTCACTGAGGTTGGACGTGTGTGTGTGCTTTATTATAGAAAAAAAAAACCATCTGTTTGATTACTGAATTGTGTAATCAACAAACAAACACTTTGACATGTATGCAACATGTTTCAATTTATCCGACTTATCTACATGCCATTTTCCTTGAGGTTCCTTTATCTGTTCTTCTCATCGATTGTGTGTGAATAGAGTAGTATAAATAAATATATCTTATTTTGAGTAAATGAATTAATGCATTACAATTCAAGATTGTATGTATCGTATTTTTTTTGTTGTTGTTGTAGAGGTTTACTGTTTTTGAAAGAAATTGAGCAGATGAAAATTCCTCTACCTGATTCTCCAAATAAACCTCAGTAAGTATCTTTTTTGTGTTAATTTTCTTAACTGTTTAATGCAGTTAATTTCTTGTGAATTGTTTAGTGATGCAATGTCTGACCTTTTGTGTGTGTGTGTCAAGGAAATTAACCCTAAGTTCCTATTATTTGCGAAGACTCTCCGAATCCATAATAACTATGAACAATTATCGATTTTAGCTCCAAAACACAAGGACCAATAAGAAATTATATTCTTCGGCAGTTAAATTCGATATCGTTACAAAGTCTATAAACAAATGTTTTACAAGGAATGTCTTGTACTTTTATTCGTATTCTTTCGTTTTTCTTCCAACTTGTACACGTTCGAACTATTCGCGCCTTCGAGTTGCCCGCCAGTGGCGACCAAGGCCAATGAACCAACGTTCATAGTTCACATTCATTTACAGTGTGTGTGTGTGTGTTCAGTGTAGGCTTGGCTCTAAAGTACTTATCGTAAATTGTCGTCAGTGAAAGTTGAATCCAACCCTCATCTCTTCGTTTGGCGTGAATAGTTAATTTTCAGTCATTGGGTTCCAGGTTCGAAACCCCTTTTCCACCCATGTGGATAGTAATATCATCAACCCACATACAATTACTTTGACTAACAGTTTGGAATAAGAAAAATCTGTTTTCAAAGTGATTGTACCCCAGTTTTTTCTAACATTAAAGGGTTATTTATTCGACTAATTATAACTATAAAAAAAACTACAATTCATTTGAAAGAGAAGTTTGTCATTGTAATTTTTTTCTAAGGTTGGTTTGACAGGATTCGATCGACATTAATTTCAATCACTAGCTAACAAAAAATTGATCGAAAACATTTATTTCCCGATACGAATTTAAAACAAGCAATACAGGGTTAATAAAGCAGGATGACTTCATGAATTCATCAAATTTCGGTAGAACTCGTCAGCTGAATACTCTACATACACGGATATATAAGACTGATAAGTAAACAACCTACATTGAATTAGTCATGCAGAAATACACGTGCGAATGTTTTCCAGGTCATGTTCAAATAGATAAGGGTAGATGGAGTATGATAGACCGAAATTAACATAAATTGCATTACGCTTCAATTACATCACTTAGATAAACAGTTAGTCATTAGGGAATATAACGAGAATTGCAAACAGACTAATATCAATAGTAATAGTTACAATAACAATAATAATAATAGTGTTGAAGTGAGTTAAGATAATCCTACTGATAAAGGCTAGTTTTAAATGAATCAAGAATAATAATAATAATAAGAGATAGAATAATAAGTAAAACGTATTACCATGGTAGATTCATAGTGACGACCATCTCGTTTTGTATACAGAAAGCTGGTTTATTAATTCGAATTGCACAGGCCTCTGCAACTGCAAGCACCTTCTTGTTTCTTTGTCTGCAGACAATAGTGAATGATTTGACCGCGTCGATATCATGTCCGTAATCCACAATATGTTTTGTTGTTATTGAGGATTTTGGCACTTTGTGCTCAGCTGTTTTCAACCATTTTGGCAAATGCTGCATCATGTGAGTAGACAATCGCCTTTCTCTACGAAATGTGCGTATTTGCTCCCACAAACACACTCAAATTGATATACGCAGTTTGAAGTGTCGAAGATTGGCGACTGGTCATTCCTAGACTGTTGAAGCACTCGCTTAGTGGTGTTACGTAAAACAAGTTTCGCAGAGTAATAAGTTCTCTTGATGGCTTTATCGAGTCTTCGTTTGACTACTTCCTGTACTTTGAACGGCAACCTGATATAGACAGGTTTCTTTGGAACTGTTTGGATTGTTTTGCAGGGGCTAATTTCTTTAGCTATCTAAACACTGAGGAGAGGAATCCAGTAGCTCATATATTCGAACATCCTCCATTTCGCGATATAAAAAGCCTTTTCCAGTCCAGCCAATGTAAGGATTTGATTGATTTTAGAAGTTAGATTACAAACTGACATTAGGCTAGTCTCGTAACCTAAAGGACCTGATATAAGACTAGAACTTGTACACTTTCGTAGAATCTAATTCCATTATTGAAAAAGTTTTATTTTGATAAAATCACACAGTGTTTATCATACAGTAATATTCACTGATGACCACCTTTCAAGCACAATTTATTACTGCTCATAATCAACTTGATATGTGAGACAATCCAAATAAATTTTACCCATAATGGAACTAAACATCCTGAGTTTGATCTTTTGTGTGATCTGAAACTTGGAGGGAACGACTGCTGCCTGTCTACCCCTTGTTGATCTTACGTAGATTTTTTGTTCATGCTGTGCGTTGTAACTTTATTTGACTGTTTTGATAAGTGAGTCTGTGTGTTGGCCACAACATTGTTCATTAATTACATTTTTTAATTGAGAAGTTAGTAAATATTGCTTTCGATGTTCTCATTAATTGATTGCAAATTTAATACTCTCTCTGAGAACAGTATCACAGGTTCTATGTTGAACCCAGACAGACAGATCACAGGTTGAGTTCCACACACACACATACGCATCCAGCCGAAGAATTCTGAGTGGTAGATTTGTAGCTTAGACACAGAACACCACCTGCATTTCATTATATTTACTGTCTAGGTCGCATGTTGAAACGTCCAGAAACAAATATTTTTAGTATTTTTTCAATATATTTATGCGTTGGAGTTTCTGTAGCCATTTGGTTAAGTTTTTTTTGGGGGGGGGAGAGGGTGGCTAGCACCACGCCCCAACCCTCCCTCTTTATCCAGGCTTGGGACTGGCTAGAAAACTAGGGAGCTAGTAATCTAGGCTAATCTAGTAATCGGCATCAACAACAAAATTCGGTCGAATTTTCAATACAAACTTCAAGTCAGTCAGTTCTTCTATACGGATCAGAAACTTGGCGGGCAGGTCACAAAGAATATTTCCAACCAACAGCCTGTTCCAGACCTTTATCAACCAACAACTGTCAACTATCGCTCTATACTGAAGATGAATCAGATGGCCAGGCCGGAAAGAATCACCAACAAGAAACTATGGGAAGGAACACACAAAACAAGAACCAACCAACCGCCAACCAACAAATATGCAGGACAAAGTGGAGATGGATGGAAATTGTACACTCGCTGAGAAGGCCACCGCTGGTTGACATCGCACGTGCGGCAGGCCATTTCTCGAGTGGAACCCGAAAGGGAATCGGTGAGTGGGACGTCGGTGTAAGGGTGACATGGAAATCGTGTGAAGAGGAGTCGAAACAGTATGTATGGACTAAGATGGATGCAAGTGAAAAGTACAGCAGAAGCAAGACAGGAGCAAGTGGAGACGTGTAGTTGAAGCCTTATGTTCCACTAGGAACTCAAGGAAACAATAATATAATAATAATAGTAATACAAACAAATATCAAAACTTAGAGAACATATAAGTGATTCCATAGAAAGAAGTTGATATGAATTATACTGTCTTATGCTGATTTCTTAGTCATGTTTTACGTTGGTTTCATATCTCTCTCTCTCTCTCTCCGTGTATGTATTAAATAGGTTAGTGAAATTAATCAAAGATGCTCGACGTTTTCTTAATCTGCCTGATTCTGGTCCATGGGTTATTACACGTGTTCAAGCAATGGAAAAAAGTTTGAATGCATTGTTACGATATCTTTGTAATACTCAATCAAAGGTGAGCTTTATTTACCTTTGGTCTGTGTGCGTGTTTCTTAAAAGGGAGATAAGTTCCTTTCGGTAACTTTTTCATCAGTTCCTACAGTTATATGTCATTCCTAATAGTTAGAGAATTATTGTTATTGACAAGATTCTCTCACTCTCTCTACTATTTCTCTTATTCCTGTGGATTCCAAGTAAAATATAGGGCTTTAAGCGTAAGCTTTGAAGTTTCGATAGCAGTAGTGTTTATTTTTGTATGGAGAGAGGAAGTGAAGTTGTTAACCTCAAGCCCAACCTCCCCCCTCTGCTGAACTTACTGCCTGCCAAGCGATGTCGAGAAGTGCGTCGGCCGGGGATTGAACTCCTGCAAGTGGGTTTGGCTCAGGTATCCGATTGTAATTCCATGGAGATATTACACTACCGATGTAACTATTCTTCTTTCCTTGCGTGTAATACACAGCTTCAAGATTTCCAAGTTTAACTAGCGGCAATGTACTATTTTTACTGGTAGGGTTGGTAGCCGCATGTCTAAATTCCCTCCTCTCCCGTTTTTCCGGGTACCTTATCTACCGTCAGCCAGGAATCCAAACCAGATCATCATCTGCTTGGCTGTCGATCATTCTACTATATATAATCAAGCCACATTAGCATAAAGTCAAAAATTGAATCAAGATACCTGTCTTCTATTAAAGAAATCCTTATCGAATGAAACTCTACTCATCGTCAGTAAGAAATAAATTTTAAAAAATTAATATTTCTTCATTACTTTTTTTTTCGGTTTTTATAGGCAAATCCAAATTTCTCGAATAAAAATGAACAACGTGAACCGTCTATGTCAGATAATTCATCCGATCGACAAGTTTGCATTCTCAGTGGTTTATTATCTGTACTAACAAGTCTTATTGGTTTAATCAGAGAACAGAAACCATCATCAACTCAATTGGTACCAGAAAAGTATGTTGTTGTTTTTGAAACTTGTCAATTCTCTATTATTATTATTATTATTATTATTATTATTATTACTATTGTTCTCTTGAGTTCCTAGTGGAACATAAGGCTTCAACTACACGTCTCCACTTGCTTCTTTCTGTCTTCTGCTATACTTTTCACCTGCATCCATCTTAGTCCATACATACTGTTTCAACTCCTCTTCACACGATCTCCTCCATGTCACCCACCCTTGCACTGATGTCCCACTCGCCGCTTCCCATTCTGTCGGGTTCCACTCGAGCGACGGCCTGATACTCGCGCGATGGCCTCCTCAGCCGTGAGTGTTCAATCCATCTCAACTTTCTCCTGCATATTTGTTGGTTGGCGATTGGTTGGTTCTTGTTTTGTGTGTTCCTTCCCATAGTTTCTTGTTGGTGACTCTTTCCGACCCGGCCATCTGATTCATCTTCAGCATAGAGCGATAGTTGACAGTTGTTGGTTGATAAAGGTCTGGAACAGGCTGTTGGTTGGAAATATTCTTTGTGACCCGCCCGCCAAGTTTCTGATCCGTATAGAAGAACTGACTGACTTGAAGTATTGAAAATCCGACTGAATTTTGTTGTTGATGCTGGCTGAGTGACGAAGATTTCCAGATTATATTGGTTTCAGGTTGATGAGTGAATGTGTTTCTCGCCTTTCCGATTCTCGCCCAGATTTGACATCGTCGTCCGTTCCAACTTCTTGTAGTTGAGACAATGCTCCCTAGATAAGTGAGTGAATGAAGTAACCTCTTTCAACCCCCCCCTTTGATGGTGATTGGCGCTGGATGTTGCTGCTGCTGCTGTTGTTGTTGTTGTTGTTGGTGGTGGTTGGTTATTTTCATAACCTCCGTCTTGTCTATGTTCACCTGGAGTCCTGTCTTCGCTGGCTGCTTCTTCGACCAGTTTGTCGGTCGGTTTTCGCTTGTAAGTCTTCGATTTTGTGACTGTGGCATCAAACATAAATCATCCACGCGCGAAATCCAGGTCTTCTAGGTTCTTCACGTCTGTCTGTGCAGGATATCCCTGTCTTCTCGTTTCCCACTCACTGTTTGACGCATAATCCAGTCCACCACAATTTGGAATATCATCGTGGGTGATAATAAGCAGCCTTGTCTGACTCCTGAGTTTACTCCAAACGCCTCTCTGAGTTTTCCGTTGTGGATCACTTGACATGTTCCGTTGTCGTACAGCTGTTGACTATTGTTGATGAATATTTGGGGTACGCCGTAGTACTCGAGTAGTTTCCAAATTACTTCACGGTCAACGCTGTCGAAGGCCTTCTCGAAGTCTATAAAGTTGAGGTGGAGGTTTGATTGCCATTCCGTGCTTTGTTGGATGATGATGATGCGTAGAGTTGCAGTTTGGTCAGAACATGATTTACGTTTCCTGAATCCAGCTGGTTCTGGTCGGATTTCTCTATCCAGTGCGTCCTTTATTCTCTCCAGGATGATGTAACTCAGAATGTTACTTGGCGTCGAGGTGAGCATGATTCCTCGCCAGTTCTTGCAGATTTCTAAGTCGCCCTTCTTTGGTAGATTCACAAGGTAACCTTTCTCTAGCTAACTTTATATCATATAATATGTTTCGTTATTTTTCCCTTGGGTTCTTAGTGGGGGAACATAGGGCGCAGCTTCGGCAGCACATCTTCATTCCATTCTGTTCTCTGGAATTGTGTATTTATTTGTCTCTACTAATGCCCATAACTGTTCATTTCCAACTCATGCGATCCTCTGCTTGTCAGTTTTGTACTGGGCTTACTCAGAGCTTCCCATTGGGGTTTTACGTGACGTCACCTGATATGTGATGGGTTGTCACCCAAGGGTCTTCTCAGTAGTCATCTCTATTACTTTTTGTATATTTGTTGGGTGACAGAATTTTGGTTAGTTGTTAAAGTTCTTCGTTGCTACATTAGATAGGTTTATTTTGAATATCACACGGTGAGTGATGCAGTATGATTAACAACTGAATGACAAGGTTTTAAGCATAAATTATTACTGCTCACAATCATATTAATTTTAGTCACACGGTTTCACAACTTGTCTTATATATATATATATATATCTGTTCTGTCTCTCCAACCTTCCTTTGTTGTTTGTTGCCACTTTTCATATCTCCCTCCGGTATAGGCAGCGTTACGTCATTTCTACTAGTTTGACCTATGTAATTGACCCCACTCGCAGTTATTTCATGGTATTTGGTAAATTATGCTATTTTTCTAAATTTAATCTATTGGATCCTCAAGCTGACAAAGTTTATCTCTGAGAGTTGGTTGGTTGGACATCCTTATTCCAAAATAGAATTGTAAATGACTCTGGTCGTCTGTCCTTCATGGACGACCGTGTTTACCTTGGGACCCTTTCAAGTCTTTGCTTTCTCCCTGTAAACTTTGATTTATTTTGTCAAAACTTTGGTGTTTATCTTATTTGAATAAGGCATTTAAAAGACAATTTTCGCGAGATGATATCTTCATTTTGTAGTTTCTTTACAACCGCTTTACACAACTAACATGGTTAACAATAATAAAATAAAGTTCATGACAATTACCTCAGTTAAATAAAAACACAAAAGTACATACTAATGACCAGTCATATATTTAGATAGGTCATGTAGTCCATTGTAGGCGAAGATTGAAGTCTATTGATTTTTGTATACACAGTTTAGGCTGTATGTGATTAATCCCCCAAAGTGCTTCCATCACCTTCAATAACCAACCAACCTTGAACTAGAGTTATGTGGTGAAATAATTGTGAAGGAGTTATTAATATTGATTTTATGACCTGACATTAATAAGTGTTTTGCAGTGGATGAAGACGGTGATGGATTTCTATTCAGATTAATAGCTGCATTGGGATTTTCTATATGATTTAGTAGCCATTTTGGAACATGTTCTTTTGGACAACCACATTGGAACATTCTGTTGGCTCTACCTATACAGTGTGAACTGCAGGTGAACTTGTAGATACATTGTGAATAAAGTAGAGTCCACAGAATTTCGTCCTTTAATCGTCGGTAGGTACAGAGGTCGAAAATGTTCGGCAAATGACAAAAAGAGATGTGGTGGCGTAGGATGTGCATTTGATAACTGACCGAAGTCTTTGAGGTAGCTATCAACTGCATAATCTGGTCACCCTTGAATGGTAGGTTAATCAAGACAGATAGCTTTCTTTGGTGCAGAAGCTGTCTTTTCGAGATGTGGTTTTTCTTTACTGTGACAAGTGATAAAGTTTTCCGGATAACCGTTAGCTAATAAAACTGAATGTATATGTCGAAACTCATCCATCAATGTGTTGCTCGTGGATATTTTTCGGGCCCTTGAGAACAAACATTTTCACTAGAGATAGGAACAAAACTGGTAAAATGAAGAAGATATTGTCACTCCATGTCTTTTTATGAAAAATAGATCTCTGAATCGTTCCATCATCTCTCCAAGTCATAGTAATATCCAGGAAACCGAGTTTGTTATTCGATTCTAGTTCGGAAGTCGCTCGGATATTTGGATGAATGTGATTAAATAGGGTAATAAAGTTTTCAGTGGATTTACTATTATTGCGAATAATGAGAGTATCATCTACATAACGACGTTTACATAGTTTATCTTACTGAAATTGTGTGTGACACGTTGTGATTAAAGGTTCTCAGGTTGTTGTCCATTAACATATTTCGCGTCTCGTAGAGAAATCCTGTGACGATATGTTCCAGTCAGGTTGTATAATAGGGTGAATAGCATTGAGGTTAGGCGTAGACTAGTGTTAGTCAAGGAGGGAATGATCAATCGATGAGGTTGTGAAGCTACATAGATTGAAATGGCTAAGAAATGTGTCAGGCCATGTTCAACCATCGCCTTCCTAGAGCAACGGGGAATAGGATGGATCAGGTTGAAAAAGAGTTACCTAGTAGTGCTGGTCAAACTAAAACTTCCCACCAGTCAGTCCATGAGAAATCCGTGACAGTTAGTTTGAACCTCCTACAGAGGTGTAGACTATCTGACTGAAGTCCTAAGAATGCTAAAAACCCAGTGGCTTGACATGGCTCCACATCGTTCTGAATGATACAGATGCATTCGCTTAGTTGTGATTTCCCCAAGATCCAACAAATTCTCATGCTTTTCCGTGTTAATATTCTATTCTTTTTCACTTACTTTTCTGCTCGTCATCGTTTACTTTTTTCTTCTGAATCTGGTTTTTCTTCTTTTTTATTTTGTGTACTACAACAAAGAGTTAGGCAACTCAAACAAACTAACTGCGTTTCTGTGCAATTTTAATATTTAGCTTTCAGTGAAATACTTAATGTATTAGATGGTTGGAGGCAATCGGTCACAGGAAGCCTTGGACCTAGGTTTCGTGCTAGTTGGCCCTCACCAGTCAGCAAGGCGTATCTGCAATCTTGAAGGAACCCATGTCCCTTCTGAGAATCGAACACGCATCACCCAGTAGGGCTGCAGTCAAAGACGTTACCACTGAGCTATTCGGGCTCGAAATTGACCTCCTGTAGGACTGTAGTGGATATCCACCGTGATAGCGAGCTACCTAGAATGGTGGTCACATTACAACCTGACTAATAGAATTCAGTCTGCACCAATGAGAGGACTAGACACGTCACACTAGTTACTAGTGTCAAATCAAATTACTTCATGTGTTTGAGTCATATTCTCCATTTTACTTCAGCTTGTAGAAACTGGTTCGTAGTATCGACGTCCACATTAATAATAATGAATGCAGCAAATCAGCTAGTGATTGCGTTCAAACAAAAAATCTCGAGACTGTAGCTTTTAATTTGTATAATCGAAAGTTCACTGACCATTCTCCGCATCTTTCAAACATTTCTCGAAAAAGAATGCATGATATGTATATATTCATTACCTAGCTGGACAGTATTCATAATTTTATATGTTGTTATACCTGTTGTATGTATATATTTATTTTTTCTACATAGGACTTATAAAATTGCTTGTCGCCTGTTACAAGCATTGTGCTATTCAAATACAGATGGCTACATTCGGATGCTATTGACCAATGATGTCTCAATACTTGTTGATTGTCTTGTTGTTCGATTCTCGGTGAGTACTAGCTCTTTACTTTTTGTTATATATGCATTGTGAATTGTGCATCACGTCTTTTTGAGATTGTCATTGGAAAAACCAAGGGACACTGGACTGCGTTTTCGTCCTAGCTCAGCACAAATGATCCTACCATGGATTGTAATCTACGGTTAACTGAAATCCAATTCAGGGTCTAAATGGTCGACTGACTCATATTGTAAAATGAAGGTTCCACATGTTTCAACTGTAGGCGGGTGTCCATCAACTAGGACGAAATAGCAATCTAGTAGTTGACTTTGGTTTCAAACGGATTCTCTGTCTGTGACTGATTTTGCTTCGTGACAAAGTCTGCGTTGTAATTCCTTCTTATAATGTTCAGTTGGCCACCTATGCTGCTACTCTTTCCTTCCTTCTAGGTATTATCATGGTGAAGAAATGAATGTACCTAAGAGGTTTCACAAATTTATAATTGCTAATTAAGTGAAGATTGTGCGTCGGTGGCATAGCGGTTAGGACGCTCGCCGACCATGCACATAGTCCGGGGTTCGATCCCCGGTCACAGACGCACTCCTTTACCTCGCTAAGCCAGAAATAATTCTGGTAAAGAGGAAAGGTTGGGCACGACGCTGGCTAGCAACCCCATCCTGTAAAATAAACATCACTGCTACAGAAACTTCAAGCCTCTAGCTTGAAGCCCTATGTTCCACTTGGGAACGTGAAGGAAAAAAAAAGTGAAGATTAGTGAGAAAAGCCTTTTGAATACTGGTAATAGGCAGTAGGATTTTTATAATTTCACTGTTATCAGTTATTTCACTAATAGTCCTCAACTTATTAATTCTTAGCATTGAGAGAGGGTAGCAGGCGTCAGGCAGAGGTATACACATCTCTGGATTTAGGCGTTCAGATCAACAGTCAGTGGTTGAAGGGCTTGTTTTCTCCCAGTTTTATGCCTAACTTTCTTTCATTTTAAAATCTGATTACAGCTAAAAGCATAGAAAAAGCTTGATGGTCAGTTTCTGTAGCATAAAAGTCTAATAGACTTAATTGGACTGACTGACTAACTGACTGTCTGGTTTCAACGTAGAACAACTTTGCACCGTTGTGCAGCGGTTCTAGTTGCACTCTCCCTGCATGTACCAAACAAAGCAAGAGAAGAGATTAAAGAAAGATTCAAAGGATAGAGAGAGAGAGAGATAATAGATTGAAGTGTGAGTGAGACCAGCATTCACCAGCCATTGACAATGATCACTTTGGGCCGTATCACCAATTGTCTCCAGCCTTCATTAGTTTTCACCATCCCGAAGACCCCAACCAGCCGGTCAGGAAGCTAGTGGACACCTCCCTACATGACTGGCTCGCTAGCTTAAACTAACTGTTGTGGATTATAATGACTGATGAAACCATGTTTTCATTTGACCAGCACTAGCTAACTCTTTTCCAACCTAATCCATCATATGTCAATCAGCCAACATTGCCTGTCGAGCAAGGAAGGTGAATAGTGTCTAGGCATGCATGCGTATCACATGTCCTAACCATCTGAGTCAAATTCCTCTCGTTTATGGTGATTGATGCACGTTGTGGTTGTTGTTTTTGATAAGATGTCTCCATCATCTGTTTCTTCTCTATGTTCACTTGAAGTCCTTAGTTCACTGCCTACTTCTTCTCTCAGCGTTTTGGTTTTCGCCTGTAGATCCTCAAGGTTGTGTGTGTGTGTCATATCGACATAAGCCATCTGTGCAGTCCAGATTTTCTAAAAGCCTTTTGTTGATCTAACATATGTCTATTTTCTCACTTCTTGTGGTCTATTGTTTGTTTCAGTCCACTACAATCAGAAGTGTGACATCAGTGATAGTAGACAATCTTGTCTTAAGTAGCTTTAAAATCCCCATTGAGTCATATGAAAAAGAGAAGACGTTGAGGCCGTTGAGATCCACCTTAAGCAACCTAACTTAGGTATTCAAAAGAAGTTGGTTGGTTCAGACAATATCCTTATTCCGCTGGCCATCAAGATTTTATAGATCCTCAATTTCTTGTGGAAATTTGTTTGATTCTATTTTCTATTGCACTTTTATGCTTATTATAACTTAAGCGTCTTCCTTGAACTGTAATTCCACTGATCTGACTTAAAACATCGATATTATTTAAAAAAAACACCAATATTTTGATTGGATACTAGTAAGTAGTTTAATGTGTCTAGTCCTCTCTTTGGTGCAGACTGAATTCTATCAGTCAGGTTGTAATGTGGCCACCATTCTAGGTAGGTCTCCATCACGGTGCATATTGACTTGATGATATTAGATGGTTGGAGGTAATCGTCAGGAAGCCTTGCCAGGACCTAGGTTTAGTGCTAGATGGCACTCACCAGTCAGCAAGGCGTATCTACAGCCTTCAAGGAACTCATATCCCTTCTGAGATTCGAATCCGCGTCACCCAGTGCTGCAGACAGAGACGTGACCCCTGAGCTATTCGAGCTCGCGATTGACCTCCTGTAAGACTGTAGTGGATATTGTAATTGACTACTAATCTAGAATATTCTATGTATATAAAAGCATATATATCATTGTAGAGCTAGAAGAGGAAATTGTCGAAAAGGATATTCTTTGTTAAGTTTTTTTCTCTTTTTTCTTATGAGGAAGTTCGTGAAAAACCCACAATAAAAAAGAGGAGAAATAGTGTGGCAAAACTATTTATCATAACATAAATAAAAAGGAATTATATGAAAAAGAGGAAACGTTCAGTGAAGAAACTCTTTTCGACGGCGAATTCATTCACATAGCACTGTACAATCTCATTTATATATATAATTATTTGTGTGTGTGTGTGTGTGTCTACATGAGGTTTGTCAAGTTTTGATGATTAACCAGGTAATACAAGAATGACCTAATATAGAAACAAGGTATAATTAGACAGGAACTAAAGTAAGATTGAGTTAGTTAGAAAGTTAGATGACGTAATATAATTGACTAAAATGTTCCAGCTTTGGTCAGGGCAGCAACAGAGGTAATTACAGGTAGAGACTAAGTAGAAGTGAAGTAGAGAATAATGCCATTTAAATTACAACTGAAATTAAGCAAATAAGTTGGATGACGTAGCATACATAAATGACTAGAAATTAAGCGTTGGTCAACTCAGTAAAAGTGGTAATCAGGGGCAGAAATTAAATTGGGAGGGAGGGGGTGGTAGAGAACAGGAAGTTTGAAAATGTAAAATATTACATTTGAAAAGACAAAATAATACCAACGAAGCGACAGAAAGAAATAGAATTCACTTGTCAGGTATTAAGATAGATTACGTCCACTGCAAATGTATGTAGTGATTGTGAACGAACTTGTTTCTGTATGCAGAGTTCAGGACTTAGCAAGTGAATCGCCATTGCTTCTGCAGTTTGAAGAAGTCTGATTCATACACCTTTAGGAAGACAACTTCTTACTCTGTAGATGACTTTGAAGTTTGTTTGGAGTGTAGCTTGATGTCGGGAATCTATCAGATGCTCTGAGATAGAGCTGGGTGGGGGCGTCGTTTTTCTCTTTTGTAAAACCATGTTAGTAAGTGTTTGGTGATACGTTTGGAAAGCGAATGCTGGGTACGGCTGACATATCTGGCTCCGCACGAGTCTAGTCTTAGTTAACAGTATATATATATATATATATATATATATATATATATATATCGCTGTTAAACAGAATTTGGACAATTGTTATTCTTTTTTTTAATATAACATTCTGAATATATATTTAGTATGTTTGTTTAAACGACTTGAATCAATAAATTTACTTAAATAACATGACCGTTGTTTTTTTTCTGTCACAGAGAGAGTGTACAGGTCGGTGATGACCACACAGGTAGACAATTTCTAATGTAGTTACAGTTGGTATAGCAGTGTTAAAAATGTATGCAAAAGTTGTGTGTACTTTTCTGCTTACGGATATACACACGCACATACATCCAACAGAACACAAGTATCTTCTAAAACATTAGTAGTATAAAAATACCACCATACTATATATTCAGATGTGTGTAGTTACTAAGATATAAGCTACAAGGTTCAAGGTTATTGTATATATATATCTATATTCACCTCACCTTCTCCTGTGAACTGAAATGTTTCTACTCTCAATGGTTGAGTGTCTAAAGGCGAAAAAGTCCATATTCTTTGTGTGTTGCATTTTGTCAATTTCTGCTCTTTTGTTTCTGCTTATGTTGTGTATAAAACGTTTTATAGAGAATACACAAGTTAGTGTAGGTTAAACTCATCTAAAGATTTGAAAAATAGACCTTTTAGTTGTGTCACTGTGATAAATAAACAGACCGACAAACACCACTGTGAAGTTACCCACTTATTGCTTACTACAGCAACCAACGTTAGGCGTCGAGTGCTAGGTAAGGAGGGGAAATCAATCAACGAGGCTGTGAAATTACGTTGACTAAGATGGTTGAAACATGTGTTAGGTATGCGTAGTCATCGCCTTCCTCGACCAACGGGTAATGCTAGCTGACTGACATAGGATGGGTCAGGTTGGAAAAGAGTTAGCTAGTGGTGGTCAACCCAGTTATGGTTTCATCAGTCAATGCAATCCACAACAGTTAGTTTAAGCTAGTCACGTAAGGAGATGTAGGCTGGCTTCCTGGTTGGGGTCCTCGGGATGGTTAAGACTAATGAAGGCTGGAGACAATTGGTGATATGGCTCAAAGTGAACGTTTCCAATGACTGGCCCAGATGCATCCACTCCTTGTGACTTATGATTTCCAATGAAACTATATTGTTCTTCATTGCTACTATTCCTCTGTCTGACACCTCTGTTTACTGTCTCTATCATACATTTCTGCTACTTTCTTGTCTTGCTTTGTGTGGTACATGGAGGGAGTGTGTCGACTTGAACTGGTGCACATCGGTGCAAAGTTCTATCTCGAAAAAAGACAGACAGCAACCAACATGTGATTTAGTGTGGTCTGAACACGCTCGCTTTTAGGGAACTGATCTCTTCGTCGTGCTACTACTGTATAACCAGCCGATTAAAACTTCCTTTAGAGAGAGACGTACTCAGTCAGTCGCGATGAAACGCTTCAAAGGCAGGAGGTAGACGATTATATTCTGAAATAATTTTACGGTTCTGTTAAACAATTATAGTAAGAATTATATCAAAAACTCAAAAGTACCTCAATAGTGAAGTTATTAAGCTGTACAGTTCAGTCTAAGTATAAAACATCCACTTAGATTCAAGTAGAATACTCCAGACAATGTTGGACCAAAAACTCTTTCCACAAGAATTGCACAGCAACGTTTTCCTCGGGTAGTTGAAGGTCAGAAATGACACTGATTGACTTTAAAATGACATTGTACTGTAACGATGGAAGACAAGAGACTTAGTGTGAAGCAATGTTTATTTGCAATTCGGTACACCGTGGTCTGCAACGATCTGTCGAAATACGGTTCCGGCGCGCGTTGATCAGGGATCGCAACGGCGTCTACCCATCGCGTAGAGTGTTCAATCATCAACAAGAGCTACTGATTACCACTGGATGTCTGCGGGGTCAGGCCACACCCTGAGTATCCTGACGTTGTTGTGTAGGAATCGGTTGACTTCCCTTCAATATTTGTAATCTATATGTCAAAACTTTTTGAATCATGATTTTCGACTTTATTTATTATTATTTACGAGATCCTGGTTGTGTTTAGTGTTGTATGTACATTTTTCACAGTTCCTCTGTGTGTGAACCTAATAACGTCTTAACAAATAGCATTATTTTCATATGTTTATTGTAATTTGTAGGTGTGTATTCCAAGCAATCGACATTTTAACAGTTACAACATCTCATCAACACCAGAAGTGAATACTGCTACTCCCACAGATCAATCAGATCATCATGATTCATCATATTTTCATTGTTATTCTGGTAATTCGTGTACACTGGATTTATTAAACTTTCTAACTAATCTGCTGAATGGGTTATGTGAGTTAAATTTATCCTCCACCACCTCCTACTCATCATTGTCTAATATGGACAATACAAGTAGTTCAACAACTATACGAGATTCTACTCTTACCACTCCGACTGCTTCTCCTGCTCCTGATGAAACTAGAAGTACTACTCCATCTACAACTACGCCTAATAGCTCTGTGCATAGTCTTTACAATTCTTCAAGTATTATTCATGAATCTGGTAAACACTTCAAAGCTGACTGTCAACGAGTTCAAGTAAGCCAGCTACCTTGTATTTTTTTTCCTATAGTTTGGTTTGTAAGGGTTAGTTATGTTTTTTTCCGAGTTGATCACGGATTGATATCGTTGAAATATATATATATATATATATATATATATATATATATATATATTGAAAACCATCCAGGGAGTCCTAGACAGTTGTTTCATTCTAGCTTGGGAATCATTGGCAGTACGCCGCCAGAGTTCGAACCTCAAAGCCTTCAAGTAACAAGGTAAGCTCGCATACCATTCATGAGCCATTGAATCGGGTTTCAGTGGCTGAGTGATATACGAGCTTGCCTTGTAACCGGAAGGTCCTGGGTTCGAACCCCTGTGGTGGGTGCGTACTCCCGATGATTCACAAACTAAGGATTCCCAAACAGCAGCTGTCCAGTACTCCCTGGTTTTCAATGGCTCTCTAACTAATATCAATCCGTGATCAACTCGGAAAAAATACCTTGTATTTGACGAAGATTCCTTTTTTTAAACACTGATCAGTGAGCAGACAGACAAAAACAAGCTTGGTCTTTTGTAACCTGAATGGCCGTAGTAGTTCCATTCTTGATTGGAGATATGGGTGAGCACTGATGAAGGGTCCTAAAATAGGACGAAACAGCTGATTGGAGTCCATCCAGTGCTTCGTGATTTTCAATAATCTCTTTAACTGATGTTAGTGGTTCGTAACGAATATATCTAACAATTGTAATTGTTAGTGATGGCGTTTCCTGGGGTGTGAGAATTTAGCTCCCACGGATGACAGTGGTTGATGGTCGCGCTAAATCCTGAATTAGTAGAAGTTAGAATTCAAGGGTTGGTACTTGAATCGGGTCCCAGTGGCTGAAGGGTATATGAGCTAATTTATATGAACTGTGAACAAGATTTGACCGGTTAGTTGCAAAATAATTAAGCTCTGAGTGAGAAGTAGACATTTATAAAATTATATTTGTGAAATCTGAGCGAAATTGAAATGATTAGTTCCAACGTTTCTTGAGTTCCGAAATCTGGTCCGAACTTCTTCAGGGAAATTAATCGAAATTAACATAACAGAGGTTTATATATAAAAGGAACATCTCTTGTTTTGAAACTTTGTCTAATCATGAGCCATTCAACAGGCATCAACATGTATAATAAATAAAATTATATGTTTATATAAAAGTAGATCTCTTGTTTTAGATTGTTTGTCCTGTCATATGAATCAAAAAACAGCTATCAATAGATATTATAAACAAAACAAAAGTTGTATGAACTGTGGTCAAAAATTTGACCTCAGACTTTTAAAATTAGTCTACTTTTGTTAAAATATATGTGTATATGCAGTATACAATGGTGTGTGTATGCGCGTGTGGGTGATTAATTTCCCTGAAGAAGTTTAGACCAGATTGCCGAACGAAACGTTGGAATTAATCATTTCAATCTCGCTGAGATTTTACAAATGTAATTGTATGTGAGCTAGCTTGCCTTGTAACCAGAAGGTCCTGGGTTCGAACCCCTGTGGTGGGTGCGTACTCCCAATGATTTGCAAACTAGGATGAAACAGCAGTTGTCCAGTACTCCCTGGATGGTTTTCACTGGTTCTCTAACTGATAACAATCCGTAATCAACTCGTAATTGTAAATATGTTTTCGATTTGCAAGGATTTGATGGACTTCAAGTTTGTTCACAAAAACTCACTTCATTAAAAAAAACAACACTGAAAACTAGAGTGGAGTAGTGGACACTTGTTACTAACTCTTCAACAGTGCTGGGGCATTCATTACCCACCTCCATCAGTGATCTAACCCAAGAAGGATTTTATCACTGAACCGACGCCATCGATGCACATGATTCAGAAACTTTTCGTCAGGGTTAATCCTTTCAGGAGAACCAACACACCAGGGAATTTTTGTGTTTAATTCTATAGCCCCACCAAAGGTCTACTGACGAATCATTGTTCTTCGACGCCTAGCCTAGTGAAATTTATTCGCTGAGTTTTAATCTGACAGTCATAATTCCAAACAATTGACTGTATGATGTTTTCGCTATGCTATGCAATGTAATAGTAGATTAAGTATCTTCATATTCTATCCTTTGGTGCCAGACACGGTAACAGGAAAGACCCGTCTCATTGGGTGAATTTCGGGCTCGATTCCTTGTTGGTGCACTCCAAAACCTCGCCTGGCAGGCGTTTCGGTATGTCCCACTGTGACACGAATTGTCCGAAGTTGAGATTCATGGACCATTAGGCCGAGTCCCTGAAGTTTAATGGTCTACAAGCTAGCTCGCCTTGTCACTGGGAAGGTCCTGGGTCCGAACCCTAGTGGGTAATTACTGGTGAAGAGTCAGGGACTAGGACGAAACAGTTTTCCAGTGGTTCTCTAACTGATGTCAGCCCGTGGCCAAACCCATACCAAATCATATCCCTGCGAACTAACACTTGATAAAAAAATCAACTGTTTTAAATTTTTGGTATTTTTGCAATGTGTCAAACGAATATGAAAGTTATTCTACCCCATACCTAACTATATATATATATATATATATATATATATATGTTACATTGCATAACTTATTCTTTCCTCCATTATAGATAAGATTTTATTTTGATAAATCACACAATGTTGTTATGCAGTAATATTAACTGACGACCACGTTTCGAGCACAATTTATTGCAATTGCTCATAATCATATCAAGTTACTCACACAACGTTTTTCCTTCATGTATATACATGTGTGGAATTGACCAAATATTTGAATAAAAATCAGTATGAGATAATGTACATTCAGAAATAATAATACGAGTGTTATTGATCAATTACAATCAGATGGGAAATAAGACTAGTGTTTTTATAGTCATAATAATTAACTTGTTAGAATGTTTTTATGCGTTTGAATTGAAATAGAATTTTGAGATTATTTATTATCCTCCTCTGATTTCACTGACTCGTGGTAATAATATCTTCTATATTTCTGGTTTGTGCATTGAGTCATTTCTGTTGCATGTGTTGGGTGTAAACTCGATGAACAAGGATTCCGTAATCAACCTCTCTCTCTCCAGCTACCTAGATTACTTCTTAGAATCTTAGCCCTCTTCCATCCTATTGTGTGGTTGTTTGTTATTGCGTGAAGTGCAATAGCTGAGCTTTTTACTAAATTACTTATCTTCTTTGGGTCAAGTATTCTTCCCTTAGCTAAATTCTTAAGTTCTAATAATCTGACTACTCCCGATCTACTAGTTTGATCTATGTAGTTGACCTAACTCACAGTTATTTCAGGGTATTTTGTAAATTATATTATTTTGTTTAATTGGGTCAATAGGTACCTTTAACCTACAGAGCTTATCCCTGAGTGAGTTTGTAGGTGGGTTTGAATGCCACCCTAATTCCTGCATTATTAAGAATCCTACGTAGGGCCTCAGATGTCCCCTCCTTATATGGTATAACAATGGATGGACTTATATTCGCTCTTATTTATGTTATCATTACTAGTCCTACAAACATTTTTATTTTATTTTTGGCCTTTACTGATATTCCTAATGGATTTTATAGGATAGTTAATCAACACCAACGCTTCTTCTATCTGTTTTATTTCATCATTTAGGTCTTTTCTTGTGCTACTTAGTGCTATGGCTCGGTTTATTCCAATATCTAATCGATTCCACACATGTTTATAAATGAAAGAAAAAACGTTGTGTGAGTATTGGCTTGATATGATTATGATCAATAGTTTGTGCTCGAAACGTCATCAGTTAATATTATTGTATAATGCTGTGTTACTTAGCAAAATAAAATCTTATCTATAATGGAGTTATGCTCTGCCACAGTGCCCAAGTTCTATACTTATATCTATTGTTTCCTCAATGTGTATATTTTATATAGGATTTCCTCAGTTACATTGTAAGCAGTGGTCTAGTTGATTTATTGTCAACACGATTATCAAATCCAAAACAAGCCAGTTGGTTATTAGTGAATAATAATAATAATAATAATAGCAGCAATTCTGGACGTCCTGGATCAGCTTCAAATCAATTTGTTGAACATTGTCAACATTTTGTCCTGAGTAGTATTGCCTTTCTAACAAGTCTTACACGTCTGTTAACTATAGTCTCAGGGGAACAATTAAAGCATAATCAACATCATCCTTACAACAATCAGACAGATGGTTGTTATCCTCTAAGTTTAGTCAGCTCAGAATCAATTGATAGTGTTGTTCTACAGTCGTCAGTTGAAGAGAGTAACTCTCAGGCGAAGACTTCATCAAGCGGCAATAATAATAATACAACTAGAAGATGGTGAGTTGATTGTGTGTTGTTGTTTTTTTTTTGACTAGATGCATACTAATAAATAAGTTATTATTATTCACAGGACTAACTTGATGTGATTTTGCTGGATGGTGTCATTGTAAATGACTCAGCCCCAACGGGTTGATCGCTGACGAAATCTCAGCACGGATACAGAGGGCTAGTTTTGCGTATTCCAGTTCACGCGGTCTCTGATATAGATGTGATATCCGGCTATCGACCAAAGGGCGTGTGTACTGCTCAACAGTCACTTCACTCTGTCCTCCTTCATGGCTAGCTGTGAGCGAGACACGGCCATTGAAAGTGGAAAGCTGTCTTTGATCATAAGTGCATGCGCTCTATCTCCCGTGTGAAGTGGTATAATAAGGGGAGCAATATTGAGGTTAGGTTTCTGTCAATCAATCGATGAGGCTGTGAAGTTACACCGATTGAGATGTTTGAGACATGTGTTACGTATGCGTAGTCATCGCCTTCCTCGACCGACGGGAAATGTTAGTTGATATAGGGTCAGGCTAGAAAAGAGCTAGCGGCGATCAAACCAAAACATGGCTTCATCAGTCAATGAAATCCACAACACTTAGTTTAAGCCAGTCACGTAGGAAGGTGTAGACCTCCTGATTGGTTGTGGTCCTCGGGACGGTAAAAACCAATGGTTGGAAACAATTGGTGATATGGCTCAAAGTGAACGTTTTCAATGACTGGTCCAGATGCATCCACACCTTGTGACTTATGATTTCCAATGAAACTATATTGTTCTTCGCTATTACTATTCCTTTGTGTCACACCTCTGTTTACTGTTTGTATTATGCATTTCTTCTACTTTCTTCTGTTGCTTTGTGTGGTACATGGAGGGAGTGTGGCGACTTGAATTGGTGCACATCGGTGCAAAGTTCTATGTCTAAAACAGATAGCCAGACAGACAGAAATGACTCTAAATAATGAATCAGTTGAGCATGCTGTGATAGCTGTTGACGAGGTGTTCAAATATGACTCTTCTGATTAGACTAGAGCCTCCCTTTTTTGTAGCCATGCTGAGTAGTGTTCTGCAACACGTCTCCTTAAAGTGTGCGCATAGAATTACCTATGTACCTAGCTAGCCCTGCAAGAGTAGGTGAATTGATATTGTGCACACTTGAGTGGTTATATTTGCGAGTTTGTCCTTCACAAAATGATTAGAAGCAATGAGCGGCTAGAGCATATCACTCATCATAGTGTTGCTACAGGAATAGTCTTCTTCCGGGGGGGGGGGGGCTAGAGATTCTTCTGGTAACAAAAGAAAATTAGCAATAGTTATGTAATTAGATAAGAAAAGATCAAAATTTTAAAATTTCGGTGCACATCTGGTCAGATGAGTAGTTGATGATGTAGTACAGGGAGCAGAATTCAGAAGATCAAGAAAAATTATCTCTTAAGAGAGTCAAGCGAAAAATAAAGGGAGTTGATGGAGTAAAAAGATAAGTTAACAAAATTAGAAAACAAAGAGTTACTAAGAAGTGAGTCACCAGGGTAATTGAAGTCCAACAACAGATTCTTTTTGGACACATAAATCAGGCTTCACTCGCTTTATTGCTATAGCTTCAGCAAACCTGAGAAGACTTGAGGTACTTTGTCTGTTAATTATTTTGAATGATTCCAGCACATCTACACGGTGTACTGCGTCAATCAGGTGTTTGGCGACTGAAGAGCTTAAACATTTCGGTCACTTTAACCGGAGGCTCCTTAGTACATGTTGTCAGAATCTGATGTAGACCCTCCTCTCTGTTTTTCCAATGTAACTGCTCCCGCAGATACATGTGAATCGGTATACACAGTTGGAGGTAACGTGTGAGGGGTACTTGTCAATCTTTGACTGCACCAATGGAAAGATGTTTGCTTTTTTAACTGCTTGTTCTTTTTCTTATATAAAAGGAATTGTTGACAAGACTCGCTTTCGCTATCTCAAACAGCGATATTGAATATATGTACAAGTTTTAAATGACTGTGACGAACAGTGCATTATCAAGAGTTAACAGTCACTAAGATTTAAGCGTTCGTAAAGAGTGGAAAATACAGAAGACGCTATTTTTTTCCTTCACGTTCGCAAGTGGAACATAGGGCTTCAAGCTAGTGGCTTGAAGTTTCTGTAGTAGTGTTTATTTTACAGGATGGGGTTGCTAGCCAGCGTCATGCCCAACCTTTCCTCTTTACCAGCATTATTTCTGGCTTAGCGAGGTAAAGGAGTGCGTCTGTGGCCGGGGATCTAACCTCGGAACATGTGGGACGCCATTACTTGGTCGTAACTGGAAAATGTAAAACGACTGACATTCAACCAGTAGTGCTTAGTTAGGTAGGTTGAAGTGGTGTTTTGTTAAAGATTATTTCTCTCTCTCTCTCTCTCTCCGTTTTTTCTCCTAGCCCTAGTTCTACCTCATCGTGTGATACAACTTCTGTGAACAATTGTAAAATAATGTCAAATAGTCAGTCGAACAATCCTCAATCAGTGAATGATCCAACAAAATTACTAGAAACTGTTAATACTACTGAAGTTTTTGGCTTGGTACCACTACTCTATTGTCTTCTACTTGATCCAAATAGTCGACCAATTGATGCTGCTGGATCAATGACTAATGATACGCATAATTCTCTGCCACCATCCTCATCATCAACAAAACAGTCTAATAAAACGAGTGAGTATGTGTCTGTGTGGGCGTGGTAACTGTTGTTTTCTCCCCTCGTTTTGTATAATATTATTTTCAAGCAAAAGCTGTGAGAGAGAAAAAGTAGTATTTAGTGAATTCATAAATTTTAGTAGGACTTATCAGTCGATTACTCTACAAACATTGTGTTATTATTATTTTTTCCTTTAATTCCTAGAGTAACATAGGGCTGCAGCCGCACATCGTCATTGCGTTCGGTTCTCTGCCAACGTTTTCATCACCTGGCTCCACGTCTCCCCATATGCTTTCATCTCCTTTTCGCATCACCTCCTCCTCCATGTCACCCTAACACTGTGACGACCAATTCGCGCTTCCCATTCGGCTTCCATTAGAGTGATGGCCTGTCGTGTGGTGTCACTCATTTAATGGTTTGTTTTCTCTAAGAGTATGGCCACCCATCCATCTTCATTTTTTCTTGCATATTTGTTACACAAGTGGTTCTTGCTAGGTGAATTCGCTCATCACCAGAGATCCCTCCCTGTTGCTGATTTTTTCTGGTCGGCCATCTAATCTTGAGTAGTGTTGATCAAAGACAGCTATTGATGAAGGTGTGTAGTTTGTTTGAAGTGCTCTACGTGACGCGGCCCGGCGCCAAGTCTCTGATCTATCCGTATAGTAGCACTGACTTCACATTGGAGTTGAAAATCCGGATCTTATTTTCATTTTCATGCTGAGCAGTACTGTTGGCCTCCACACAGACTTGTGAGTAATAAAAGCTTTAATGAAAACAAAACACGTAGATCAGCGAAGAGTCTCTTTTCGGCGAATTCATTTTCTTAGCTGTACAATCGCAAATATATATGCATTGTTTTGTATGTATGTGTACATTAAGTTTGTCAAACAAAGTTACAATTGGTTAAGGTTACTTTTAACTAAACAAGTGGAGGATGGTAATACAGGTCAAGAAAATTAAGTGCTAATGAAACTAGGGTAGTAAAAAAAAAAAAGTGATGAGTTGTCACAAACAGTTGTAATAATAATAGTGAGTTTTACTCAGGATGCACATAGAAACAAAGTAGATAATACGAAACTATGTAAGAGATCTAAGTGGATACAAGAATTATAATTGCTTAAGGTTATTTTAACTAAACAGGTAAAGGTTGGTAATATAAGTCAAGACCATTAAGTGCTAGGGTAGTAACAAAGGTGAGTTGTCACAAACAGTTGTTAAAAGAAGTTATGCAATAATAATATGAATAGTTTGACGAGTGAGTTTTACTCAGGATGCACATAGAAACAAAGTAGATTATACGAAACTATGTAAGAGATTTAAGTGAATACAAGAATTATAAGCAATTAAGGAACAGGCAAAGAAACAAAATTAAGTCATCAAAATAAAAATAAAAGCTCAAAACAAATCAAAACATTGTTACCATGAGAGTAGAAGTGGTTGAGTAATCTTCTTTTGTATGCACAGCTCCGGTTTTTCCATGTGAATGGCCAGAGCTTCAGCGATGCAAAGGAGACGAAACATACATACAAAACAATGCATATATATTTGCGATTGTACAGCTAAGAAAATGAATTCGCCGAAAAGAGACTCTTCGCTGATCTACGTGTTTTGTTTTCATTAATAAAAGCTTGCCTTGCTTTCCCGATCGATCCTCGCTTTGATATCCTCAACACTTCCATCCGCCTGTAGTTGACAACAACAAATAAGAATCAAGTGTTGGTGTGTAGGGATTTGATTGGTTACAGGATTTCATCATGAATTGACATTGGTTAGAGAACCATTGAAAAACCTGGGAGTACTGGACCGCTGTTTCATCCTAGTTTGGGACTCTTCAGCAGCACGCACCCACCGCCAGGATTTGAACCCAGGACCTTCTGGTTACAAGGTGAGCTCGTATACCATTAAGCCACTGGGGCCCGATCCAATGGCCAGTCCATGAATTCTAACTTCTGCCAACTCACGACATAGCGCGACCCCTACACATGATGAAATCCTGTAACCAATCAAATCCCTACAAACCATCACTTGAATTTCAATGAGATGCCCACTAGCGACTTGCCTATTCAGGTAGGTAGTTGCCCGGGTTTCTAGTGAAAAGTCGTGACCAGTAGGGTGCAGCTGGTCGGGTGTGAGGACAAATACTCGCCGAAGACATTGGCTAGGGATCGCGGTATGTCGTGAATTGGCAGAAGTTAGAATTCATGGACTGGCCATTGGGTCGGGTCCCAGTGGCTTAATGGTATACGAGCTCGCCTTGCGACCAGTAGGTGCTGGGTTCGAATCCCGGTGGGTGCGTACTTCTGAAGAGTCCCAAACTGGGCTGGCGAAACAGCTGTCCAGTACTTCCTGCAGGTTTTCCAGTAGTTCTCTAACCAATGTCAGCTCATGATGAAATCCCTTAAATAACAATGAATTTCAACAAATATATGATCTGTAGGTGGTGGTGGTGGTCGTGAGGGATAATCTCTTTAAACGATATTAAGAAGTAAATGGTACTCATTAAGTTACTACGCTATTATTAACATATAAAATGGGGTTATTGTGGAAAAATAATAATGATACAATTATTGGTGGTTCAGCGGTAGAACTCTCACCAACCCATGCAAATGTCCGCCAAGGTGCTCTACTCTCCCCACTTCTCTTTTCTTTCCTTCTACATGACATTAATTTTGTTAAATATCCTGATGACCTGACTGTATCTTTGCCTGTCAAATGTCAAAGTGACTGCTCCAAACTAAATGGCTTTTTATCAGGAATCAGCCAGTGGTCCAAGGAAAACGGTCTTACCTTAAACCCCTCCAAATGCCAAACAGTCAATTTCACCTTTAGGCATAAGTCTGACCTAAACAAACTGGTTAGCACTCACGAGGTGTGCAACATTGGTGGCACTGAAATAGAAACCAAGTCGGAAATTAAATATCTTGGCGTCATTCTATCTGCTGATCTTTCCTGACCGTCTCATACCTTGATGATTTCTAAGAAAATATTCCGTCTTACCTTCTACATCAAGAAGTCAAGACATTCTGGCATAACCCGACCCTTACTCCTACAATTCGTTAACTCCCTCATTCTGCCTATTATTCTCTATTGTTCCCCCTCAGTTTTTCCCGGGCTGGCTACTGAAGAAAGACTATACCTTATTACGCAGGATGGTAAAGGTTGTCATCAGGGTAAGAGACGCGCCACTTAACCGGCTTGTTAATATTCTGGTTGACAGGCACATGAACTCATGTGAAAAATGGGTTAAATCCATTTTATCTAACTCATACCATCCTCTTCATTCACAACTCCCCCCTTGTATCTCATCAGACAGAACCAGAAGCCTATATAGAAAACTATATGCTCACACTAGAAAGTACAAAAACTCAGCTATACCCTACTTAGTTCGTGTTCTGTGCGATAAAGAAAGCATTAGGCGTGATAACTATAACTTATTAAATAGTCAGTAGAACAACTGGATCTAGTCTTTCCAACTCATATCATTCATAGGTACAACATTTTTTCTTCCTTTCTTTTCAAAACAACCTAATGCTGAGTAGGAATCCCCGACCGATAGCGGCTACCTTGACTTGGTGGTTGGGCTTGCACATCGCGATGACCCAAAAAGCTGCACTGGATGGTACCAATGTTCCTGCAGGTCCTATCATGCCAGGAAGGTTGTTAAGATAGCGATCAGACTAAAAGCAGTTACCGGCATTGTGTTAGAATCTTTCTTACATTATGCTGGGGGTATGAGGGCGCAGTCGTACTGCTGGGGAACAGAGGTGTAACAGCAGTGAGGTGTTTCCCTCAGATGACCAGCTATGCTGTCTCTCCCCTCCGGAGAGAGGGGGTTAGAAAAAGTCGACCCCAAAAATTTTACATCCTGACTTACTCTACGGTAGTCCGTAACCGGGGTTAGTTTACTAATAGGAACCAATCCCAGAAACCAGTTCACATAGGCCCTGTGTGACCGGCCTGAAGCAGTTGTCCCCTGGGCACTACTAACCCTTTTTCTGTTTCAGGTACCCGAAGAGTCAACCAACTTCCACGGTGTGGACATCCGGGAAGTAACAACCACCCACACACTTGCAAAAGCACACGAAGCCTTCCTGAGTATCATTCTCCCTTACTCACATCACGTTCCTCATCTTGCTTCTCTACTACAGTTAGTACCTGTTACCTGTTAAACTTGAAGAATATTCACTCAACTTTAGGAGTGGAATATCGGACTTTGAAGTTTCAGTGGCGATGGCGGTGGCAGTGGTGTTGATTTATGGGTTGGAATCAATAACCTCACACACCCAACCTTCTCTCCTAATCAGGCTTTACTACTACCGGAAAAGCAAGATTTAGCGAATGTATCTGCTGAGAGTTGAACTCTGACCAAGTGTGCCGTTGGGAAAAACATCTGGCCATTCAACCACATAATACATATGTGCATTTAAATTAATATGTTTGGCATACCTTGAACTCTGCTCTATCGTGGGACTCAAACACTGTAAAGACACGAAGGTGAAAAGTGTTTGTTGTAACCGCATACTTTAGCTTCCTAGGATTCTATACAAGTCAGTATTTACTCTGTTATTCAATTGTGTAACATGTAAAATGATTCCTACTGAGCTATTTGACGCTTTTTTTTCTCTCTTTATTTTCAATTTATTCATTTTTCAGAACAACTTCGGCATAATTCACAAAAAGATGTTGAATCTTTAGGCAGTACAAAGTTGACATCATTTGGTGTGAATACTCCTCACGAATCATCATCACCACCATTTCGTAGTGAAGTGATAGCAGAGATTACATTGAATATTTTAAAATTAATTAATTCACTCTCATCATTACATCAACATACAATGCAGGTAAGCTCTACATGATCTTATTGATTGATTGGTTAATTGGTTGGTTGAGTTGATAAGATACAAGGTAAACATTTTCTATAAGTAAAAATGGTTTCATCTAGTTACGGATGGGTGATCCGAAATGGTCATACTTCACAATTTTTCAGGAGATAATGACACCTGTGTTATCGCTAAAAAAAATTGTTGGACTGACTGAATGGTTTCAACGTAGAACAACTTTGTGCAGATGTTTAGAAGCTCCAGTCGCCACACGCCCTTCATGTACCACACAAAGCAAGAGAAGAGAGTAAAGGGTGGGTAGTTCGAAAGACAGGTAATAAACAGAAGTGTAAGTGAGGGGAAAAGTATTGTAGTAGTATGGAAGAACAATAAATTACTTTGATTGGATACGAAAAATCACAAAGGAGTGAATGCATCTTCACCAGTCACTGAGAGAACAATTTTGAGCCATATCACACCAATTGTCTCCAGCCTTCATTGCTTCTTACCATCTCGAGAAACCCAACCAGCCAGTCAGGAAGTCTACATCTCCCTACATGGCCAGCTTAAACTTGTGCGTCGGTGGCACAGTGGTTAGGACTCTCGCCGACCATGCACATGGTCCGGGGTTCGAGCCCACGCCGGCGCACACCTGATATCTATGGCCTGCAAAATTTGGGCTACCGATATCCATGCTGAAAATTCCATACTTGTACCAAAAATACAGTGTGGAATCAAGCTGTAAATCAAAAATCAAAAAAATTAATTAAATTACTGTTGTGGATATCACTGACTGATGTAGCAATGTTTTGGTTCGGTCACCACTAACTAACTCTTTTCCGATCTGATCTCCATCCTATGTCAGTCAGCTAACATTGCCCGTTATCGAGACAGGCAATGGCTAGACTAGACTACGCATGTGTAACACATGTCCCAACCATCTCTCTCGATCGGTGTCAGCCTTTTTGTGTGTTTCACTTTCAATGGCCATGTCTCGCTCACAACCAGTCATAAAGGAGGGCAGAGTGAAGTGATTGCTGAGCTGAATTTCGTGGAAAAATTGTTGGACATGGTGAACTATGACTAGCAGTGGAATTCAGAACGATCATTTGGTCATATTCGTGACTCATCTGCTGAAGGATAGAAAGAGAGGGGGACATCCGTTTGCTTCCTCGACCCGACCAATTACTCTGCACTCTGTATGACTGACCTTTATCACATAACCATGCATTTGTTTTACTCAAAATTTGAATAAGGCATTTAGAAGACAAATTTCGCGAGATGATATCGTCATTTCGTAGTCTCTTTACAACCGCTTTACGCAGCTAACATGGTTAACAATAATAAAGTTCATGACAATTACTCAGTTAAATAAAAACACAAAAGTACATACTAATGACCAGTCATATATTTAGATAGGTCATGTAGTCCATTGTAGGCGAAGATTGAAGTCTATTGATTTTTGTATACACAGTTTAGGCTGTATGTGATTAATCCCCCAAAGTGCTTCCATCACCTTCAATAACCAACCAACCTTGAACTAGAGTTATGTGGTGAAATAATTGTGAAGGAGTTATTAATATTGATTTTATGACCTGACATTAATAAGTGTTTTGCAGTGGATGAAGACGGTGATGGATTTCTATTCAGATTATTAGCTTTATTGGGATTTTCTATATGATTTAGTAGCCATTTTGGAACATGTTCTTGTCGACAACCATATTGGAACATTCTGTGGGTTCTACCTATATAGGTGTCACCGCAACTGCAGGTGATAGCTTGAAGTAGAGTCCACAGAATTTCGTCCTTTAATCGTAGGCAGGTACAGGGATCGAAAATGTTTGGCAAGTTAGAAAAAGAGATGTGGCGGCGTAGAATGTGCGTTTGATGACTGACCGAAGTCTTTGAGCTAGCTGTCAACTGCATAACCTGGTCACCCTTGAATGGTAGGTTAATAAAGATAAATTATTGTATCTGTTTTTGGTAATATTATTACTAATGCTGTTAATATTATTATTATTATTTAACACTATTATTAGTGTTATTATTATTATTAGTATTATTATTATTATGTTACAGTCTATTCTCGGTGGTGAACTTATTTGTCTTTTAATGCGACATATATTGGTCAATCTGTTGACACGTTGTGTTTCTTCGCAAGTGAATACAACAGCTATTACTAATAGTAGTACACCTTCTATGATTCTACCTCGTTCACCTATATCAATTCCACTGCCGGCTCCACCACCTCCTCGTTCAGCAGCTCCTCAACAACAACCACAACACCAGAAGTCCAAAGAACCATCATCATCCAATCTGAATCATAATTCGAAATTGTCAACTAGAAAACTGAAAAAGGAAGAGATGAATCCACGTATTGATTCTAACAAAAATGATGATGGAGAAGCGGAGGATGACGACGATTGTACAGCTGATCTATTGCCAAGTGGTGCTAGAAAAGTTGTTGTTAAAAAGAATTTAAAATTAAAATCTGTAAATGATGATGATGATGATAATAGATCTCAAACTGTCACATCATCATCGTCAGAGAAATCAAAATGGACTACAAATTCGAACAGTTCAACGTTCAATAGTGTAATAGTTAATAGTAACAAGTATGTTGCTGTTGTTATCTGTAAAGATGTTTTTTTTTAAATAGTTTTTATTCAAGTGTTGGTTTGTAGGGATTTGATTGATTGGTTCCAGGATTTCATCATCAATTGAAATTAGTTAGAGGACTATTGGAAAACCGCTTGGGAGTACTGGATAGCCAGTCACTTCGTCCTAGTTTGGGACTCTTCGGTAGTACGCACCCACCGCCAGGGTTCGAACCCACGACCTTCTAGTTACAAGGCTAGCGAGCTCGTATACCATTAAGCCACTGGGACCCGACCCAATGGCCAGTCCATGAATTCTAACTTCTGCCAATTCACGACATACCGCGATCCCTAGCCAATGTCTTCGGTGGCGAGTATTTGTCCTCACACCCGACCTGCTGCACTAACTAATGTTAGCTAATAATAAAAAAATTTTTGTTTGTTTGTTTTCTTCTCTTATCAATCAATGATAAGTCAGTGTCTAAATAAAATAATCAATCCCACACACCCCTCTGCCAGGACCCAACGTCGATGTGTGTTTATCAGTGAGTGCAGTAAAAACAAGCTAAGGGGAAAACGTGAAATGGGCAAAGTTAAACTTCAAGCACCACTAACTACTAATCAATCAGTAAATGACCTCGAAAGCACCAATCACATGATGGAGGCATTTTTGTGTATGGAATACATACATACATTTATGGAAAAATTGCATAGCTTCCTCTTACATGGGATAAAAATAGTTCTCAGTTTTAGGTTGGTGTATCAACAGAGTATAATTCCATTGTGGGTAAAATTTATTTATTTATTTTATTATACAGCAATATTTACTGAGCAATAGATTGTGCTTGAAACATGGTCATCAGTAAATATTGCTACTGTATAACACTGTGAGACTTTATTAGAATAAATTTTACCCACAGTGGAATTATGCTCTACATAGGTGCAGAAGTTCTATTCTTATGTTAACAGAGTAATTTAACCACATTCTATGCATGTAATTATTTTGGTCTTCTAACCCTAATCTTTCCTGAACCTAACTAATCGTAGCGTGAAAACATCCTTAAACTAACTGTAATCTAACTCGAACTAAACCTACTGTCGCCTTTGTTAGATTAATCTAATCCCAACTTGTCCTTGGCTTGAAGAGTAACTTACTTAATCTTTCGCAAATCTAAGCTGAAACTTGTCAGATATCCTATGTAATAACGTATTACTTTGATGAGCATATTTTATTGATGGTGACAACATTATTCACCAGGTTTCACTAACATGCCCAGTGAGCTTTTCAAGGTTATTGGTGCTTAAAGTTTAACTTGGCAGTGAAATGAATCAACATTTACGACCCTGCCAGGAATTGAATCTATCTGAGATCTTCAAGTTTTCCAGACTAAGCTCAGTAGTAACCCGTGAATTTTAATTTATATCGATTCGTGGTAAAGCGTCATCCACCAGCGATGTCCTGAAGCTTTACCGAGTAGTCGTAGCCAGTGTCAAGATGAATGAAGTAGATGCTCATTGGAAGGCATTCGTTTGTCGGTTTTCGATATAGAACTTTGCACCGATATGCACCATTTCAAGTCACTACGCTCACCCCTTGTAGCACACAAACCGAGAGAAGAAAGTGGAGGAAATGCATACTAGAGACAGTAAACAGAGGTGTAATACAAAGGAATAGTAATAACGAAGAACAATATATTTTCATTGGAAATCATAAGTCACAAGGTGTGAATGCATCTGCACCAGCCATTGAGAACGATCACTTTGAGCCATATCACCAATTGTTTCCAACCATTGGTTTTTACCGTCCCGAGGACCACAACCAATCAGGAGGTCTACACCTTCCTATGTGACTGGCTTAAACTAAGTGTTGTGGATTTCATTGACTGATGAAGCCATGTTATGGTTTGATCGCCGCTAGCTCTGTTCTAGCCTGACCCTATGTCAACTAACATTGCTCGTCGGTCGAGGAAGGCGATGACTAGGCGGTTATGTGTAACACATGTCCTAACCATCTCTCTTAGTCGATGTAATTTCACAGCCTCATCGATTGATTTCCCCTCCTTGCTTAGCACTCGACCGATGCCTTACGTGAATATTGCTCGCTATATTATACCATTTCACACGGGATGTAGATAGAGCGCAGGCACCTATGATCAAAGACAGATAATCTTTTCATGTCTTCCACTCTCAATGGCCAGGTCTCACAGCTAGCCATAAAGGAGGACGGAGCGGACTGCTAAGCCCTTTGCTCGGTAGCCAGCCAACCGGATATCACGTCTACGCCAGAGACGGCGTAAACTGGCATATGCGAAAATATCCCTCTGTATCGTGCTGAGATTTCCTACAAATTCATGAATTTGTATTACTATTTTCCTTTACATTTCTGACATTCTGTGTGTATTGTTATGTTGGTGTTATCGAACTGTAGTTCACTGATATTGTCATTGATGGTTCACTGTTGTTCATAACACTAATTTATTCACTATAATGTGTATATATAACTGTAGAACCTAATGAAGAGCAGGTTGTCGAAAAGAATATTCTTTGTTTAGTAACCATTCTTTTGAAAATATTTTTTTAATGAGCATCCTTAAATCAATAAGAATTTATTCACTTTTCTTTTCAAAAATGTATATCTTTTCTATTTTTAGACAATGCAAAGAATATACCAGTTATAGTATCACAGAGAATATTCTACACGAGGCTATCCTATGCATAGGTTATTTATGTGCGCTGAATATAGAGAATCAAACTAACCTACAGTGTGGTCCATCACCGAATCTACTACAGCATCTTTTATCTTTACCATTTGAATATTTCAGTCATCATCCGTTAACTGATATTCTTTATCCAACATTGATTGCTTGTTGTTATCAACACGCACAGAATACGAGTATATTGGAGACTGAGCTTAGTCCAACTATTCTAGCCAATTATATAGAAGTGAGTTAGTTTTCTCTCTATCTATCTATCCATGTGTCGTTGTTAACCACTAACCCCACCTCCACCCGGTTTTGTTTCCTGTTTTGTCTTTTCAAGTTTTTACCTCTATGTCCCTTTTTTCTGTGAGGGTTTAGGAGTATAAGAGTGTATCGGTGGGGAATTGAAACCCTCTTACCTACTGATGTGTGTGTGTGTGTGTGAGGGGGGTGGAGTTTGCGAGCATTCTACCAATGGACCAGCGACTCCGTTATCTTCTAAAGTTATGTATATTAGTAAATTGAATATTCCCATAATTTATTCAGAACAAAATATTTAGAGCGAACAATTGTGGTTTCAATAAATTCTTCTTCAGGCTCTACAATTATAAATCCATTAATTTAAGCATACAATAGACAAGAAACCTTTGTATCTTAAATTAAGTTACAAAGGGGGAAATTGCAGCTGACATTCTAAACTGTCGACTTAATAGAGCAGTAGATAGAACATTTCCTGCAGCTAAACCAGTACTCACACAGCAAGTCAAGGATAAATTACCAAAGATGGCCTCGTCAATGTGCATCTATGAATTCAACTGCTCATGCTCATTCCCGTACTCAGAGGGTTTTTATCCATGCGCGCGCGTGAACTTGTACATGTATGGTTGAGTAAAGGAGTAACCAAATGCATAAATAGTGCAGTCTTAGTCCACTTGGTAAATACTGGACACGCGATAAAACTTGACCAAGCGTTCTCAGTTATTTACCGCGTTCCTAGTAATTGATCTAGAGGAGCTCGACTACGTCTTCTATCAGTAGCTGAAGCGGTTGCAATTAATACCAGAAGACCATCTCTTTGCATACAGAAGAAGTATGTTCAACCTCTATGTTTACCTTGGCCTACAATAAGCCATAAACATTAACACTATAAATTCCTTTCACAATTTCCTTTTCTTATCTTCTTCTTCTATTCCTCTGTTTCATTGACAAACGTTCATTTTCGACTTTTATGATTTCATGACCTTTCTTATGACTTTATTACCTTAAGTAGAACTTTTCTAACTTGCTTTCGTATTTACAAAATCCTGTTCATTCTACTTCATTATATTCATTATTATTATTATTTGACAAGCATTCACCAATAGTACTTGTGATTTTACACCATATCATCGCAGTCCACTCTGTGGGCGTGGGTTCGAATCCCACTCCTGACACCACTTTGTACGTCGGTGGCACAGTGGTTAGGACTCTCCCCGACGTTGCACGTGGTCTGAGGTACGATCCCCTACCGACGCACACCGGATATCTATGGTTGGCCTACAAAATTTGGACTACCGATATCCATGCTGAAAATTCCATACTTGTACCAAAAATACAGTGTGGAATCAAGCTGTAATAAAAAAAAATCAAAAAATAATTTCACAATCATTCTTATTGTTGCTATTTTCAACCCTGAATTTATGTCTAGACCGCCCCATACGTTGGTTTATTTTTTCATATTGTCTCACACACGCTGATTACACTCACTGTCGAAACCTGTATTTTCTGTTGACTACATATATTGACCATGCATATTAAAAAAACTTTATAACTATTGTTCCATTCCATCTTATACCTGTTCCACAATACACTTTCTGATATGATTCTAATTTGCCTTTACTGGCTGGCTTATTGTATGCTTATATTAACGGATTTATAATTGTAGAGCCTGAAGAAGAAGGATTTATTGGAAACACAATTGTTCACTCTAAATATTTTGTCATGTATATTAATTAAAACTTTAATTCCCTGATTGGACACTAGGTAATAACCCCCTAAAATCAAGTGTCTGATCCTTCGTTTCGTGGTGCTGATTGAATTGTATCCGTCAAGCTTGCCTTATGGCAGCTACCGTGCTAAGATAGATAGAGTTCGTCAACAAGTTGTACTCTGAATTGTTGTTATTAGACGGTTGGAGGTAATCGATAGGAGGAGGAGGAAGCCTTGATCCTAGGTTTCATGTGTATCGGCACCTACCAGTCAGTCAGCCAAGGTGTAGTATTATCTGCAATCTTGAAAAAAGTCATATCATATCGCCGCTGAGATATGAACCCCAGTTCACCCCAGTGATACAGTCTGAGATGGTTACCATTGAGCTATGCGAACTCACGATTGTTGACCTGCTGTAGGACTGTAATTGATATTTTGACTGGATACACTATGGCAATGTTCTATAATAGCGTCCCAAGGGATGCGAACGCACGAGTGACCTTGAGTCGACCAATCAGAAAAAAAGGAAGATTTTTGCACAAAATATAACGTATATTTACATAAAAAAGCATGAAAAACGCATTAAACAGGGTATTTTTTCTAATATGAGGTGAAAATAATGTCCCAATTATAATGGGGAGTTTCAATTTTCAAATTAAACCGATTCCTATATATGTATTCATCTAGATGACTTAAAATAACTTGATTTTGAGAGCCGTTTATAGCCCTTATTCTATTTTTGAGTCTTCCCCAGAAACCTTCTATTGAATTAGTATGAGTACCGGTTCTGGGATCAACGAAATCATCAGAATGGTATATATATCCCAAATCGGATAATCGGTTATATGCTGTCCATTCATCCGTGTGAACGGTAATGACTGGCAAGACGAGCCTCTGAATAATAGGGAGAAGTGTGTCAGCACTCCTATCTGGAATAAGTTCGATAAATCCTTTCCGAATCTGGGTGTCGGGAATTCTCAGAATCCAAACGTTATTCGCTTTAGCATGTCCTCGATTGTACTTCTTCTTTATAAGGACCGTTTCATCGACATGAACAACTACACCGATTCCTCCCAACACTTGAGTAATACTATTCATTTTCCACGACACTAAATCTCGACAAAACTGGAATTATTGCACAGTAGACTTCAAGGTATTTTCTATCTGAGCCGCAGTTGACCTCACACCGGACTTCAAAACCCAGTAATGGCAAAGAAACAGTATATTCGTCAAGGATAGTTTCGACTTTTCGAAGAAACTTCCTAGAAGACATTAACTGAGAGTGTCACTTACCAGTGCTAACACTTATTCGTTTCCTACACTGTGTACATCTAAATATATATCCATCAATGACCTGGGAATACTGTTGCAGGTTCATTGAAGCACCACAGCTACATATACGAGTACGTTCAATTAATCCATTATCCAAACAGTATTGAAATACCTGATCTGGGTGAAGTTTACATCTGAGTAGATGAACAGCGTTCATTTTCGCCCTAGTATAATGGTAAGTTTCCTCAACCAACGGCTAGCAAGCGTTCAAGGTCATTTGAGCGTTCGCACTTCTCAGACGCTATTCTTGAACTTCGCCCGCACTATGTAGTAACAAATGTCATCCGTTTTACGACGATGAGACAATTGATGCCTGAGATTAGAAGATAATAAAAGGATTAGATTTCTTCTCTTAAATGATTCATGTTTTCATTTGTCGACATTAGAGGGAGAATAGGTGATTGACCGACGAGATTGTGAGGACTTATCAGTTCTAATTTGGTTGGAGAACTTGCGGTAAAGATGCTAAGTTACCTCCTTGATCAATGAGCAGTGTGGTAGCTGGAAAAGAGCTAGCTAGTTTGGCAAGGGAACACTGAATCAGTTCATAAAGTCATTGGCGGCCGCTGACCTGAGCGGTGTAGACAGGTGTAGCTGTGATCTACAGTATTCATAATTTTTAAAACACACTGACTTGGTGCATTATGAGCGTCAAGAGATGAGCCATACGATATCCCATAGTTTGTGCCAGAGCTAGAATACTATCCGAATGTCCAGTCTGACGCCTGTGGTTGTTTTAAGGGGCCACTATTGCCCCCTCGCTCGAGCTTTTAAGTTGAAATTTCATCTACAAGGCAGTAAAGCCGCATTAGGAGCTACGTCCCTATGGTTTCTGATGACCCAAACAGGTTCATACGCCACCATTCTGATTCTTGATCCCGTGCATATACCATAGGTTTGAAACTAGGGTTTCCCATTTCTCCTAGACTGGTAGGTAGACCAGCATGTCCACCAGTCCGGTTGTAACCACCAGATGTTTGGATTCACCCCTTCACTTTCCTGAAGAAGATCCCCGCCGTGTGAAGGCAATGATAAATATGACTTCCCTGCCAGAGACTGATCTCCAGAACACACTTAGAATTTATGCTTTAAGGGGGGGGGGGGTCTTGATAAAATGTGATTGAAAATCAGTTATAAAAGCGGAGATAATGATCACTGCTTGTCTAAATTCTGGAAATCTTTTTACCGACTTATAATTAAAAATAATTCTCTACGTCGTACACAAATATATTACGTTGTGTGTGTATCATGTTGCTTGTCCTTTTCGTATGCTTTCTCAAGTGTAGCATTTTGTATTGCTACATTTCTGTGCAACATTCTATGTTGGTCCGTCAGTAGTCCTATTTTCATACATGTGACAGTTTGCTATAACCACCTAAGTCATATACACTTCACCTTCCTTGACGATCAATGTTAGCTAATACAAAAGATGGTTGGAGGCAATCGGCCACAGGAAGCCCTGGACCTAGGTTTCGTGCTAGTTGGCACTCATCAACAAGGCGTATCTGCAATCTTAAAACATATATAAGTGAACAATATTGTTGTTATCAATTAGATCTTCTTCACGCTTTATATATATAGATTTATATATAAAAAACGAACTTAACCAATGACGGTGATTTTATGGATCAAATAATAATAATGATAATAATGTGTTAAATGTTTTGAACGTAGTTAGTAATAACGATGATTATAATGATAACAAAATATTGATAATAAGGTTTATATAGGTGGCGATAAGAGGAATAACAAAGGTAGCATATGTATATATGTAGACAATTCAATAAATAAATCAGGTCAAATCTTAAAAGGTGAAGTGGATAGATAATCAGAGTTTAAATAAATATCATAAAAGTACGAAGGAGATGGAAAATAAGAAATGATGGGAAGGTTTTGAATAGAATTCACTTAGGCCAAACAAGGGAGAGACAAAGGTAGAACAAACTTCTTTTGTTGAATGCAAAGACTAGGATTGTTCCCTAGAATCGATTCCCATAGCTTCGGCTAAGTGTAAAAGACAGGTTCTGATTCCGTTCGAAAGGCTCGATGGAATGCGATAGATAACTTTAAAGGCGCTTCTTCTTCTGTCCACTTGGTGACCACTGTCAACAATCACATGAGTCGAAATAGAACTTCTTATGGAAGTCATTTGGTCTTTCCGGAAACAGGAAAGAAGGAAGATGCTCATTAATGGTGCGTTTGTTGAGCTGTCTAGTTGTTCGGCTTATATGTCCACCTTTCTCCACAGGAGCAGACATAGAAGTGGTACAGCTAGGTATTATTTGATTTACAAAATCATCGTCATTGGTTTAAAAATTATATATATATATATATATATATATATATATATATATATATATATATATATAAATCTATGTAAATTAGAGTAAAGCCTGAAGAAGATCTAATTGAAAACAACAATGTTGTTCGCTTATAGGTCTTCTTCGTAATCTCTCAGATACTACACTAAAGCCTCATGATTTTCCATGTTACTCTTCTTTCTCGTTTGTGTGCTTCATGGAGAGTTTGGTAATTCGAACTTTTCTACACTTGTGTTAATTTCTATGCTGACAGTCAGTGAGTCAACGATTTTCAATGGTAACGTGCCATCTGCGCTATTGATCCTAATGACTCTGTTTATGGAGGATTTCCTGTTAGTTGAAAAGCGGGGAGGGGAAGGGAAATATAGCCTGGTAGAGTTAGTCCACTTCTTTTTCTTCTTGTGACTGAGATAAATCCTGGATGTGTGGGTTCATTCTACGCTTACCTCACCTTTCAGTAATATACAACTCAAGAATGCTAGAGAATTTTTAGAAGCTCGCCTGGTATTCCAGTGAATCAACAATCAATAGACACATCGAGATAGACAAAATTTATCAACCGATAAGAAAGAAACCTCACACACAAGGGATCAAAGTTCAAGTCAAAGAAACAATCAGTTCCAATGCAAGTAACGCAGAAGGTGTGAAAACACACAAAACAACCAATCACGTTCAATGTCATTCATCAGGAGAGATGATTAATAAACTCGTGGAGAAATCTGAAAGCTCACTTCAACAAATTGAAGTATGCGTTGAAGATGTCGCCTAGTAGGGCGATGAAAGCTTCACAAATTAACTATCCAGTTAGCTCAGAGAACACAACCACATCAAAATCATCCACCTGAGCTACAAATCTTCTCCATCATATTTAATATGCAACTCATCACTCGACTGCTACTTCCGTATATTGAGAGAGCCACACAGAAGCCTGACTGATTAAGAAAGCAAATAAGACCAGAAATTACTGCTAATTACATACTTCCTTCTTTGCATGATCAATAAATTACTGGTTTAGGAATATAAAAAGAAATCCAATAACGTGATCTTTAATCCACGTGTTAGGATCAAATATGTCTAGTTTGCAGATGATCACGTGGGGGGGACACTGACTCTACTCCTATTTCCAATGTTTTTTGTTATTGATAGTTTTCACTTTTGAAGGCTTTCTAATTATCGTGACAATGTTTCACTGCCTGTCTTTTTCTTGTTCTCTAACGTTTATCAAATAACTGACATCGATATGGCGTGACAGAGAGTGAACACATCTGCTGCATTCAGAACAGTTTTAAGCCGTATCACCAACAATCATTGGTCCTGAGGACATCAACCAAGAAACCGCCTACACTTGCCTACATGGCTTGAACACTAAACTTCAAAGAATTTATGGCAGGTTCTTGGTCTTTTCTAACTTAAAATTTTATATCAGCTAACATTACCCCTACGAAAAAAAGCGACGACTCGGCGCCTTGGCCATCTCAGTCGAATCATCTTCACGACTTCTTTGATTGACTTGTACTCTACCTCTAACCTCAGTATTACTCACTAAGTTGTACTATTTAACACGCGAACAAATGTGATCAAAGATAGTCAGCTGCCTTTTTCATATCTCCTGCTTTCAATGGCCATGTCTCACAACTCCCCCTATAGGAGGATGGAACAGACTTCTACGCACGCGTCCTTTGATCGTCTTTACCACAGTTGATATGTAAATTGGGAAACACCACACAAAGATTTTGCATTCTTGTTGAGATTTCGTCAACAATCAGTCAGTATATTGGGATTGTACTTTCTTCTCTTGCTTTGTGTGCTACATGGAGTGTGGCGACTTGAACTGTCGCACATATGTGCAAAGTTCTATGTCGAAGACAGGCATTGGGATTGTGATGTAACTTCCCAAAGGAGTGGAGTCACTGTAATCCATCCAGTCCTGTAAATAGCATCATTGTACATTTAAGATAGCAGGAGCAAATCATATGCCAAGCATTCATCGATTTCAATTCATGGTGTATTTCGTCAGAGTTTTCATCAAGGAGGACAACATCTCATCCACTTATACTCTAGCGTTATTCAATACGCTTGTATTCAGTACGGGTAATGCTCAGGACCGATAAAAGTCTATGTCAATTTGTTGTGTGTGTTGTAAATTTTCCCACTGATTTCGTTTGTTTTTTCCTCTCTTCACATTGTTCTAGGAGAGTCTACTTGAGAAGAAAATGGATTCTTTGACAAAAGTGAACAACGGTAAATCAAACAGTGGTCAATGTTTAGGTAAGTTAAGAAGTTGGTTATCTGTAGTTAGGACAGTTGACAAGCAAGAATTTATTCTCTGATTGTCATTGTCTGTTCTGTTCTCTTCTCTTATTACTGGTATTGAGACCTATTTACGATAACTGTAGTTTGATGGTGTACAGTGGCTGAGAAAGAAGTCAAGATGATTCGATTGTCTCTGTCTAATAACGTTAAAATATATATTCAAAATATCAGCTCCATTGTGTGTCTTAAGTGATTTTGACAATCTTTCATAGCTGTTTGTGTTGCTTTTTAAATCTCTCTCTCTGTTATCTTCACTGTTCTGTGTCAACTCATTTCCCCCTGAACAGGATTTTCCGTTTGCCGCAATTATGAGTCATACCCATTGTTGTGTGTGTGGATATGCTTATGTTACGTTGGAGCGGGATTCAAACATAGGACCCACTGAGACTAAAAGTTGAGTGCTTAAGCCAATGATCAGTTCCCATCAGACTGCATAACTGGTGGAGCTGTTGTGGTGTTTGTGATACTTCATTGGTCTAGACACTCGACTTCAAATCATACCATACAGGTGATTAGTTAGACCCCTATGCCACCATCTACTGAAGTTTAGGAAGCAAAAATATTCATATTGTGGTGAGAGCTATCTGCGAGACAAAACTGGTAGTCAACAACAGTTCACATCAATGTTTACGTCCCAAATCTGGGCCACGAGAAAAAATAAGATCAAAGACTACTAACCTTGAGGAACTCAACAACCAATCACAGCAGACTTAGTGCGGCCGGATACACTTCGCAGATATATCACACAGTGTTGTTATACAGTAATATGTACTGATGATAACCACTTTTTGAGCACAATTTATTACTACTGTTCATAGTCATATCAGAGCATTACTCACTCTCACACAACTTTTTTGCTTCATTTATATACATGAGTAAAAACTGATGATTGGACATTTGAATAAAATCAATATAAGATGGGGAAGTACATTCGGAAATAATATTATTAGTGTTATCAATGGAATACAATAAGATGGGGGAAATAAGATGCTTTTATAGTCAAAATAAATAAATAACTTGTTAGAATGTCATAATGTGAATTGAATTGAATACATTTTAACATTTATTATCCTCCTCTGATTTGACTAGTGGTAATAATGTCTTCCATATATAACTCTGGTACTTGCATTGAATCATTTCTGTTGCATGTGTTAGGTGTAGACTCACTCGATGAACCAGGATTCAGTAATCAACCTCTCTCTCTCTCCGCCTACTTATAACACTTTTTAGAATTTTGACTCTGTTCCATCCACTCTGTTATGTGTTTGTGTGTTAATGCATGCAGTGCTGAGCTTTTTCCTAAATTACTTATTTTCGTGGGATCAATCATTCTAACCTTAGCTAAATTCGTATGTTCTGATAATCTCACTACTTCTTATCTACTAGTTTGACCTACGTAGTTGACCTCACTCACAATTATTACAAGGTATTTTGTAAATTATATTATTTTGTTTAATTGGGTCCACTGGGTCCTTTAGCCTAGATTTTATTTTCCATCTGATTTTATTTGATTGATAAAACTCGTATTATTATTTCCGAATGTACTTTCTCATCTTATATTGATTTTCAATTCCAATGTCTAATTATCAATTTTTACTTATGTATATATAAATGAGGCAAGAAAGTTGTATAAGAGTGAGTAATTCCTTGATATGATTATGAGGAATAATCAGCAAATATTACTGTCCTCGATGAACATATTTAGAAATATGCCTCATCAGTGATGAACGAATGAATCAATCAATCAGTTAGTCTCGATAGACATGAAATCTTGTATAAATAGGACGACGAAAATCTTAGAGGATCTGGACTTCACCGATGATATATGTCTGATTTCCCGCAAACTGGAAAATATGCAAGTGAAAAGCAACAGGTTGGCGATAAAAGAAGCATCAAAGATAGGACTTCAGGTGAACATAGAGAAAACAGAGGTAGGCGATGAAGATTCCTCGCCAACACCAACAGACAATAACCAGCATAAATGGGAGGAACTTGAAAGAAACAACCTCGTTTACCTACCCAGCTACCTGGGAAGCATCATTTCAGCTACAAGCGGACGGAACTGATGAGGATATCAAAGCAAGAATCGGGAAAGCAAGACGAGCTTTCATTACTCTCATGTCTGTGTGGAGGTCAACAGAACTGCTCAGCATGAAAATGAAAATAAGTTCCAGATTTTCAACTCCAATGTGAAGTCAGTGCTACTTACTATACGCATCAGAGACTTGGCGTGTCATAAAGAGCACCTCAAACAAACTTCAGACCTTCATTAACAGTTGTCTTCGCTCAATACTCAAGATCAGATGGTCGGGTAGAAAAGATCAGCCACAGGGATGTCTGGCAATAAGCGAACCAACCCAGCAGGAACCGATTGTGCAGCAAATAACCAGAAAGAAATGGAGATGGATTGACCGTACTCTGAGGAAACCATCAAGTGACATCACTAGACAAGCCACTGCTCGAGTGGAACCCGAAGGGAAAGCGGCGAGTTGTTCTTCAGTGTTAGAGTGACATGGAGGAGGTCATGTGAAGAGGAGATGAAAGCATATGGGCAGACTTGAAGCCAGGTGAAAACTTTAGCAGAGAACCGAATGCGCAATGGAGACGTTTGGCTGAAGACCTATGTTCCTCTAGGAATTAAAGGAAATAATAATAATAGTAATTAACAAACACGTATATTTCCTTATTCCTATTATTATTATTATTATTACTATTATTATTATTATATATGTGTGATATCTGCTCATTACTATTTTGTTTTCTGTCTTAATACTCTGCATTACAGATAAAAGATACAATTTTGAACGACGATTTTCTATCCTAGAATGGAATTCGGCTAAAGCCTATTTCACAAGATGACACTGACTGACACTTAGATTTTGTATGAAACGATATAAAGCTAAAATTTTGAAATATAAATAACAATAATTTATGTATTTATCTTGACTTCTGACTACTTTTGCTTAATTTTTTTCGAAAAAGTAGACGTAAGCATGAAAATAAGTTAGTTAGTTCGTTAGTTAGTTGGCAAATTAAGTAAGGAAGACATTTATTATACATGAAAAATCCCCATTTGCGCATTAATAGACAGAAGACTAGTAATTCAGCGAAGAGTCTGTTTTCGGTGGCGGCGAATTCATTCATACTTGACTGTACAATCGCAAATATATGCATGTTTATTTTGCGTGTGTGTGTGTGTACGTTAACTTTGCAAAACCAAAATACAATTTCAATAAGGCATTAAGAAGACAAATATCACGAGATGATATCGTCATTTCATAGTTTCTTTACAACCGCTTTACACAACTAACATGGTTAACAGTGATAAAATAAAGATCATGACAATTACTCAGTTAAATAAAAAAGTGCATGCTAATTAATGACCAATCATATTTGGATAGGTCGTGTAGTCAGTCCATGGTAGGCGACGATTGAAGTCTATTGTGTTGTTTTTGTACACACAGTTTAGGCTGTATGTGATTATAATCCCCCAAATTGCTTCCATCACCTTCATTAACCTTGAATTAGAGTTATGTGAAATAACTGAAATAACAGTCATTAATATTGATTGACTTTGTGACCTGACATTAATAAGTGCTTTGCAATGCATGACGATGCTGGATTTCTATTCAGATTAATAGCTGCATTGGGATTTTCTATATGATTTAGTAGCCATTTTGGAACATGTTCTTGTCGACGACATTGGAACATTCTGTTTGTTCTACCTATGTAGGTGTCACCGCAACTGCAGGTGATAGTTTGAAGTAGAGTCCACAGAATTTCGTCCTTTAATCGTAGGCAGGTACAGGGATCGAAAATGTTTGGCAAGTTAGAAAAAGAGCTGTGGCAGCGTAGAATGTGCGTTTGATGACTGACCGAAGTCTTTGAGCTAGCTGTCAACTGCATAATCTGGTTGTCCTTGAATGGTAGGTTAATACAGACAGCTAGCCTTCTTTGGTACAGAAGCTGTCTTTTCGAGATGTGGTCTTTCTTTACTGTGACAAGTGATTACGTTTTCCGGATAACCATTAAATAATAAAACTGAATGTATATGTCGAAATTCATCCATCACTATGTCACTCGGGCATATTTTCGGGCCCTTGAGAACAAAGATTTAACTCAGTAGGGAACGTTTATACTGGATAGGAATAAAATTGGTAAAATGAAGATATTGTCCACTTTATGTCTGTTTACGAAAAATAGAGCGCTGAATCGTTCCATCATCTCTCCTAGTCATAGTAATATCCAGGAAACCGAGTTTGTTATTCGATTCGAGTTCGGAAGTCACTCGAATATTTGGATGAATTTGATTAAATAGGGTGATAAAGTTTTCAATAGATTTACTATTATTCCCAATAATGAGAGTATCATCTACATAACGCTTATACAGCATAAATTCTCCAAGCATACCTTGCATTTGTTTCTCCGATTTCGACATAAATATATGTGCCTACAGGGGCCTAAGAGGACTCCCCATCGCAATACCATCGATTTGTTTGTATGCCTTTTCTTGGAAAGTGAATCTAATATTTTTTGTACACATTAAGATGTCTCTGATGTAAGTGACAGGAATATGTAAGTTTATCCCATTGCTTGTGATGTAATCGCAAATGAAATCAACAGTTTCATGAATAGAAACATTGGTAAATAAAGATTCTATGTCAGTTGAACACATAACCTTTTCCTTAATGTTCAAGGTGTCTAGCTTATCTGTCAGATCAAATGAACTTTTTACAGAATGATTTGATAGTGAGTCTCTTACAGGAGTAAGGACCTCTGTAATCCATTTGGCGATTTTATGGTATGGAGAACTCCACATATCTAAGATGGGTCTCAGTAGGTTCCCAGTTTTGTGGATCTTCGGAAGGCCATAAAGACGGGGAGTATGTGACCCAATTGCTTTAAGTTATCTATAAAGTTTTCCATTTATGAAACCAGGCGTCAGTAAAATCTGAAGCTGACGATTGGTCTGCTTTTCTTTGTGTTTTGAAAATACAATTAGTAAGTGATTTTTTGGTGGAGTTATGTAATACAAAAAGCGTTCAGAGGAATTGAATGTTGATATAAGAGGGCAGTTCCACTCACAGAAACTGTCTGTCACATATGTCAATATGTGGACGAAAACCGGCTGAACGTCGGATTACTGAAGTCTTGTTTAAAAGAACTACTGCTGAGATGTATACTTCATGTACAATTCACATTCAACAATGTCATATACAGACAACAAGATGGGATCTTCACTGTACCCATTGCTACTAGCAGACTGTTTTATGGCAAGCCTTGAAAACGGCTCATTCAAATCAACTATTGATGATTTCCAATTGTATGTATGGACGACATCTTTATTATCATCTGTGATGATGGTCACGATCTCAATCAGGTACTACAAATATTCAACAAATGCCATTCAGCTACAAAGTTCTGTATTGAAATTGAAAACAAATCTAAAATCCCTTTTCTTGATGTTGAACTCACAAAGAGAGCTGACGGAACTTTAAGGAGGCCCATCCATAGGAAACCCACATAGAACGGACAGCTGACAAGCTTCTACAGCTGGTTACCAATCAATCGGAAAAGAAACCTTACTGGATCTCTTGCCACTCGCGTCCGACGCATCTGCAGCTCTGATACCCTGAAAGAAGAACTACACTTCCTGAAAGAAATCTTCATACAAAACGGATATCCACCAAGATTTATAGACAAAAACATCAAACAGAAAATCCAAAAGCAAGAGACACTATCCATGTCAAAAAAAGATACTTTATATGAACCTGGACTTCAAAGGTGACCTACTCAGTGATGTCATTAAGAGGAGAATTTCCACTTCTTTAAGAAGAACTTTCTTCACGGCAACATTGACAGTAGTGTTTTCCAGTCGCCCGCTGATCTGTAGAAGCCCAAAGGACAAGATCCCGCACCTGACCACTTTTATGTTCACCTGTTACTGTGAAGCCAGGTGCATCGGTGGTTCGACGCGCATCCTGTCAAAAAGGGTTAAACAACACTATCCAGCGTGGCTGCAGAAAGGAAGTAGTGGCAGTATAATGAGGTGCAATAATCGAACATCTCGTCAACGATGGTCATTCCATCTCAACATAGGCCTCCTTCTGTTTCAACGTAATCTACAAAGTGAAGAACAACCTGCCAGAGACAATATGTTTCCGTCTTCTTTGCATTGCAGAAGCCCTACCCATTCAGTTGGAAGAATCAAAACCTTGCATGCAAAAGAAAATTATTCAACCACTTCTACTATTATGGTAACAACTCTGTTGATTTGACTTAACTTTTGCTTATATTCTTATTTTTCTAACTACTTTAAATTCTTACCTAATTCTCTGTTATTTTGTTTTCATTTACACCCTGAGTACAACTCTTTCATCAAACTACGCATGTTATTACATAACTCTCCTTTAACAATCGTTTGTGACAACTCATCACTCTTGTTACTACCCCCTACTGTATAACAACAGCCAATTCATCTGAACGCTTTTTGTATTACATAACTCCACCAAACACTTACTAATTGTATTTTCTTTTGGAAAATTTAATGTACACACACGTACAAAACATTTATTATTATTATTCCCTTGGATTCTGAGTACAACTCGGAGTTTCAGCTCAGCAGCACACCACATTTTCACTCTTTTTTAGCTGTCTCTACGATTGATTACCTCATAAGCCTTCATTTCCCTCCTCCATATTACCCTCAGACACCCAATTTATCGTTTGCTTTCCATTCAGGTTCGACTAGAGAGTCTGTCTACCGCGTGGCATCACTCAACATTCTCCTCAGTGTGTATCCAATCCGTCTCACTATTCGGTGTATAAAGTTTGAGAGGGGAAGTGCTTGTGAGCCTATGATATACGACATAGTATTCAAGTGTTGGTTTGTAGGGATTTGATTGGTTTTCAGGATTTCATCATGAGCTGACATTAGTTAGAGAACCACTGGAAAACCTGGGAGTACTGGACAGCTGTTTCGTCCTAGTTTTGGACTCTGCAGCAGTACGCACCCGCCGGGATTCGAACCCAGGACCTTCCGGTTACAAGGCGAGCTCGTATACCATTAAGCCACTGAGACCCGATCCAATGGTCCTTGAATTCTATTCAGGTAGGTAGTTACCTGGGTTCCAGTGCGAAGTCGTGACCAGTAGAGTGCAACGGGTCGGGTGTGAGGACAAATACTCGCCGAAGACATAGGCTAGCGGTCGCGCTATGTCGTGAATTGGCAGAAGTTAGAATTCATGGGCTGGCCATTGGATCGGGTCCCAGTGACTTAATGGTCTACGAGCTGGCTAGCCTTGTAACCGAAAGGTCCTGGGTTCGAATCCCGGTGGGTGCATACTGATGAAGAGTCCCAAACTAGGACGAAACAGCTGTCCAGTACTCCCAGGTTTTCCAATGGTTCTCTAACTAATGTCAGCTCATGATGAAATCCTTAATACGATATAGTAGTTACAAGTTAAACTGAAAATAACAAGAAGTTCAGCAAAAATATCTGTCTTTTCGGTGATTTCATTCTCAAAAGCAGCTGTACAATCGGATTTATATAGATTAGTTTACATGGGTGGATACAATTATTATTTGTTTAATTCCACATAGTAACGAAAGTGATAATTATTTTCAACTTGATATGAAAGTGTGAAGGTATAAATGTAGATTACAAGAGGCTTAGAGACGTAGGGATAGAACGAATTACAGGTGTGAACAAAAATGAGCACGGAAACAAATTGAAATCAAAATTTTCAACTTGAAATGTAAGTTAGGTGTTAATATAGATTACAGGAGGCATAGAAACAAAAAAATACACAGGATTCGAATATAATTGTAAAATGGTTATTCTAAACGGATCACAAGTG